TTGAAACAAGGTTGACCAGCACTGATTTACATTAGGTTTAGTGCAGCTTTTCCCCACCCGGGGGGAGGCGGGACTCTTTGTTTAGTTGATTCTGAAGAGGACATGTTACCTTGCATTTGCTTTGATTCCATTATTATTGTTCCTTTACTTAGTATTATTGTATTGCGTAATTATGGATACTATATGAACTTATAATATACTATTTTAAACTAAGTGTGCAAAAGTCAGAGTGGTGCGTAGAACTAACTAAGGATCGATGAAAAATTGAACAAATACCTGAACATTAGTATTATCTTGTATTTCAAGTTGGAGTTTGCAAAAGTCAGAGTGGTTTGTATCACTGGCTGAGGATCCGTCAAGATTTAACAGAAAGTTTTACTTTGTATTAGATGTAGTTTCACTAATATTGTTCATTTATTTCGTATTATTATAATATATATGTTAACGCATAAACTTCCCAACTGCGCAAAAGCAAGGATCTATGAAAGATTGAACAAATAACCAAAACTTAGTTATTGCTTATATTTGATATAGTTTTACTAATATTTTTTATTTGTTTAGTATTATTGTAATATATAATTATGAATATAGAGCGCTCCTGTGGAATGTGCACCAAGATGACGCACAAACTGATAACCCGAACCTGGTACACATACTATGTTCAGGTTGTGCGCCATCTTGGTACACATACTACGGGAGCACCGAATATATTTTAAACTATTCAAAGTGTGCAAAATCCAGAGTGCGAGTTGTGCGTATCCGCTAGCTGAGTGTTAGAGATTGTACTAAAAACGAAATGATTGTATAATATAAAGTGCAGCGTTTCTCAGTCGTTGTTGGCGGATTCTTTGTTTAGTATTCAGTATTATTGCGATACGTAATTGTGAATATATTATAAGCTATTCGAAGTGTGCAAACGCCAGAGTTCGGGCTGTTCATAGAACTAGCTGAGGGTCAAAGATTGAGCAAATAACGGAAACTTAGTACTTCTTTGTATTTGTATTTAATTTATTAATTCAATGTAACCCAACGCGGTATGATTTTCTCTCCAGAAAGAAGTTTTGTTGTTTCAGGGATGGGGATATTACCGTATAGTTTGACTATTGTTTATTTATTTAGTATTATTATACTACATATGCATTGTAATCTATTCTATTCGACTGTGCAAAAGCCAGAGTGCGAGCTCACTGGCTAAAGGTTAAAGATTGACCAAATAACGTAAACAGAGCTCTTATGCTTTGTGAGGGGGAATAAAAAGATCCAAATTTGGCAAAGGAGGAATTTATCGGAAAAGGTATCGAATCACTACTTCAGTGTATTCTATTTCACTTCAGTCAAAGCCGGTCAAGCATGGCGTGTATCTCCAATCAAGCGTGACGTACAAGGCCTAATTTAAACTACTTGAGTGCGGGAATCTGCAGTTAATTGAGGTCGCGACACGATCACAAATGTTATGACATGAAGTGCGAATCGCAGCGATTGTGTTTATTGTCGTGTTTGTCAGTCAGTTAGAAGAAAGCTTAGGCTAACAGTAAAAGTGCGTGAGCAAGTATTTTTTGTTTAGACACAGAATTACGGGTTGATTTGCAGATTATGTTGTTGTTGTTATCAGGACTAAATGTCGCTGTTTTCTAATACTGGGAAATTCGTTTTCGTAGTTCCTAATCATGCACGGTTTTAGGGATTGTTTCGCTAATTGTTGCCCATAATGTGATTGTTAGGACTAAAGATTTTATCTTTAAGTACTAGATAACTCGATATAGTCTTAAGAATACAAGAGCACGGGTAGAAATTTTTAAATATGCACGGCTGTTTTGCTAATTATCCAGTTAGAGTTTGGGCTAGGAATGCAGATTGCGCTCGAAGTTTAAATTTTAAAATCGTTTCTAACCCTAACTGGTTAATTACTGATTTGTTATTTTAAAACATTGCGGGAGTGTTTTTCGTAAATCTCATATTTTGCATTAGTGGTGGTTGCATCGTGGTTCGCCATATGGATAAGCCGTCTTATCGGCTTTCCTCTCCTTCGGGATAAATATGTAATCCTATCCTATCCTGGTGGGGACTTTGTACAAAACATCCCCCGCGAAATCGATACTATTTAACAACTATATATCGTATTTCTGGTTGAATCGATTTCGCTTTTTTTGGCAAATTACGCTTGTTGTTAACTATCGCCTTTCTCTTTAACTTCTGGTCGACTCGATTTTGTGGTAGATTATTGTTGCTTATTTCGCCGTTATTGTGGAGACTAAAAATCGCCCTTTTCTTCAATTACTGGACGGATCTCCGGGATTATATTTGGCATGGAGGCGCAAGTGCTCTCAGTTTGCCATTTAAATAGCAAATCTCCTTAATTAACATTATACAGGGTGACACGATATTTGCTTTACAGTTTTTTTTGCAATTTATTGAATTTATAATGTTCTTTTTGGGCCATCCTTTCGTTTATCGGTTGACTATATTTGGAATACAACGAAAGCGATGACGACGGTTATGCACGAGACGTTTATTGACGTCACAATATGCTCGGTCAAAATGCTTTTTAAGCGAAATTTTGCGTGTGCGGTTCATAAACATCAGCAAATTTACCGGAATTTGACAATCAATGTGGCAACCCCTCAGCCAGAATATCGTGGCCATATCAATAGTATATAAGCTAATGCATAGACGTTGCTGTAGTTAGATATTTGTGGTTAGAATGTTAAACTGAAGTACATTGGCGGTAAAAATTGGCGCCACATTTTTAAATACCAAATTAGTAATTATCCAGTTGGGGTTTGAAATGATTTGAAAATTTGTTTTTCCAGCGCTATCTGCATTCCTAGCCATCCCTCTAACTAAATATATGTTTTTTTTTATTATTTTGAATGTTGGAGGGAGCTTTGTACAAAAGATCTAAAATCATAGGTTCGAAAGCTATGCCTAGCGTCTTGTATATAAATGTAGACTGTAAATCATTTGGTTGACTTTTTGCGGAACCGGATTTGTACGGTGACCGTACATTTGAACCCATGTACATTTGAACCCATGCGTATATCCATGGGTTCAATCTATATGCGGGTGCTAAAACCCATGGGTTAGGGTTAGTATGGGTTTAACTATCCGTGAAACAAAAAAAATTCTATAGGTGCAATGGCATGCAGGTGCAATTGTCATGGGTTCAAATGTACGTGGGTTCAAATGTAATGGAACCGATTTGTACAGCTGAGGCACTGACACTGAGAGAAAGCGCAATTGTGAAATAGGCGCGATGTCTGGATCCTCGCAGCTTTAATTCTTTCTTTGGTTATGTTGGCCGATAAACAGAATAAAATGTTACGCCCACCACTTCACCCAAAGTGTAGGTTGGAAATGCCAAGTTGAAAATGCTTATAATTGGTAACATGTCTAGGGTCTTGTTTGTGTGAAAATTCAAACGTATGCTAGATAGTATAAATAAACGTATTGGGCTTACCTGATATTAAATTCACTTTATTAATGCAAAATTCATTTCCAAAGCTGATTTTAGAAAGAATTGCCCTTCCTTATTTGGCCTGTCAACTCAGTTGAACTCCGGTGTTCGCAACACCAAGCCGTCAATAACCAATTTCTGAATGGTAAGCATTTTGCGCTCAGTTGAGTCAGAAGTCCTTATGCAATAATAGTGTTTAGGTCAGCTTTGCGATATAGAGCATTTGAGGACGGGATATATCAAAGCGGAGACAAATGTGTATAGAGTAGATATGAGGCGATCTAGAAGTGTGTGTACCAATAATACAATATGGAGGTAACTAATTTCGTTCGCCTATTTTACACGAAGTTGTTTGTGTAAAAGGACTGAAAGCTATGAGCAGAGGTATAATCAATTGGCTAACACAGACAGTCCCCGAACTCCTGAACTCGTAATAGAACTAAAATGAGGAAAATCCGAATAAACCTAAGGCTTAATCTTGTGCGCATACTACGGGAGTACCGATATTGAACCTCCGATCTAGTAGGTAAGTAGGAGACCCTTATTCTCAGTCGCTCTGCCTGTCTGTGTGTTTAGTTGTAGTGTCTGAACGGCTGGGCAGATCTAGATTAAATTTTTTCTCGTGGGTTATCCTGTCACCCTAGTTACGCGTTTTTCTCAAATTCAGGCTTGATGTTTCGTTTCCATGGGAGCAGCGAAAAAAACGCGTCGACTGTTGAGAAATTTCTGATTTGCTCGTTTTTCTCGTAAGCTAAACCGTTAATTAAATTTCCGGGAACGCTGCCCTCCGCGAAGCAAAAACTCATTTCGAACGAATCGTCTTTCTTCTCGCTACTCATAAACTGGGAAGCCTTAGGAATCGTAGTGGACAAAGGACATTATTTTAATTACCTTAATAGCCACAGCATACCAATCACGCAAAAATGTCTTCGAAACGCGCAGCGCTTAAAATGAACTAGCAGTTTCCATAACACTCTCGCCAAATCACGCTGCCTATATAGATCCGCAAGTTTCTATGGATGGTAACCGGTTGCTCGAGAGCGGGCCTCAACTATCAGCGGAGATCCTGGGCGCCTATCGGCTTGTAGATATATGAATTAATATAGTAATATTTGTCCGTAGATGTAATATTACAAATATAGTGATATATAAACCTAGCATAGTGAGGGGTATGAAATTTTTCAAAAATGACAAAGTAAGGAATGTGACAGAAAAAGTGGGAACCACTGGAGTAAAGTAAAACCAAACTGCGACAATAATATTATTGACCCGAAACTTACAATCGAGTATTGAATTTATTCACCGCAGTAGCGTCATATACCGGTGCATCCGCAACACCCTAACCCTAACTATGTCCAGATGTCTTTTACATCCACGTTTGTTTGTATGTTATTATTTTCAAGCAATTCATACGGCGACTTTGAAATAAAATCTCAACCCAAGCCGTGTTGCGGTTGAAAAGGTCCGTGGGTGAAAAATCTGCACACCTTTGAATAAACTAATTTCCATGTTTCCGTACCGTTGAATTTTTCATCTATCCACACATAACCGATTTGAATCGGTATTCATTTTATTTACTATATAAACAGACGATATTTATATATATTTTAAAAATATTGTGACGTCATAACAAAATGATGCCATCACAGCCTGGGATTTACCAAACAACGGCTCCAGTCGACGACGACGAATTATCAGGTGGGAATTTTTTTTTTTTTTTTTCATAAATTGTTGGCCTTGAGAATAATTTAGAACAGTGGTTCATAAACTTTTACGAACTGTAGACATCAGGGGTGTGCAACCTCTAATACAGGAGGACCAGATACGAATAACTGGGTGAAATCGGGTGAAATCTCTTGACATATTGTCATCACCAATGTCACTGAATTAAATATAAATAATGTTATGGCTAGCGGAGGCAACTTGCGAAGTTAAATAATGTGCTTGGCAGTCTAAATTGCTATCTGGCTTTCTAACTTTTTGGTAGGGAATATATGCTAACAATATAGGCATCATAGAAAAATAAAAATCGAATGCGCATTCCATTAGCCTAGAATGGCTATGCCTGCTAACTATATGTATGCAAAATAAAAGTGTTTGTTTTGTATTGCACTGTTCACCTATTCTTGGCACTATTGTGGCCCGCGAACAATGCAAAAATAATTTTGTGGCCCGCGGAGCTGACAACCTTTGACCACCCTGTTCTAGAATAAACTAAATTAAAAACTTGTTTCGTGGGCCACACATCATGCAAAATTGGCCTTCTCCGCGGGCCGCACAATTTCTCCTTGTGGGCTGCATTTGGCCCACAGGTAGCACACCCCCTCTATGCGTCAGGTATAATCTCAAAGCAGCCCGTTTCTTTGATTTCATAGTTACTAAAATGATACCTAAAAAAACTTATAAAGCCCACTCTAGAAATATTTTAGGATTTGGTTTTCAAAAATAAAATTCTTTCAATGGCACAATAACACCTCGATCATTTTTCTGAAAATGTACAGATTGAAAAACCAATAAAATCATTGTTTATTTCGACTTAATGCATGAACGATCTCTCTGTCCGTGGACTAATTTTAGATATATCCCACCTTTATACTACTCTCAATAAGATCTATTTGGCGTGAGTAATTATTCCATTTAGGCCAAAACTTCCTAGTTTAAATCACTTTATGGCTGTTAGGAGGGTTTTGTTCGTCAATTGAAACGCAAGTTTTTGGAATTAAATATTGCACTTTTTGAGTATGCAGTATTATCGCGAAACGTCGCGTGGGAAATTTGCACTTTTTAAAATAACCCGAAATTTTTCAGGAGGAAGTGGATACCCAATTACGTCATTAGTGACGTCATCAGAGAATGGTACCAAATATTCCACATTTATTCATAAATCTGATCCTACTGCACCAACGTTACGAAGTATCCTATGGCCTAACATGACATCGTCGTCGTCAACGACTCAAAATGAACTTTCAAATGACGTCACAACTTTGATGACATCTTCATGCATGCTACATCAAACATTAGCGAATAATTTCAGACACTACTCTGCCAGAAATTGACTTTTCAACGAGCGATGAATCTTTATCAAGAAACACTGTTTTTAGCGCGAACTCTACTGTGCTATTTGGTAAGTCTGTTTTTTTTTGCTCTAATAGACTGAATAGAGGACGGAGGTTGACACGTACATTTGAACACATGTGTATATCCACGGGTTCAATCTATATGTGGGATGCTAAAAACCTTGGGTTAGGGTTAGTATGGGTTCAAATATCCGCAAAACAATAAATTCCCATAGGTGCAATAGTATGCAGGTGCAATTGTCGTGGGTTCAAATGTACGTGGGTTCAAATGTACGGGAACCGAGGACGGACGGTATAGAAAAATCTAACTATTTCAGTAATTCGAATAGAGCGTTCTCACACATTTGCTCTGAACAACCACTAATATTGAGAAGTTAATGATCGGAGGGGTAGGGAAGACAATAGGACGGCATAATCATTTGGCGAAGGACGGCTTCTCGTTAGTTTATCAGCCCAGATAGTGGAAAGAGCTGTAATCGCCAACGGTGAATCAGAAACCGGCTGTGGAAGCAATCGTTTCGCACATGATTGCCGCCCATGGGATTAGACTCTAATCGCATCCGAATCACTGAGACTCCCAGATCTTCAATTCATGGAGGTGTTTCCAACTTTAGGGGGTAGTAAATATGTTGCTATTAGCGATAAAAAAATATATATCCCCTATAAGCGCTACTTTCTGGAAATTCAAATACAATTATACCTAAGTTTAGGCTTACCATACGTCCCGCTTTAGGCAGGACAGTCCCGCTTTTTAGCGTTTTGTCCCGCCGTCCCGACATGTCAGCCAAAAGTCCCCTTTGGCGTTCAGCCATCCAGCATAATACACGAACATGTTCTCGTTACTGTTGTTGCTGTGTAGCGCAACGCTAGCCTACTTACTGAAGGTGAATGAGTTATTTGCGAACGTATCACATGTAAAATCAATTCCCATCGGTCCTGTTCCGACGTTGGCGTGAATGTAACATTGAACAACGTCTTTTTGAAGGTGTTATCTACAGAAAAGCATGCTTGGGCAAATAAGTAAATTCTCAGTGCTTAAAAACGGCAGCCTATTTCATTATTCTTTATTCCTTTTGCTGTACATAAAAAACTCTATATTCGGATCATTTGTATCGTTAGCGTACATTCCTTTCTATTTTTCGAACTGAACCCGATATTTAGGCAGAGAATATGCTCATGAACTCTCGATGACAATATGGTCAATGAAGACAGTCGGGATGGCTTTAAATGTAGGCCTACAGTGTTTCCCCGAAAATGAAACAGTGTCTTAAATTTTCTTTGGAAAAAGAACCCTAGGGCTGATTTTGGGGGGATGTCTTATGTTTTAATTTAGAGAATTACGAGATTTTCAAATAAACAAAATATGGAAACCGATATTAATTTACCGTACTTATAAATAGCAAGTGGACCTCCCGAAGTATGCGCACTAAGATGGCGTACAACCTGAACTCAGGTTGTGTACCAGGTCAGGGTTCAGGTTATGCGACTTCTTGGTGCGCATACTTCAGGAGTACCCAACACGTTTTTATTTAAAATAACTACTAAACATAGAATGTTAATCCTTTAAAACGAGTAGGAAAGATGTCTTGCTATCGACTAGGTAAAAAAAATTGCTCTAGGTCTTATTTTAAGGGTAAGGCTCATATTAAAATCATTTTAAAAATTCAGGCTAGGTCTTATTTTCGGGGAAACACGGTATGTAGTAAAATCGGAAACTGTAAAGTTACAGGATCACAGCTAAAGGGTCGTGTCTTTGGAGGCGTCCCGCTTTGAGGTCAAAAAAATATGGTAACCTTACCTAAGTTAGAAATTTAAAGTGTGGTATAACACTTCATATGGTATGGGGAGGCGAATTTTTTTTTTTTTGGGGGGGGAGGGAAATAACTAATACCTATAGGAAAGCGATTGAATGTTTCGATTTCGTTTTAAATACCTTCCATGTCTTCTTGTCTGAATTTTATTCTCATTCTTTTTATTACAGAAACGAATGAGACTAATTCTACATCGTTATCGGACGTCCAGCCTTCACCAAACAGTGCAAGCGCTCCTTTGTTAGTCGGTGGGTACTTTCATGCGATTCTTTTTTGATCTTTCTTTTCAAACAAAACACTGTGTCAGGGACGTAGCCAGAAATTTTTAAAGGGATGGTTGTAAAAGTTGTGATGGCCACGTGCTGCTAGCGGTTCTGGCGGGGGCCGGAACACGTGGGTTTTCAAGAGTTTTGAGGGTATAAAAAGCGTTTCAAGCTACAATTGCTATGTATACTAAAGAAAAATGCTTATTTATTTTTCATATTTCATAAAGGGGAGGGGGAGTTCCGGCACTAAACCCCCTCTGGCTACGCCCCTGAACAGTGGCAAGCCTAATAAGCATTTGATTATATTACTCATAACAATATACTTGAACAGTATGAAAATTGACTCCCGAATTTCAATGAAACTTGACAGACCCTAGGGTGCCGAGAAACCCGGTTTAAAAACCATTTCTCAAACCATTCAACCAAACACATTTCATATTGCCCGACTATATCGTTTTATCAAATATAAACTTTAATGTCGCCCTATTATAACTCTCTCATATATGTATTTCAGTTGTCGCCATAATCGCCTTCGTCACCCTATTGCTCCTATTCATTGGAATGATTAGATATAGATTCTGCAAACGGGCTTCTTATTACATCAACGAGGCTTACGACATGGATAAACTATATAGTAACAGCGAGAACAAACCTCTCAAGGAAACAGATGTCCCCCCAACGAGCGTTTGCGGGGAGAGAGGAAAACAAGAGTGGCTTGTTTGAAACGTTGTCACTAGATTTTGTTTAAAATTTTCTGAACACTGATATCTAACGATCAGTTGGAGTAAATATGGTTTGTCGCCTTTAACACTGGTAAAAAGTCGGTTCGGAGTAATTTTTAAATTTCCCGGAAACAGAGTCGAAACTATTTCGACAAAACTGAAAGGGGTACAGTATTGGGTACAAGTCATCAGCCCCCAAGTCTCAAAGTCGAGCCACGGGTTGTGACATGACATGTCGTATCAATCATTGCAAGGCCTCTCTCTACGAACAACGGGCGGGCCACTAATATCTAACAAACAATCTGGAGTTTAATCGGCTTTTCCACCGTATTTGGCCTGTGAATTTCCCGGAAACAAAGTCGAAACTATTACAACGAAACTGAATGGGGTACACTACTGGGTACAAGTTCTCAGCCCCCCCCCCCCAAGTCTCAAAGTCGAGCCACGGGTTGTCCGGCTATCGTGTCAAGTCCCAACAGATTCCGAACTTCGAGTCCAACATTTTCAAGTCTAGAAACTTGCGTTCGACATGGATAAAATAAAGTATTTGAAAGAAACAGATGTCTCGCCAATCAGCGTTTGTGGGGAAAGAGGAAGGAAACAGTGGCTCGTTCAAAGATCGTGACATGACATTTCTTCAATCATTGTGAGGCCTTTTGCTACGAACAACGCTTTATACAAGCCGCCACTGATATCTAACAAGCAATCTGGAGTTTGTCGCCTTTTCCACCATAAAAAGTCGGGTCGGAGTAGTTTTTCAAACTTTCAGAAACCGGAGAAATTTCCCGCTGAAATTAAAAATAGATTGAGCTGAGGTGAAAATTTATTGTTTTTCCCAACAAACTCAGGGAGCTCCACACATCCAATTCCGCTCTTCCCTTCCAAACACTGTTTGTAAACGGCCAGTTTTGCATCCTGCAGAATTTGGTATTTTGAATAACTCCGGTTTGGGATTAATGTAATTTTAGTTATTGATGCCAAGAAAACGACGAGTTTTCAGGTGAAAAAAACAACAAAATTTCATGCTGTACAATGCATTGTGTCCACTGAAGATAATACTACCACGAACACACGTTTATTTTTCAAATTATTCCTTTTAATTTTGTCAACCTGAGCGGAGTTAATTTTTTTTTTTGAAAGGAGGTGAATAAAACTTAGGTAATGCTACATCCCCGGCGACATTTCCCTTCTTTTATTATTATATCTTATGCATTTTTTATATATTTTTTATTCTCGCCTTATTTGCTAATTTTATGTGGCAATATCAAAATACTACATTGTACATATTTTTATAAGGTGTTGTGCCTCTGAGACACTATCACGGCCCTAGACAAGCGGATATGAAGAGAGACTATGTGATTTTGAGTACGCTGAAAATTCATTACTCCCGTAGTGTGTGTACCAGGTTAGGGTTAGACCATAATTTTATTCCTATTTCCCTTATTTTAGTTCTATTACGAGTTCGGGGGCTGTCTATGCTAGCCAAGTGAATATACCCCTGCCCATAGGTTTCAGTTTCTTTACACGTAAAATAGGCGAATAAAATTAGTAACCTTCATATTGGTACACATACTTCTGGAGCGTCGAAAATTCTTACCATGAAAATTATAGAACAACGATTACGACAGTACGCAAATAAATAATTGAAATAGTCTCTTATATGAGGTACTGTACTGTTTTCGGAATTTCCACGTTTTCAAATTTAACCTTCTTAGTCAATTAACCCATGAGTAACGCAGTATGCATGAAGTTTTAAAGTTCGAGTTTATTCAACAGACAGGGGCGTGTCAAACTTTTCTGCTGCTCGAGACCAGTTTCTGATAAAGATGCCCCTCTACCTAACTTCAAAAATATTTCGGGGGATAAACAAATTATAGATGTTGGCACACATAAATTAATAAATTAAAGAATAAATAAGTTAAAGGTCAAGTAAGAGTGAAATGTTTGTAATAAATCATCAAACTAAGCAACAAACTCACCCATATGCCCCCCTCTGGATACGACAGACCACGAGAGCGAAATGTTTGCTCCCGAAGTATGCAAACCAAGATGGCGGACATCGGAATGTAATATGTGTACTAGGTTAGGGTTAGGCCATATTTTGGGTATAAATACTACGGGAGGCTCTTGGCTAGTCTTCTAACTGATAATAGGACTAAAATAAGGAAAATTGGAAAGAAATTATCGCCTAACTCTAACCTGTTACTCATTTTGAATCAAAGGTAAAAGTAATGGTTTTTGGACGTCGCAACTCTGGACTGTCCGCTCATTCACACAACAAATAAACTCCATCTAGGTAAAATTATCTATTTTTTTTAATAAATAAATAAGAAAATTAAAAATGATGAAAATTCCATTATTCTTGGATAAGACAAAAAAGTAAATATCTAGCAAATTCGTTTATATGAGGACTCAAGCACATGGTTGATCGCGTTGGGATTGTGGCGTCCTCTGTTTTGCAATAGATGCTATTTTGCTCTCTATTTTGCTATAACCAAGGTTCGCTAAATATTAAGCCGCATTACTCCTTTCAGCTCCCGGGGAGAAACAGAAAAACCTCCCATAGGAACACGGAGAGACTGAGCTTCAGTCATATTATAAATCTTCTATTGAGCAATAAATAGGCTCATCTTCGCATTGTTGTGACATAGTTGAATCATTTGACCGTAAAAAGCTCGATGACTGTTCTGTAACAGTATAAAGTCTTTGTGATTTGAGAAACAAATTGTTTTCCGAGTGTGATGTCACGACTGATAAATTCCGTGGCTGATTGTGATGCAATACTTCAAAATCAGTCATTGTTAGTAACGCCGGTGAAGATTCTGATTGGTTGTTCAGATTTAGATTGGACCAATCATCAAGGCGGCGACAAACTGTGGGTCGAAATCCGCGAGGGAGTGAATGTGATTGGTTCATATTCTCGTCTGAGCTAGAAATTGACCAATCATCGTGGTACGAAAAATCTAAGGAAGTGTCCGAGGTAACTTGCGCTGAAATCGTTCGAATATCTATTCTTTCGTGAAGTGGGGGTGACGCCACGCTCTGTTGACTTCTTGAGTCGCCTTCTTGTGATAAATGAATAATTCCGAGCTCCCTAGCAGTTACATAGTCATTTGGAACCGAGTTTTGTTTCTGACGAAGATATTTTCGTTTTCTTTTGCCTCGTTGTCTTATGACGTAACAAACTATTATTGACGTAATAATAGCAACAGTTGCAAACACTGTCGCTAATATGATGAATGGTAAATCCCGTGTTGGGCTGATAGTCCATTCTAAACGACTATTTGTCGTTGACGTCATTGATGACGTCACGTCAGCTTGGGGATGATTCATAGTTGTAAAGTTTCACAACATACTTTATATATTTCCGTATTGATTTTTATTGTCAAATACCTGAAATAAAGTGAAAAAAATTAGTTTGCTGCGTCAAACATCTGGGCGATGGATTTTAATTTCGTGTGGAAAATTCGGCCTTCCAAACTATCGGAATTATATTTTATCAAAGCCTTAATTAAAATTATTATAAAAATGATGGCTTTAACATTAGTTTACTCATTCAGAGTCTTGTCAGGAGTATAGCGGAGATGCGGCATATTTCATGAAAATTTGTAATTACCCAAACTGCACAATTAGCCCTTCCCTGGTCACTTTAGCCCAGATAGTGACGAATAAACTGGGTAGACATTTCTGAACCGAGAAGAATCAGGTGTTTTCAATAATTGTATCTCTGCTTGTTTCGAGTCTTGTTGAGATCGAATCAAGGGCTTGGCGTTTTTTACGAAGAAATGAAATTATTCTAAAATCGAATTTCAATCAAATTTGTTGGCTGCTTAGCAAGTCGATAGTAGTTGAAACGCCAGACTTGACTTTGTCTGTATCGCACATTAAATATTTCGTTTCAAGCCCCATGCCCATCTCCTCAATAAAGGTGGAATGCAGCGGTTCCCAAACTTTTTGTCCGTGCGGCGCTAAAATATCAGGGGAAAAAACTCGCAGCGCACCTACACGAAAAAATGCTGCTTTCAAATAAAACTCAATTTTGTGATCGTTAATGCGTACTTTATGCCTTTAAAGTTTGTAAACATGTCGGCCTAAACAATAAAAGCTAAACTCGGTTAAGCAAATACATAGACTGCAGTTCACGATATTGCAGTGAGTAGTGTCTATCTACATATATTGTTGCATAACAATAGAGGTAGCCCTACTTTGAAGAAAATGAACGACATAGAATGCTAAAATGAGTTTATTGACTCCCTTGCACAGCAATCAAAATAGGAAACAATAAAACATTTATATTAAATACAATATGTAAATATTCAATCCTATTTTAGGTATGTATTACACAATTCTGAAATTTTCGCGGCGCGCTTAGCAACTAGACTGGGAACCGCTGGTGTAATGTATCGGGTAGTATAAAATCAAACCAGAAAGATTTCGGTCTTTCCAAAAATAGCAACTTCTTATATATCAGACTACTTGTTTAGTTTATTGCCTTGCCTTGTTCGAAGTAAATGGTTGAAAAGACAGACAAGACTTAATTTTGCCCACTTGGACTGGTGGGCCATGTGAGTGTGACGTAAAAAGTTACATTTTATGAACAATATTTATAGTGTTACAAAAGCAAAAGTGGAAAACAATAAACATCGCGCCGAAACTAAATTCAATCACAATCTCAACAAATTCATTGAGCTATATTTTTAGCTTAAACGTCGAAATTTGTTTTTAGTTTGGTTATGGAAGCATCAGGCGGGCCTGATTGAATTATCCAACCGGCCGGATTTGGCCCGCGGGCCGCAGGTTGCCCATGCCAGGTATAGAGTAAACCAGTGGTTCCCAAGCGACCCAAATTTCGTAAAAAATAAATTGAGTAAAATCTCGCGTCCCAAGGATTTGCTCAAATGTATGCTTCCATGACCGCGAAAGTAAATTATTGTACAAAATATAAGCAATGATTTATACATGAAATTTTTCCTATTATCTATCTGATATTTCAACATTTTTTTTTCGATTGCCATGAGAGAGGTTGAAATCATGGCATGGCTTTATTTCAAGCAAAACAGTATCCGTCCAGATTTTCACGATGTTGTTTATAAAGTCTCTTAACAATTTCTATTTGTTATGAAGTCAGGTTCTCAATATATCTTAACCAGGTTTGTTGTTTTTTTAATCAGTAATTGTTCAAGTATTTTTATGTCATTCAATACTAAACAATATATGGTATCGATAAATTGCCTTTGCAATTTAAAAAAAATTCCAAGACTTTATGGACACGCTATATAATTACTATTGACCAACACTTCAATACTAAAAACAAAATAAACAATAAAATTCACTTAAAAATAAAATCAACATCCATTCTTTTATTGAAAAAACAAGCAACTCAAAAATTTTTTCAGGCAACCCAGCTCTGGGCTGCGACCCACAGGTTCGGAAACAATGGATTAAACGAAAATAGTCCATGCTGGATTGTTTATTTTCATGTCGGGGGTCCACTTAGCCGTTTTATGATTTATCTGAGTCACCCCTTTTACTGGCCAATGCGTTATTTACATTGGGGCAGTCATGTTTATTTAAGCCAGCGTGACACGTTTATTATAAAATAGTAAAATAAATGGCTTTTTACTATTGTATACTAAATGGTTTGACGTTACACGAAATTATGTACACATAACTCTCTTCCATGACAGTGTGACTTGAATTGCATTCCGTCCGAGTTGAGGGTGGGAAGCCTCAGTCTTATTTGAATTTTATTTCTTCTTTCGAAAATAACACTAGGGCTTATTTTGGGGCGATGTCTTTTATTTTATTACAAAGTGGAGAATTACAAGATTCTCAAATACACAAAATATAAAAACAATTTATCGACTAGGTCAAAAAAATAAAAAATAAATTCGCGCTATCGACTAGGTCTTATTCTAAGGAGAGGTCTATTTTAAAATAATTTTTAATAAAATTTAGGTTATTTTTTATTTTCGTGGAAACACGGTAGCTATCAGCACAATAGCGGTATCTTATAACTTTCATTCATTATTGTTTCCACTTTCAGTGTCGATTTTGTCAAGAGCAAAATGGCATAAAAACTAATCCTGATACATGGGTTTATCGTTATATTGCATTTCCGGTACTCCCGATGTATGTGAACCAAGATGGCGGACACTGGAACGTAGTATGTGTACCAGGCCAGGATGGGGTCATTATTTTATTTCAATTTTTCTTATTTTAGTTCTATTACGAGTTCGGGGACTAGCCAAGTTACTCCCGTAGTATTTGTACCTGAAATTATGGCCTAACCTGGTACACATACTACGTTCCGGTGTCCGCCATCTTGGTTCCCATTCTTCGGGAGTACCGCATTTTCTAGTCCGAAATCCTCTAATTTTTTGATCATCTGTCACGGACCAGAATCTTTACGCTTTGACATTGCCCACCCAATTTATTACACCCTGGGTGAGCGGGAGATCACGGAGGTTAAACCGAGATCTTACCATTTTAACGACCAACCGTGCGCGAGATCATCGTTCGCCGTATGATTAAGACACCGTGACCCCCCCCTAAAATTCCGAACACCCTTCCCAACTTTGGTGTGTGACACCGCACCCTAATTGTTAAGGTGAATAAAATTGTTTAAACAAAATATCTACCACATCTTAAATTTGGAAACAACCCGGAAAAGTAAAAAAGCTAGGGGACAAACTACTAAGCCACATTCTCTCGGAACGAATATGAAAAATTGGTTCCGTCGTCGCATTTCCTCAACACCATCCTAGGTAAATATAAGATAGGATACTGCACTTCTCTTCAGCATTTTATCCTGACCTTACCAAATATCAATTAAACCAAATAAAAAAAATCAGAGAAATCGTGGTGGGACCATAAACAGATTGTAATATAAAATATATATCAAAAGGGGTGTATGCCGCACATCTGTGTTTTAGGCCAATATGGTCTTGTGCATACATCCCGTCTTCCGTATTTATAATTACTTACTCTTTTATATTGCTTTTACGAGACGAATAAACATACATACATACATACAATTATATAATACCAAACACCCAACACGGTACTAAATCTTACAACTCAACCTCAAGCTATGTAGAGACTGTTTGATTTGGAAGGCTTTTCTGAAAACTAACGGACGACGCGTAATAGAAAACCCTCTATTCGGTAAACAAAAGCCCCAACCATATGGCTATGACAACACAATCGGGGTCATTGTACGCAACAATGGTTTAAATAACCCGGCTATTAAACCGATGTTTTTCTTTGAAATAATGTCCGCCATATTGAATCGATAGAATAATTACTGTTTATGTTTAAATTACGACGAGAGATCAATTTAATAACCCTTTATTGTGTCGTCATTATCTAATGAGTTCTCGATCATTAATGACGCAACAATAGGAAGGTGCGATAAAGTTTTGATTACATAACAATGAGAGAAATTTGAGAGTAAGTACAGTAACTCTTGATTATAATTTGATGGAAATAATTAATTTTTACGCTCACTGGCTTTAATAGCCAGCTAAGAGCTAGTCGAAAGAGAAACTAAATTTTTACGGAATACGGTAATAACAGTGTGGTTGTTTTATTGTATTTCTGTTATGATACTCAATGAGCTTTAACTGTTTGGACGCATTAGTCCACTTTTTTAGGTCTTGAACCTAACTATTTTTGCAGGCGCTCCCGAAATATGTACACCAAGATGGCGCAAAACCTGAACCCCAACCTGGTACACATACTATGTCCAGGTTGTGCGCCATCTTGGTGCACATACTTCGCGAGCGCCTGCAAAAATAGTTAGGAAGTGGGGCACATTTTTGCATGCACCCGGGTGTAATAAATTCGGTTGCTAACGCCGAACTATAAAAAATTCCGATCTTTTTGCAAAGTGTAGCTATCCGCTATTGTAAAGAATATGAATATTTAAACAAGTGTTTTATTATTCTTTTCTACCTTTACCATAAACGATTGTTTGTACGAATGATCGAGTGGAATTTTTGAAGAGACCTCATAATATTTCTGATGAAGTAATTTTGTTGCAAATAACGAGAGCAGAATATTTAAAATTTCGATTAAATATTAATAACAATAAATGCATAACGAAATATATAAAGGAGAAAAATGTAATTTAATGAAAGTAAAATAACAGTGCATTTTAATTGAAAAATAGATTAGTTACACGCCCGTAGCTGCTTACCTAGAGTCCTATTCAGAGCGAAGACAGAAAACATGTGACAACACACACAACGATGACCGTGGCTAAGAAACCTTTGTTGAATTTTAGTTTTTACTTGATCGGTATTTTTTGGCCCTGAATTGCCCTTTTTATCGTGTGTGTGTGTGTGTGTGTTTAGGTAACAGCGCGCTTTCAATGTTTTTGGGGAGTCCGTGCGTACATATAAAAGTTTAGTTTTATCCAGGATATGTAAAGATTTCCTTTTGAAGTGTCAATAAAACGGCTTAATCATGTGACCAGCCACGGCCTCTCGTGCGGATGACCAGCCCATTTGTATATTCCACCCGACCCATCTGGTTATCAATTTTCATTCTAGCACAACTGTCTGTATTAGTAACGTTTTTTGAATATATGTCAGAAGAGGTACACGTCAGCTTATATTTACCATTACGAGACGAATAGACATACATACATAGTTATTCATTTCATACCATTAACTTCGCCAACTAAGCATTTTGTTTTTCTAAAATCTGTTCTAAAACCGTAGGTTGCTCTCGCGATGCTATTATCAGTTTCATTTATTTTATTATTTTTATGAATTTTATTTTGTTTTTATCAATTATCATATTGCTTATTATTCTGATTATGGAGTCGAAATAAACTTATACTTATTCATGTCATAGCATGGACTTTGTCAACTAAGCATTTTGCTTTTCCGTTTGTTCTTGTTAGGTTATTTTCTTTAATGCCAGAACAAAACGATTGACTTAGACGTTTTTCGCGAATAAACCTCATATATACGTCATGTATGATCGTCGATATCCCATTCGTTCATAAGGCTTTTCATCTTCAATGGTCTGTATCGGTCATACACATACATGAAGGAGTTTGCAGACACGTGCGAACAAAACACGTGAAGATACGATGCGTTATGTATTTTTTAAAATGATGAAAATATGATTACCTTGGGCAAAATTATTAGGCTATATAACTTGCCTATTTTTTTGAATCGATTAATTAAATATATGATAATAAATTTCTTATTATTTAAAAAAAAAATAGAGATTGTATAGGAATCGATCGAGTAATTTTTTGAAATAATTTGCATCGTAACTTCGCTGGGATATTTTTGCAGGTCAGTCACGTTGCTAAATCATGGCTAAATCTGTGTGATGCTGTGAATCTGCTAAATGCTGTGAAATTAGACAAATTTAATAGTGCAAAACCCCATAACTGTGATTATTGAAAGCTCAGACATGCAGGTAGATGTGTCTGTTCCGATGTAGGTATTTACATGCATTGGCCAGTGTCATTTGGGTGCATATCTGAGTAGAGTACTATGTGTATTAATTTTTAAAATGTTTAAAAAGAAAAAAAAAAAATCATGGCTAAATCTTGCCGACTAGCTTACTTACAGCCGAAAGTTACGGTTTCAAAGTGGAAGTTAGAGAGGTAAAGAAAGTGTTTATTCGATAAGAGGACTTTATCATAAAGATCAGTTCAATTGACTTGTTTCGGGAGCAAAAAATTTCGTATTTACACTTAGTTTATTACTTTTAAAATGTTTTAAACCTAATTTAAAGTTTTGGCAACTTTTCTGACTTTCCTGTTATACCTGTATACACTTCTATGTGTTTGTCTTGGGTATTGTACTCATTTAATATAATGGTGGAGTTATTATCAACATTCAGTATATCCCACTTCGTTGTTGTTTGGTCAGTTGGTCTAAATCCTGCACAAAAATACAATATTGACATTAATTCCATTCATCTGTCTGCATAGTCATAGAGTTCAGTAGTGAAGAAGTATTTCACTTTTGAAAAATGATGCAAGTAAAACAAAAACTGGCCAACTAATCCCATACCGGTACCCGACATTAACCAGATGTAGAGATGAGAGGCCGTGGTTCGCCATATTGCTGTAATGCAATGTAAAGTCCTTCCTAATCTTATTGGCTTCACTCTCTCCTGTGATAAACCTGAACATCCTATTACAGTATTACGCTTAAATTCATTCTCAAAAGCAAAATAGTTCCCTATTCGATTTCCATGCACTGTTGACAAGCTTTTTTGAAATTTCATCAAGGTTCACTACAATTAATCATTCAGTATGGATTTACCTTTATTGGTGTTTCGTGGTAAAGGGGAACACTCTTTAATTTTATCCGAGTGGAATCCAGAAGTTCAATTCTCTGAAGAGAAAATGACAGCACGATCGTTGCATGCTCCACCGAATAAACCATGTCGTGCAATGAAATTTAGCAATAAAGGATTCATGTTCGTGTATTGTGATAGTGAGAAAACCTATGTTTATAACACCGTGACGTTAAAAGAACTAGCAACTTTACCACTGGCGAAAACGTGCGGCCTTAATTTTTCTCCGGACGACAAAATTCTGTGCACTTTGGAGCCGTTTTTCACGTCAAAAGAACTCCCAGAAGGGAAAAAGAATTTGAAAATTTGGGATACGTCAACTTGGGACTGCTTAGCTGAAATAAAACAAAAATCTCAGTCGCTTTGGAGCCCGGTCTGGTTTGGCGATGCGTCTGTTTGCGCTCGTTTGATGACGAATAACATATTTTTTTACGCTGGAAATAATTTTAACGACGTCGTCACAAAACTACACATTGACAAGTTAGAAAATTTTAGTTTATCGCCAACGACAACAAGTCCCCATCGGGTGGCATGCTTTGTCCGTGGAGCTAAAGGTGCACCATCGTCAGTGAAGATATTCAATTATCCTAAATTTGAGCGAGATGACGTAATAGCGAGCAAAAGTTTTTTTAAAGCTGATACGGTGAAAATCACGTGGAATCAAAAAGGTACTGCAATTTTAATTCGTGCAGCCACAGAAGTTGATACAACGGGTGCATCGTACTACGGAGAGCAGTCATTACATTACATGAGTTGTAACGGAGATACATCGATTGTGCAACTACCAAAAAATGGCCCGATATATGACGTCGCTTGGGACCCCGATTCGACAAGATTTTGTGTTACATACGGATTCATGCCTGCGAAAGCAAGCATATTCAACCACAAATGTAATATTTTACATGACTTTGGTCCTTCCCCGAAGAATATGTGCGTATACAACCCGCAAGGCAATATATTGCTATTGGCTGGGTTTGGAAATTTGCGGGGAAACATAGAAGTATGGCATAACGACTCTAAAGGTATAAAGCAAATTGGCCAGTTGGAGGCGCCAGATACAACTCAACTTGAATGGTGTCCAGATGGGGTGCATTTTATCACTGCGACAACAACTCCTAGGTTGAGGGTTAACAACGGTTATAAAATATGGAACTATTCACGTAGTGCACCCCTAGTGGAGAAAAAATGGGAAAATGAACTTCATGAAGTTTTATGGCAAAATTTCCCAGAGGGTTCTTTCAAAATGCCGGTTATCAAAATTGGGGGCGTATCGGCCCCAAAAGTGGGACTAAATGCATCAAAACCGCAATCATATGTTCCTCCTCACGCTAGAGGGCGCTCTGACTATGACGCATCCAAGTTCAAACAAGACGAAGAAGAGATAGCTCAAGCGGAACAAAATCTTTCAAAGTCTGCGCTCAAAAATAAGAAAAAGAGAGAAGCAAAGAAGAAGAAAGAGCAACAAGTGCAGCAGCCGGCAAGTAATTTATCGTCGAGTCAGCGAGATGCTGTTGCTATGGCAAAATATTTGCTGAGTAATAGTGATGACAAAAAAGGACAGCAAGCAAAAACAACAGCACCACCGGGTGGAGAAATTGAGAAAAAGATCAAGAATTTACGCAAGAAGATTCAAACAATTGAAAAATTGAAAGTTCAACAAATCGAAGGAAAACAGCTCGAGAAAAACCAAATTGAGAAAATTGCAACTGAAAGCGATTTGAGAGCTCAGTTGAGGGAACTTGAATTGGGTTAAACTAGGGGAATTCCCAATGTTGGTGCAAATTCTAAAATTCATATCGAGCAATCTGATCATAATGCTTACTTACGGTATATATTTTTTCCTTTGTTGGGCTAGCATATTCGTCCTTGAAGTGCTCCAATTGGACCCCCAGGGCTCTGTGAGAGAAACCTATGGGCTCTGCGAGCTATTCATTTACTCGTTAAAATGCTGACTTGGCTAATTTTGTAACTGTCCAAAGAAGCAATAACGGCATTAATAAAATTCGACAACGGTAGCGTTGAAATGTGGCAAAAAGGCGGTAATAATTTTTATAAATTTATTTAGGGGTTCTGTAAATAATAGTCAACCTCTTCATGGGCTCCATGACACCCCTGGGTTAGCAAACTTTTACGAAATGCCTATGAATGCGAATCGTTTGTTGAAACTTTGAGGAATCTCCAGTGGAGTATAATAATGTGCGATTTGAAATTTTTTTTGATATTATTTGGCCTTGTATACCCTTTTCTTGAATATTTTATATGTGTTCTGGACGGCTCTTGGCATTTTAGTGGGGCACGTAACACTGTTGGATCAGTCTCCTTTAGAGTTCTATATTGACCTTGAGGTCCATGTCCATGTTAGGGAGGCAGCATCAAATCAAAAAGATTTCAGTACGTCCAAAGATAGTTTTTCTGCGAGTGAAAACGTTATATGAAAATAGCCATTCATCATTTGCTACTACTAAATTGTTGGAAAATTTTTGATTCATTTGTTTTTGCTGACTGTATAATTAGTGTCTTGGTCTAGAACAGTGGTTCTCAAACGATAGGGCGCGCCACATAAGGCGGGCGTAGACAGTTTTTGAAGGGGGCGTGGAGCAAATTCAAAATAAAAACATTTGTTAGATTTGATCTTGCCCGCCTTATTTTGGATATTTATGTTCCATTCCAAATTTTTTAACGTGTTTTTTGAATAAAACATACTCTCGCTTTACTATCTGTTATTTGTAGCTTATTGTTAGCTAGTTATTTTTGAGGTGGGATGCCAGACTTGACAAATTTTAAAACGTGGGTGCAGCTTATAAGTTTGAGAACCACTGGTGTGGAGGGATGTAAAAAATGGCATTTTTCGAGTGCCTGTCTATTTCAGCATTGCTCTCTTCTGAATGCATTTAATTCCAATATTCTTTAAACTTAAGTTTTGGTTGGTCGGGCTGGTAAAATTTTTCCCGTTTTCTTAAATTCTCAATTTTTGTCTAAACTAATTGGACACTCAATTATTCATATTGTTGTCGTTTCGTTTTGAAAATTCCTGTGGTTTATTAATGACAGTAGTGCCTTCTGAAAGTTCATAAATGTTATTTCTTACCGTACTGCATACTTATCGTAGTACATGTTTGGGAAAAGCTGGTCCAACCTAATTTTATACACCCAATAATTCATTTTGTTGACGTTCCATTTTCATCTACTCAATCCTATCGCTTTGAAATTTTCTGTTGTTAAAAATGGTAGTACCTCTTAGAAGTTCATTAATGTTATTTCTTTCCCAAATTTTGTGATACCGAGGATCATACAATGATTTGTGTCCATATATTTGAGCACTGCTTTCACTTCTGTAAATCTTTAATTTTAATTCTATCATAACATTCAAAACCGAGGATGGTCAGAACCGAATAATCCCAAATACATTTTAAAACAGACAAACCACGGGCTAAATCCAGCCCGCTTGTTAATTCAATCTGGTCCGACTGATGCTGCCACAGGCAAACTAAAACCAAATTTTGATGTTTTAGTTAAAAATAGCTTAAGGAATTTGTTGAGATTGCGATTAAATTTAGTTTTGGCACGAGGCTCAATGTTTTCCACCTTTGCTTTGTAACACTGTAAACATTGTTCATAAAATGTCACTTTTTACGTCACACTTGGCCCGCCAGACTAGGTGGGCAAAATTTTTGGTCCCTTAATTTAAATACCGTGCCCACTCCTGTTCTAAAATAATCTTTTCGAATATGAAATATTGAATATATTCTGAAATGAGTCTTTTCCACAAGAGAAATTCTTCAAGACAATTTTAAATTCATAGAATTTGGTCAGGCAGAATAATTGAGATAAACATTATTCAATTGGTATTCTCTTTTATTCTGTCAGAAGTTAACTAAGTTAACTTTTTGTCTATCATAAAATGATAATTGCTTGGAAAGACATTTTCAAATAACAAATTGACTAAATGAATATAACCATTTTTGAATGTATTCGAATATTAGATTCGTTTAGGCCACCCCTGTTCAGAAACAGTAGTGAATGTTTCCATACTTGAAAAGAGTGCAGTCTCCTAAGAGGCTAATAATGAATTTATACCTTGCTCTATTCTCTAGCGATCCTCTTAAATTTGCGAATTTTGAACTGCACCATTATGTGACAATTTCAACTTGATATCCATGTATATTTAAGCGTTTTGTCTCTTTTTTGGAACACCATCATTTCAATTTTTGATCAAATTCAATTCATTAGACATTTAGAATAACGAAATATTTCTTCTTTTTTTCGAGTTCTACATATGAAATGTTACGCAGGACACACCATAGATTTTTTAGAAAAAAACTTTTACATAGAATTACTGCTCAAAGAAGAGATTTCAGTGAAGATGTGAAAGAATCTCCAAAAGTGGTGTTTTCCGGGATCCAACCAACGGGGATTCCCCATCTGGGAAACTACCTTGGAGCTATAAAACAATGGGTGGATTTACAAAAAGAAGAAAATGAAATTTACTTTTCCATTGTTGATTTACACGCCCTGACAATCCCACACGAAGAAAAAATCTGCGAGAAAGTTTTGAGCATGGTAGCGACATTACTAGCATGCGGGATTGACCCGAAAAGGAGCATTGTTTTCAAACAATCAGAAATCAAAGAACATGTTACGTTGTCATGGTTATTGAGTTGCATTGTGCAACAAAACACTTTGAAAAATATGATCCAATGGAAAGAGAAATCGAAATCTACGCGGAATGCCGCGAATTTGGGACTTTTCACGTACCCCGTATTGCAGTGTGCTGATATACTATTATATAAAGCTACTCATGTCCCTGTGGGTAACGACCAAACCCAACATTTAGAATTGTGCCGCGATATTGCTCGAAAATTTAATAACCGATTTGGAACATTTTTTCCCGAACCTGTGACACTAATAGATGAAAATTGCACGAAAATTTTATCATTACGAGATCCGTTTTCTAAAATGAGTAAAAGTCAAGGTCATGAACTCAGTCGGATTAACCTTGACGATTCCGATGACCAAATATGGAATAAAATTAAAAAAGCAGTCACTGATAACACTTCAGCCGTGACCTATGACCCTATACGAAGGCCAGGGGTCGCGAACTTGATCCAGATTCATTCAAGTATGACTGATTTAACGGTTAATGAAATTTGTTCTCGTTCCGAGGAAGAGGGCCTGGATACTGGACAATATAAAATGGCAGTTGCGGAAGCGGTTATTGATCATTTAAGACCAATTAGAGCTGAATATGAGAAGCTAGTGGGCGATAGGGAGCATCTTGAAACTGTATTGTCCGAAGGTACGACTAAAGCGAAAGAAACTGCCCAAAAAAATTGGAATGAGCTTCGAAACATGGTTGGATTGACTTAATTCAAATTATGGTACATTGCGCAATTTTTCAAAGGTCCTTAGGGGGAGAGGAAAGCACATATAACAGTGGTTCCCAACTTTTTATGACTCGTGCCCCCTTCCAGAGTCTTGAAGCACTCATAACCCTCCTGTTCATCATTACAGTAGTATTTATAGTGTTACTTTTATTGGTAGACTCCGAATTCAACCATGTTCAAACAATTCATGCTCAACAAAGTGAAAACAACCTTAATAGGTAATGAAACTAGGAAGAACGGAGAGTATTATGCAAACTGAAGTGGCCGCCGCTAACTGCTCTGGTTGGCCCAAGGTTGGGACACCACAGCTATATAAGAATCCATGATTACTTTCTATGTGGAAAGTGTGGGTAGGGGGATCTTGGCCTGAAAATATAGAAATTCTCTGCTCACGATTCCACTTTTCCGAAATTCTATTTTAACATGTTTCTATCCTCGAATTACGGTAATATAATTAAAAATGGAGCAGAAATTGGCAAGTGTATATATGATATTTGATCTGGGTCGGGTGGTAAAATATACCAATAGATAATTTATTTTGAACTGTGGTTTCAATCTTGTGAACATTGTGATAGCGACTCGTATTTAGCTTAGAAAATCTAGTCCAGGAGTAGGCTAATTACAACCCGAGGGACAGATCCGGCCCATTGATATGTTTCATCCAACTCACTTGCGTCTGCTGAAAGTGTGCATCCTAATGCCAACATAGTTATTAAATCTATGGCCTCAAACCAGAAGGATGTCATTTCTGAATCACTTAATGCAGAAGTACACAACGTTATTATTAAGCGGAGGGCGTGCAACATGCTGCCAGCCACTCACGTAAGTAAAACACATGAAGTTTTCTGCGCTCGTCACTGCGTTAAATCTTTGTTTGTTTTGCCCAATAGTTTATTGCTTCAAGGATAAGCAGTGTGACAAGGCTGAATATCTGGGGTTGGGTATATGGCCCACTGACAAAAAATGATGCACACCCCTGTTATGGAGTTTCTAGTAACAGATTTGACACGATTGACGTAAGGTCTTAAACGATTCAACTGCGCAAAATTAGCAAAACATGTCTTCAAAGTTGAAAATTTTTATGTATGCTGGCTACTGTGACCCTAACATCCCACTGTCAGAATGATTCAAGGCGGGCCACAAGAGAATTTTTGATAATTATTCCTTCCCTAATTTCAAATGAATATGCACACAATTCTCATCTAGCTGTGTGTTTTTAAAGCACATAGATACAATCAGCTATGTACACCACCATGTACAATTAAATAAGTAAAGTGAATTGCAACAGAATGAAATTAAAAATGATAAGCAGCTGGCAAGCTCTGTCACGTGTCTGGCAAGCAGCCTCGATTGAAAGTGCAATCAAATCAAAATTTCAAAAAATAATACTCTTGACATATTGTCGAAAAGTTAACTATGTATAATCAAAAACGAAAGCAGGTTATTTATATATACTACATGAACAAAAATATTGGCATGTTGACATAATAGTTGAAATATGCTTGTCGTAGAAGGTCAGACTTTGGTCAGATAAAGCGTTACAGAAGGTGACCGTACATTTGAACCCATGCGTATATCCACGGGTTCAATCTATATGCGGGTGCTAAAACCCATGGGTTAGGGTTAGTATGGGTTTAACTATCCGTGAAACGAAAAATTTCCATAGGTGCAATAGCATATAGGTGCAATTGTCATGGGTTCAAATGTAATGGAACCGTTACAGAAATATAATTGTGTCAGTGTGCAGCAAAACGCTTGAATTACTTAGGATATATTGTTGAAAAACATGTACCGTATATATATTTGAACTATGTATATCTGAGGAAGCCTGACCCTGGTCAGACGAAATGTTACAGAAATATAATTGTGTCAGTGTGTAGTATGACTCTTGAATCCAGTGGCCTATCTACATAAAATGGCACGCATGGCAAAGTTAAAAAATGCGCCCTTGGGCTCGATGACTGACGATTTTCAACAAACAACTGTTGTTGAATTTGGATACTCGTACGGTATTATTTAAGTAAAAATATGAGTTTTAATCATTTTACTTTCAATTTGAAATTATTTTATTGAAACATTTTACGATTAAAACTTTGCCCTCTATGTGCCCCTGTCCAAAAGGCAACCTAGATTCGCCACTGCTTGAATCAATTTCATAAAAGTCTCTCGATGAAGCCAGGTTAGGACTGGATTGCGTCAGTATTCAAAAAATACGAGTAATAATGTACCATATATGACGTTTCATATAAACTTAACAATGTTCAGTATAAAAATAATTGCAACAAAAAAATTAGGAAATGGATGAAACTTGCTATCACTACCATGTCTTGAATCCTTTACAGCAGAAGTTGTGTAAAAAAAAGCTGTGAATAATAGAGCAGTTGAATACTTTTTTCACTTGGATTGAATTATGATATGACTTAATAATGGACATGTCTGAGAAACTACAAAGCTTGACAACATACATTAAACAAAATTTAAAAGAAATAAAATAAGACCAAAATCCACGACCATAAATTTTACACTGATGAAACTAAGGTAAACTGTACCATATAAATATCAATGGAGAAATAATCCAAAGTCAAAAGGTATCATGTATAATTATCCTCATTAAATAAGTGCACAAATGACAGTTAAATACATTTTACCACTGCCAGTTGGATGCTTTGTCCAATGAAAACTCAAGTACAAACAAAAACTGTAAATTTTACCAAAATGAAACTACGGTAAGTCAAAAGGTACCATATAATTATTCTCATTGAATACCTACCGGTAATGCACAAATGAAAATTAAATACATCTTACCACTGCAGGTTGGGTGCAAGTCAGAATCTCATCTCAACGAAAAGTGAAAATTCTACTCACCAGAATGAAACTAAGTCAAAAGCTACCATATAATTATTAATGGAAACCCCAGTAAATAGGTGCACAAATGAAAGTTGAATGTTGTGCGCTAGTCAGAATCTCAACGGAAAGTGTAAATCCTAATATTCAAGGAATTTTACTATAATGAAACTACCGTAAGTTAAAATGGGCCATATACTATTTGGTGACAACTTATTTTAAAAGAAATTTGCCTATGAAATGAATGCCTACAATTAAAGAGATTAAGCGAATTTACAGATATTTGGAATTTAGTACATGCATCTGAAACAAATAAATGGCTAACAAATCGGACAAGAGGTCATGGTATCTCATATGATTAAGCCATCTTTATCGGCTTTTCTCTCCCCCGAGATAAATATATAATTCCCAAATCTAGATCTCGTGGCCATAGGTACTCACAAATAATCTCAGTGGCTCTTGGATAATTTCTTTCAGTGGTTGTATTATTGTATATAACTTCACTCAGAAACGAGTATTTTCCATTACTGAGAAGGTAACCATGACCCCAGCTTGGGGAAAATTCCTTAAAAATAAACTAATTTGCCATTATCATACATAAATACACCCTTAATTAACTTCTCAAGGAGATCAGTCTTCTTCATTTCTGTGAGAGTATGTAAACTTTGTTTGGGCAAATTAAAAAAAAAAATAAATTGTCAGTCACAGGCCAAAATGACAATGTAATTAATAGTTGCATTCCTACAATTCACACAGTGTTATTGTCATCATCAGATGACAATTCATTTGCTTCCAGTCTTCGATATTCATCAGTATTGTGTCTTCCTGAGGATCCAAAACTGGCAGGAATTTTTCGCACCACGGCCGCAATACTGAACGAATCGGCACTGTTTTTTTCACTCCATGCTCTCACTGGCACCGTTATTTCACCCCTATTCTTTTGACAGCAACATGTTGCTGTGATGCCGAGAATAGCTCCTAATGCAAAGCAGAGAAATGATGCTATAATCCAGAAAAACGTGTTTTTCGATTCTACAATTTGTACTTCAGGGGTATAATTATTTTTACTTTTATTTTGGTCTTCAATGAGAGAAGTTTGAAACTTAGCTTCTACCGCAGTCAGCACTTCAATATGTGAAAAAGTAGGATTTTGCGTATTTTCTGGCAACGACGCTTCGTATGTCGGTAAATCAGTAGATAAAGCTTCATATGCTTCGTGCTGTTCTTCTAAAATGGTTCCAGGTGTTGTTAACTCAGTAGGTGAAGCTTCTTCTAAAATCATTCTAAGTGTCGTGCGGGTCGTGAATTCATGCGGAAATATTCTTTCCTGATCGAAAAAACTAGGATTAGTCATTTCTTTACTCGGAGATATTTCAGATGATTCTTCGGAGATCGTCTCAGATTCATGCGGAAATATTCTTTCCTGATTGATAAGACTAGGATTAGTCATATCTTTACTTTCAAATACTCCTGGTGATTCTACTAAAGTCCCAGATTCATGAGGAAATGTGCCCTCTTGATTGTGAAAAATAGGCGTTTCTTTGAAATTATTTGAGTCCATTTTTGGAAAATTAGAATCTTCATATGCGTAGCTATTTCGAGCAGTTGGGTTTGGAGGAGAAATATCTTCTAAATAATTGTTATTAAAAACTGAGTCCGTTTTTAGAGTACTTGATCCATGGTGATGAAATATTCCTTCTTGATTGGAATCAGACGTATCTACAAAATAATTCTTGTCGACAACTGACTCTGTTTTTCGGATATCTGATTCATCATGTTGAAATATTCTTGCTTGATTATAATCTTTTCTATCTTTAACGATATCTGAGTCCGATTCATGAACATCTTCTTCATGTGGTAAACTTTGAGTAGAAACGTCCGGACAAAACGTTGAATTCGTGACTTCGAAATTTGTAGGTTCAATAGAAGGAACAAGCAGACCAAAATTATATTCCCCATTTCCATATACATTGGACTCAGGGCTTAAACCTAAACGACCTCTTATCCAGCGTCTGATATTATTTGGCTCAATTTTCGACATGCGGAAAATGCAACCATAAGTGAGAACAGCAAATGGATATTTCTTTGTAAGTTTTGGAAATGCAGTGAGGATATATCTATATAAACATGACGTGGCTAATTGTCTCAGTTGATTGATACCCTCTTGTGGTGCGCATGGGTGATACATAAACACAACCCCACCGTGTTCTAAGTTATGGACATATCTCCCTGGTGGGATATAGTTATATTCACCGTATTGTCCCCATACTTTTCTATGTGGTCCACTATGAGGGATATTACTTTCGTATAAGTCATCAATAGTCTTGTCTATACAGACATGATATGCTGATTCTGTCATATAACACCTAGGATCAAATCGTCCAATTGTGTCTGCTTTCCATGGCGAATTTTCGTAACATTTGTAATCACTATCTCCATGTAAATCAATTGAAATCCCGTATTTTCCGTCATCACAGCCATGGTTTTCCTCTCCATGTCGTTTGACAATTCTTTTCCCCAAACTTTCCCACGGAAAACAAACAAATATGAACAACACAAAGTACTTGCCATCCATTTTGAATTTCTGATTTGTCAGTAACAGCCAGCAAGCCCTCTGGCTATTTTGCTTGCGAATCTCTATTCTCTCGGCGCTATTTTGTCACAGGTAATTTGATCCGATTATTACATTAGTTCTTGTTATATGGCCCTGCCAACGCTTTAAGCCCAAAAACTGAAAAATATATGAAAAAACGAACGAATGAAAACGTATACAAAGTCGGGTCCTGTTACAAAAATCGTTCATGTGCATATCTGTGTGTCAGTCTCATCCAACTAATTAAACTCACGCTAAGTTATGGCACCGGCGTTTTTCGTCATCAGTCCTTTGTTTACATTATTCAAGCCCCAGTGGTTTTAGTATACCATTTTTGAGAAAGGCCCGTTTCTATTTAACGCCTATGACATTATCATATTTTTAATTAAATTGTAATTGCTCTCCTGATTTCGTAATCAGTTTTATTCATTCTGTTTTTTTTATCAAGTATTTTATCGCTTATTGTGCTGATTACTCCAGGTTCTCTGCATTTTAATTGTCCGTTTGTTGTTATTTTGTTTCCTTCAGAGTGACCGAAATAAATTGATTGGTTGATTATAGAGTTGATAAACTTATACTATTACCAATAATTTTTGAAGCTGTAATGCCGAGTCATATCACATTTCAAACTCAACAGTGACTCAATGTTCACATGGGTGCAAACGTCCATGGGTGCAAATTTACATAGGTGCAAATGTACGCGGGAGCAGATGTAAGTGGGTGGGTGTCTTTTTTTTTACCCAAGTAATAAAATATCAAGTAATACGATACTTGCACCGTCGAAATAAATAGCAGAGTAGAAAACTAATACATAAAGGGGAAGATTGCGTTAGGGTTCCCGTTTATTCATTTTTCCAATTGATTGAATTAAAATTCGATTAGTTCCCATCCAAATTTGATGATTAGATCCTATTTCACGGGAATAAAAATTTGCATAGAAAAAACAGGAAAACCGAATTTTATATTGCAAATGTCTGTGGGCGCAAATGTTCCTGGTTGGGTTCAAATGTCCGCGGGCGCTAAAATCTATGGGTGGAAATCAATGTTCCCTCTAATTTTTTGTAGTATTTGTGCGCAGAAATTTTGGTGCGTGTGCACTTTTTTGGAAATGACTAATATTTGTGCAAAAACCTATGAAGAAATTGGCGTTCTAACCGGGTAATGGGTGGGCCAACAACAAACTTTCTCAACCTGCCAACCGAGCACATTGTTACATTACATCGAAATACGTCTGTGCACAGTAAATCTATGCGTGTGCGCAGTCTCTGAAAGCTGTGTTCGCGCGCATACCTTAGAGGGAACACTGGTGGAAATGTATGGGTTCAAATGTCTGTGGGTGCAAAAGTATGCAGGTGCAAATGCCCTGGGTGCAGTTGACAAGTGCAAATGTATGTGGATTCAAATGTGCTGCCACCGCACGAATCCTATTCTTTGCTCATCCAAACTAATGAAACACAACTTTAACATATACATAGCTTTTATATTGTGCATTGAAAAACAGCAAAGCATATAAATTGGAAACAAAGCAACCATTGGTGGCACAATCAGAAAATAGTGTCCATTTATTCAGGATATTTATCATGTGAAAGGAAAGCTGATGTATATATCATATCCATTACCATATATATTTTATTAAGTGAAATTTTGAATGGGTATACCAGTGATTCCCGACCGGGGAAGCAGTTGGGTGGGAAGAGGGGCATCATGCCAGGCGTAAAACTGATTTCACTTTTACTAGAAAACCCCCTTTTCTTCCTACTTTCTTCGCTCGATAAAGCTATTTCACAGGATGTTTTCACTTCGTTGAGCATGAATTGTATGAACATAATGAGATTTGGAATCAACCAATCAAAATAACACTATAAATTCCACTGGAATGATAAACAGGGGAGCTATCATTGCTAAGTCTGTAAGGGGGCATAAAAGGCTGGGTACCAATGGTCCATACATCCATTCTTTTTGGTTATCATCCCAAAAAAGATGTGAAAATGGTACATGAAAGTTCTCTTACAATATAGCAAAGCAATCATATAGAAATGGCAAAAATATTCTTGATTCACAAAAAACTGACCATTGACCAAAAATTTGCTCAATCATTTAAGTGATTTTTACAAGATTTAGTACTGGGAGCAACTCTTGTACATATGCAAAGATAGGGGTTCTCATATATTGTATGGGAGAGGAAATTTGATCAGAGCTGTATATTCTTGTTGTTTGGATTTGCACTGGAGATTGAGTTAGATTTCAGAGCTCTCTGGGGTCAGAATTCCAGTTTTTGTGGTCAAAATTTGGTTTTCCCAGGACAAAATTCATTTTAACGAAATGACGGGGGCATTTTTAAAATAAAACGGGGTAAGGAGAGATGTGTACATTTTTCTTGGAGGAGAATGAGTCGATTATCACACCCGTATGTCTGTGGCAATGTATGCACGACGATAAGAAGCCAATGCTTCAAATGTCTATATTGGCGATCATGTCGGGTTATTATTCCAAAAAAGGAGCAAAAAGTTTGTTTGTAATGTCCTTTATGGGGTGCTCCCGTAGTATGTGTACCAGGTAAGGGTTATGCCATAATTTTATTCCAATTTTCCTTATTTTAGTTTTATTACGAGTTCGGGGATTGTCTGTGTTAGCCAAGCGAATATCCCCCTGCCCATAGGCTTCTGTCCCTTTACACAACTTGATGTATGTAAAGTGGGCAAACAAAATTAATTACCTCCATATTGGTAGTTGGTACACATACTTCTGGAGCGCCCTTAATGGTTTATGAAACTTCCCAACAATACAGAAAAGAATCATTTAGAAATGTCAAAAAATATCTTGCTTGAATATCAACAATTTTTATATTTATTTCATCTAGTGCTATCATTTCACAAAAGCTGACCAAAAAATAACACACATCATCAAATGGCAAAATGAGTTTTATAACGTCCCAATGAAATATGTTTGCTTACAATACAGAAAAAACAATCATTTTTGGGTGCTCCAGAAGTATGTGCACCAAGATGTCGCACAACCTAAATCCTAACTGATACACACATACTATGTTCAGGTTGTGCGCCATCTTGGTATGCATACTTCTGGAGGTCCCATTTTTGAATGGCAAAAAATAAGCTTGCTTGCATTTTTATATTTTATGTTTACTTTGAAAAGCACCAGTAGCTAAACACAGGAAATGAATGTTTATTCATCTCAATAGGAAGCCAAAATGTCTTGATAACGTCTTTAACTCTTGCAATACAGGAAAAACAATTATTTTGAATATCAAAAATATGATTGCTAAGATTTCTGACTTTTGTTGGGTTAATTCTATATGTTCTTGTGGTGAAATGCAGTAAAGAGATGAGTATGAAAAATTGGGAATGAGCCCTTGAATGCCATTGTACCAAGGATTAAATAAGACCTGTATGCATGGACATAGGACAACTAGAATCAAAAATTAATTATGTGTGATAAATAAAACTCCAAAGTAAAAATCATTCGATTCTATCTACCCATAGACATTGAAAGAGGGCATTTGAGTTGAAAATCATATCGCAAAATGATCACTGTTCTTCTAGAGTCCAGACAAGAGACCGAACCAAAGAGTATTTCCGGTACTCCCGTTGTATGTGTACCAGGTTAGGGTTAGGCCATGATTTTATTCCGATTTTCCATAATTTAGTTCTATTACACCCCCTGTCCATAGGTTTCAGTCCCTTTACACAACTTGATGTAAAGTAGGCAAATAAAATTAGTTACCTCCATATTGGTACACATACTTCTGAAGCCAAATGATCACTGTACTACATTCCAGACCAGAGTATTCCCTTAACGAAGTAAGGCGTCATAAGCAAAGCAAAAATTTTGAGCTTGTCAGAGACGCAAGTTTAAAGTGCTAAAACAAAATCTGACTACAAAAGCAATCAAGGAAATTTTACAACTCCAAAGTAAAAACATTGTGATGAGAAATATAGTACCAATAACCAGTACTGTGTTCATAATAAAAACATAGCATTGAGAGACAAAATACACAAGCAAATTATTTTTACGTGAAAGTGGAAATTATTATTCGGCCACTAAGTCAACTTAAGGATGATGTAATTTAATTCAGGGATGTGCAACCTGCGGCCCCCAAAGAAAAATTGCGCGGCCCGTGGGGGAGTGCCAATTTTGAATGATGAGCGGCCCGGGAAACAAGTTTATAATTTATTTGTTATGTTCGAGTAATTCCAATCCCTCTGCGTTGCAAAGCCTATACCTGAGGCCAATCCCCTTATCTATGTCTATGACATTACAATGCCTTAACATCAAGCATGTGCAAACAATGCAAGTCACAAGATCAAGCTTCGGCCCATGGTTTCACCCAGTTATTTCTATCTGGCCCTCCGGTATTAAAAGGTTGCACACCCCTGATTTCATTGATCAATCCACATTATTAAACACAAGTTTAACAAACATTTCAAGGTGCTTCAAACCTAGGAATAAAACCCCAACGTATAATCATAAACATTACAATACAGGTGTCCCAATAGCAAGTGAATTTCAAAGCAAAAATCATTTTAATTTTTTTTATTCCAATTGAAATGGATAATTTATATACACAAGATGGCGACTGTGATTGAGTTTAAGCAAAAGATTCCCATTCGTAATACTCTGATTCATGCTCAATTTGGTTTTCGAATATCATATGTGGATCCACTTTACAGCATTTGCGGTTATTGAAATAATTAGAAACTTTTGGGCCAACCAGTGTATTATAGCATTTATTATTGCTGTCCATAGGACAAAAAATAAATCACTTTTATTCTGAACTATTAGAGCAATGACTTCGAAATTTTCCTAAAATGTTAATTTTATATAATAGATAATATCCACTTTTCAAAATTTTCATTTGATTCCAACAAGCACTTGAATATAGCCATCATTAGGGCTGTCCCAGCGCACCACATATTTTTTATACATCTCTGAAAACATAATTATGAAAAATATCAGCAGTATTTTCCACGTTTCCCACATATGTTATCACAATATCTACGGAGGAAGTTTTCATAGTACAATTGAGACAGATTCAAGATTGCGCAACAATATTCGATTCGAGAAAAATGTTTGATTCAAACCGAAAAAATATTCGATTCAGGACATCCCTAGTCATCATTGACAATATATACAATAAATTATATATGTTCTCTACTAATTTCTATTAAATTATGAATTAAATTGAACAAAGAAATGACATTGCTCAAAATTTAAAAATGAAAAAATGCTAACAAAGTTAGTGGTGCAGCAAGTCATATTTTAAAGGAATGGGGAGATGGGGGAATCCCCTGTATCTCCCCCCATTTGGCTGTGAAAATGAACAAATTTGAATGTCTTTTTTTTTCAAAATCTGAATTTCCAATCTTGTTGAGGGGAAGTTGTTTAACATACCGGCATGATTTGCCTGATAAAAATAGAATAACCATGTCAGCACCCCTCACTAAAATATTATTAGGACATGCTATAATTGTAACTTTCCAAGATCATAATCTGCCAAACCGTGACCATAAAATATTCCATTCAAGATATATCTAAATATTTGGTCTCCAGTCAGTTTAAGGAATTCTTGTCTCTATTCCATTTTCAAATTCATTAAATAAAAGCAGTTGGATTCAATTTAAATACCAAATTCAAAACATATCCGAATATTCAATCAGTTTTGGGTATCACCTTATTAAAAGCATTTGTCCTGTTTGATGGACATTTTACTGTTTCTGTGGTACCCTGCCTCTAGTCCATTTTCAAATTCACGTAAATGTAGCGAATAAACTTAAGGGAGGCGAAAAACGACACAGTTCCTAACATTAGGAAAAAAGCGAAGCAAGTCAGTAACGTGTATCCAAAGAATTCGACTGATTGTACAGTTCCAGACATGTTCGAACGTTTGAAATAGAAGAAAGACGCGTATATAAACACGAAAAATCCAGTCGAACCAGCGCTGAAAATGGAACGCCACCACCAACGAAAATCTTCTGAACTCAGCTGGAAGTACGTCAAGGCAACAGAGATGCACGCAGAGACAGATAAAACAATCCCAAACACGAGAAGTAGAACTCCATATAAGGTGTAGACCTCACGGCCCCAAACGGTAGCAAAGATGTAGTAAAGCTCGACTGAAATTGCACTAAACGGCAAAAATCCGCCAAAAACCATATGTGCCAATGTCATTCTGTACCATGGCTGAGGCGGGATCTCTCTCGCTATATTCTTGGTGCGACACGGAGCATCGAAATCTCCAGATGTATTTTTTCCAAGAATTCCCCCTACTACAGTTAAAGGGAATCCAACTAGAACCCAAATGAAAGCCAGCAGAAGGACTGTCGTGAACGGGAGAGCTTGCGTTGATCCATAAATCCAATGTACAGTGTTGATGATACTCCAAATCGCAAAAAACGGGGCAGTGAACAACGCCGATGTTAGAACAATATTCGACACCCAGTTTGCACCTTGGAACTTGCGGTAGTATGAACTTGAAACATATCCTGCGACACACGATGTCAGTGCATACAACAAAATGGCCGCTGTGTTTATTGAACCATGACGATGAGGTTTAAACATCCCGAGAAGAGCCATACATATAATTCCAGTTCCGATTGAAAGTAATTGCGTCCCAACTCCAAGAATCGAGCAAAACAACGATTTATATGGCGGGAATCGAAAAACATCAGCGTGTATTATTTTCCATCCATTATCATCGTCAGAGAATTCGGCAGATTCATCATCTTCAGCCTTGTTATATCTGGTAAAGTCGTTCCTCAAAACCCTGGTTAAAATCACGACTATAAAACCCATCAACAGCGAAACCAGGATTACAGAATTAATGATGGACAACCAATGTATTTCTAGCGTCCTCGGAAAGAAAGTATAGTCTTTGAGTAACTTCGATCGATCTGCTGCGTTCAGTTTTGTTTCAGTCCATTCTACGCTATACTTGTACGTAATTTTCATCGGCGCTTGTTGGTCTAAAGACAGCGGGCTGTGTCCTTTTGTAGTCGCATTTGCGGAAATTATCTTATCTCCATTATACGTAAACCGAAATGTTATATGGTTGTATAAAGATAGTTTATGTATGTGTGGCATTTGCAAAAATCCTGTTTCTTCGAATCGCCCAATGAAACTACGCATTGGTAAGTCGTCCGCAACCATTTCGAAGTAATACAACTCCTCTACAGCGTCTCTGAGTTGCTCGAGTGCTTTTTCATCCGCATCAATTGTACACAGTTCTTCATCTTTTTTGTTTTTACCGAATTGAACTTCGTACAAGGAATACGCCATTCGGTCTCCGTCCAAAACTTCACCCAAGGTTAGTGATCGGTGCCTGTTAAAAGAATTATAATTACATAAAAGTCTTGGCAATTTTAAAAATTATTTGGCTCGATAGCATATAGCTGCAGTAACACAAATACATACAAAAAGGAGAGATATTAGGTTGCACGTTTCTCATATGTTTTATAGCAACTTTATTCTAAACAAGGCTTGTATAAGCAGTTACTTGACAGCTAAAGGTAGGGTCACAATTAACACAGACAAAAAAAATAGAAATAAGAATGGTGATTGATAAAGCATATTCTTTAGTGAAAGATTCCTCGATTCAACTAAGTTAAGTATCTTACTTAATTTTATCCGGCCGACACACAGGCAACGAATAGTAGTGATACGTCTCATGTGGGTTGAAATATGGTCCAACTTTGTTAACAAATATATCCACATTATCGCCATCTTTAAACGACCCCATTCCTTGGATTAGGGAGGGGCCTGTTGCTATGACGACAACCCATAGTGCAAAATATTGTAGGATGTTCATTTTTGTTTCTTGGTTCGTCGAGTGTAATATTTAGGTATGTGCTAAGAAAGATCTACCATTTTACCTGTTAGATAATACAGAAATAGAAGAAAGGTTATATCCTGGAATGGACCAAAAAAGTCTACAGGTTATTCGGTTACCGTAGTTCTGCTACAATTTATTTGTATTTGGTTCTGAAATCAATAAATAGCCCTGCGATGTGGCGCATCATGATAAGCGTTAAGAACACGCTCGCCACCGCACCTCTGATTATCCTGCTTGGGTTTGAATCCCACGGGAGATAATCATGTGCGGGGGAATTGCTGGACTCCTCGCCGCCCTACAGCCGTAGGGTGGTTCACACAGCCGCTGGTAGGTTACGGCTTCGCTTCATTCATCAATCTGAAACAAATCACTGGCGAATTCAGGAATTAGGCTTTCTATTCAAAAACAGAAAAACGAAAGCCTTTATTAATCACACAAATGGAACAATCCTATGCTATTATCATCTGGTCTCAAGCCAAACCTCCAACACTCTTGACTGCAAGAGTAGATCAAGTATACACTAGTAAAAAAAACATATGGGATGACAGGATGAGCAGCATAGACAACCTTCTGACCTTCCTAGCAAAAAAGGCTGTCCTCGTCCTCATTGCATTAACGATTGATACTGATGACTGGACAAGGTTTCCATTTTTCTATGTGGTTAATCCATTTATCGCCTTTACTTTTCCAAGAATAAATCTGAAATGCGGTATATGGAACCTATTGTATAACTATTTTTGTATTTCGAAGCGATGAACACACTGACATTTCGAAGTATTTTGCTTGTGCCTCGGTGACGTATTAATACGTCATACACAGAACCACGCACGCTTCAACGAATCTGGATAGGAAAATTGTTATGAAATTACCTGAAAACCTGTTATCACAATCTAATAAATTTTAAATAAAGCATAGTATTAATGCTATATGCGCTTCACATAAACGAATTCGCCTCGAAGTCTCGACCTTCGGCGTGTGCCAACATGGCAACACCATTTGTGCCTCGGGCAACTTTTGTTAACTCGAAGGGCGTCGAATTTCCTGTTCTGGCCACCACCAGAGAAGTTGTGTAATGCCGCAACGAGCTGCCTAACGGCTAAAATCAGATGTCGGAAACACCGGCATGTTCGCAATGTTGTTGCAAATGATGAACTTGTATGGGTGACCTCTTTGTACCATCCATGTATTTTCTATCCAGGGGTCAGAATGCAAAAAAACATTTTTCCGAATAATACAGAGCAACTTTCGTATCTTGAGACGATTTTTAAACCCTCAAGTCTCTTAAATCCCACTATTTCCGAGGCCTGGACCGGCCAGCTGTTAGAGTCGGTTAGACATCCGAACGCTGAGTCCATACACAAAAAACAGGCCTGAAATGGACTGCAAACCATACAAGAGGCTGTCGTATGACATATGATTGGGTCTTTCAGCGTCATCAGCTTCGCTCTTCCCGGAAACATAATAAAAATCCTATCTCATAGAATCTGCAAGATTTCAAACTTTAGAGCATATTTCTAACGCTTAGCACGATGCATGATTTTGTCCTCCATAACTACTACCCTCCTATGGATAAAGTGCACCACACAAGAATGGAAAATTATATCAGTGAAGAGATTATTCATTCAACCTATTGAAACATATAATAAAACTATTATAATACAAAAAATAGAAGTTACAGAAATACACATGACTAAAATAAGACAAAGATCTATTATTAACTAGGAAAATTTATAAGGCGTCTTTAGTTCTGAACAAGGCCATGTACAAGAAACCACTGATAAGATGAAGATTTTTTTTTTTGGAAGGAATCTTTTCGTTTGTGAGTTGTCCAACCATCTCGTTACTCCCTGGGACGGCCGAGCAAGGTGAGATTTAAATGAGTATGAGATAAGTAAGTTTGGTGCTTTAACCGTTAGACCATCTGTCCCACTTTTTAAAGGTGTACCGTACTCAGATTCGTATGAGATGTGAACTTGTTTAAGGTTCGCAGTAGAGGTTTGAAGGAAATGAGAGGAACAAAAAACAAAAATGTTTAAAACAAAATTGAAGAAATGTTGAGTATTAAAATTAAATAAATACATAAGTATTACTATAATATCTGCAACTGAGAAAATAGAGAGATTCAGTGATATATATAAAATGAAACGTCTCTCCATAGTGAGTGCGTGATAGTCGGTGTTGGGAGGAAGTCGATAACCAGTGTTAGGTGCAATTATCTGAACCCTGGGGTCAAGGTTTGTCTGAGTTCCAAGTCAATCATTGGAGTTGAAACCTGGCTTTTTCCGAGAGGAAGTCGGAAAGAGAGATAATAATTTATTTTCGAATATTTGATTACAAACAAGTACATCATGCAGTGAGTATAAACAAACAAACAATAATCATGAAATATAATCGGAGGAGGCGGGCAAAACTTCAAGGTCGACTGACCTCTAAGGAAAGTTTCTTTCAAGACAAGACACTCTTGGAACAGGCATCACAATTGCTGTGGGGAGAAAATAAATTTAGATTTTTAAGTTTGGTTGAGGCCTCAAAAATAATGTCTTCAAAAAATACTAAAACAAGAATAAAAAATTGGAAAGAAAAAAGGATATCACATGATAATGCAAATCTTAAAAAAAATTGTCAACAGTAATACAACATGCAAAAATATAATAAGAAGGGCTTAGGACTGATTATAAACAATTGGAAATTTTCTTTGACCCCAAAGCTTTGCTTCGAAGTCAGAATTATCACTACTAGTGATGATTAAATTTTCTGAAATTTTGAATTTGTGCTTTTTCAAGTTTCAGATTCAAGTTGTTTGGTTTCTTCTAACTCTATGGACTCTGTGAAGTTCGATTTAGACAATCTGTACTGTATGAAAGCAAATGAGGCCAAAAACGAGATCGTACCAAACATCACAGACGCAGCAAATGATATTAAGAACATCGAGCCAAAGTACGTAACACCCTGCACAAAACCATCCATGTTTGACCGTTTGAAATAATAATGTAAGGAATAAAGCATTACGTAAATACCGAAAGTCCCTCCATGAAAAAATGATTTCCACCACCAGTAGACATTCTTCGACGCTATTTGCACATTTGTAAGCACAATGGACATGCACATTGTCACCCAGAATGCGAGAAATATTTGAGCAAATAGGATCCAAGATTGAAACACAAAAACTTGTCTCTCCCATAGTGATGTCATAAAGAAGTAAATCTCAATGGCAATGACACTAAATCCGATACCACCAAATGCAAGATGAATTATTGTACTTTTATACCACGGCTGTTTTGGGACTATGAAAGGCGTACTTTCAATTCCAAATGGTGGGTCATAGATTTTTACAACATTTTTACCCAATATGCCCCCAAATAAATTGAGCGAAAACCCAAAAATGCACCATAAAGCAATGACAATTAGAGCAGTGGTGTAAGGTAAAGCGAGAGTTGTACTATTAGCCCAATGGATAGTATTGATTATAAACCATATACTCAGAGTAGGAGCTGTGAACAAAAAAGCAGATAAAATAATATTTCTGGTCCATTTCACTCCGTGCATTTTTCGATAATAGGATGCAGAAATATAACCAGCTATGAATGAAGATACAATATAAAGCAAAATAATTGTGATGTATATAGCACCTTCTGTGTGATCACAATACCATATGTATTTGTAGATTAGTAAACTTACAAAAATGAAGATGAGTTGCCCACCGACGCCTAAAAGTGAGGAAAGAAGGGATTGGAAACGGGGGAGGGCGTAAATACCTACACCGACATCTAGTGGCAAGTCTTTCCCATTATTTGGGAGTTGGAGATCACGACGAGCCTTTAGTAACGCAGCTACTGCCATGCTTGTGAGAAAAAACGCGACTATTATTGAATTCAGCAATGAGAAAGCTCGGACATTTGAAGTTCGTTGTGAAAGGTCACGCTTCAATGCTTGCTCTCGAGTTAATTCGGTTTTTGTCCAAATGACGTCATATTTTATCAAGATTCCAAATGGAACGTCCTCGTTGTTCAAGTCAAATGGTGGGTGACGGTCAGTAGTGATATTAACAGACACGATAGTACCGGTGACGTTATTATACGCTATGTTGATGGTAATATCATTAAAAATGTCCGAGTAATTTGTCCTGAAACGCGGGTCAATATATCGACTGCTTTCGTACTCCCCAACAAATCCTCGTACTCTCAAATCGTCGACGTACATTTCGTAATAGAAGAACTCCGAGATTACGTTTTGAAACTTTTTCAAAATAGTGTCGTCTTGAATATTCAAAACACAGAGGTCTGAATTTTTCTTTGTTACTCCAAATTTGACGTCGTAACCAGATTTGACTTTCCTATCTCCATTCAAGACTTGAGACAATGAAAGAGATTCGTACCTGAAACAAGAATAACATGTAAGATTTAATATTTTTTTACGTGATAGTTGGGTATTTCCTCACCGCTGATTGATAGATAGATAGTTTATTTCGAAAATTGAATAGCAAACATAAATTAAAAATGGAGAATTCTGGAGGGCAAGCAAAACCTATAAAAAAGTTTAAAACATGAAGTATCTCATGTGCCTGCCCACCAGCACGCACACAAAAACACAAGCCCAATCAAATGAGGCTTGGGCCAAACTTAACAAACAAAATACACGATAGTATTAAACTTTCGGGCTGTTGTACTTTCAACATGTATTGTATATTTATCTTGGGATAAGTCACCTTCAAACTGAGATAATGATGGGTCTGGTTGTAGTTGAGTGGCACAAAAACTTCTGGTATAACTATTTTAGAAAATGTTATTCCTAACCCTCATCTGACTATTCCAGGGGTGGGCAACCTTTTTCGGCTCGCGTGCCAAAATCGGCTAAATTTAAGGACAAAATTCCTCCGCGTGCTGATCAAAATTCAAAACAATGCTTTGCCACTTTCAAAGCAAAAATACACAATAATAAACTTTTTAAACACGTACAGGCAGATTCACTATTCGGGAAAAGGTCATCCCGACAAATAGATTTGATTACTTTTCTTATTCTATATCGATGAGCTTCTGCAGCTGCATTACCCCTTATAGAGATTTTACATTGAGTTTATATTTTATAACTTCCAGAGAAAACTACTGGTTTCATCTTTCAGGCTACTCCTATTACGAGACTCAATAAAGTTCATAACTTAAAACCAAGATTCACAAGCATATAGATGAAAACATGGAGAGTAATGCAGTTGCAAGTTTTTAAAACAAAAAAAATTTTTGGGGAGTGGCATCCCAATCACGCAATAGTTTATTTTCTGCACTCCTCTCTTGTATTCCCCCCCATAATCGCTTATATCTCTTTCGAAATCAATTTATAACTGTAAGTTAGCAAGTAACTCTAGCCAATATAAGCTTTATAAAGCAAGCCTAAATGGAGAAAAAGGGTGGCACAGACGAACTATATTATGTAAAAATGTAGCAAAATGAATGCTTTTCTCAAAACCCACTAATTTGTTACATCATGATATATTTCTTTGTAGCCATAAGGACTGCATAAGGACAAAAAGAATTGATATAGGTAACGGATTGTTTAAAAAGCGATAATGAATAAGCGAACACAGAGTTTCATCAGATAATTCAGAGGCAACGACCTTGAGTTATAGCCAATGTTCCCTCTAACTTTTTGTAGTATGTGTGCGCAGAAATTTTGGTGTGAGCGCACTTTTTTGGAAATGACTAATATTTGTGCAAAAACCAATGAAGAATTTTGGGAATCCAACCGGGCCAACAACAAACTTTCTCAACATGCCAACCGAGAACATTGTTACATTACATCGAAATACGTCTGTGCGCAGTAAATCTATGCGTGTGCGCAGCCTCTGAAAGCTGTGTGCGCGGGCACACGCGCACACCTTAGAGGGAAAACTAGTTATAGCCCCACTTTCTCACATATCCTGATCTAAAAGAAAAAAAAAAAAACTGCATTACACTAGACCGATTTACTTTTCTTACCTCAGTTCCTCAGGCACACAAACATGCATTGCTTCATAGTAAGGATAGGTTTGATGCGGATTGTAATAAGGGCCAACTTTGTTCATAAATACATCCACTTTTCCACCATATTGATACCGTCTTTCTGCGACACACAGCCATGGAAGGATAGCCAATGTTAAAAAGAGCGATTTAATAACTGGTAAAGCCATTATTTTACTCGAAAACGCAAATAAATTTACAGCAAAACAACATGCGATAACAAGGTGCCCTCCATAGCCAAATAAAATCTCAGACTGACGTAAAAACTATCAGGTACTAGTTGGCGGTAGTGAGTCGCGATGATATTTTTTTCTTTCTCGCGGGAAGAACCGTTGGGTGGCGGTAGTACACCGCAGCGATCAGCCTTTCTCATCCATGTCAAAGATAATTAAAGCACAACCGGTGTATAGCAAAACGATATAATTTGCCAACGTTTCGAATTTCTATTCAGAAAAACTTCATCAGGGCATGATATGAAGAGTACACTATCATATATATATATAGTAGAAAAATAAAAAATAAAAAAAAGATAGTAAAAATTAAAAATTGAATAAAAACTAAAAAAAAAATTTTATTTTTATTTTTCTACTCTATATATATATGATAGTGTACTCTTCATATCATGCCCTGACCAAGTCTTTCTGAATAGAAATTCGAAACGTCGGCAAATTATATCGTTTTGCTATACACCGGTTGTGCTTTATTTATCTTTGACATGAATATACCTGGTGGCAATCATGCGCTTTCTCATTCATGTTCCCTTCCAACTTTCTCGGGCATCAATGTCGAAGTCAGCAAGAGGTTAACGACTTTCCGACACAGCAAACGTTGACTCGCCGTCGTTAGTTTAAAGTTTCATTTGCGAGTTTGCAGTCATTTTGAGTATAAATTCGATAGACTAGCTATCATTATGCCTTTGGAACTAATTTAAGTTCTGCTGCAATAACAGAAAAACAGCCGAACACAGCTGATGTGAATTGTAGGCTAAAATTAGTCGACAATGCTGCATAATAGTCTATTAGAACTAGGTTATGGGCAACTTGTATGGGGCTCTATAAAAAGCCTGTGACGTGTTGGTCGGTGACATCTCTCGCTGTTAACCGCTTTTGGCTCAAGATCTGCCCAGGTTTAGCTCGGCGGTGTGGCGCATCGTGCTAAACGTTATGAATACGCTTGCCACAGCACCGCTAATTACTCTTGCATGGGTTCGCAGGTTCGAATAATTTAAGTGCGAAAGGATTGCTGGACTCCTCGACCCCGTAGGGGGGTTCACGTAACCGCTGGTTACGGCTTCATCCAACATCAAGTCCATGCTTCCGGAAACAAAAACACCTGGCTAACTAATTCCATACCCGACATGGAATGGTAATCTGACGAAGGGCCGTGGTTTTCCATATGATTAAGCCGTCTTATCGGCTCTCTTCTCCCCCGGGATAAATGTGTGAATCCTAGGAGCTAGGTTACTCGATATCAACAGCGCCATAATTTGTAGTTTGCTTAAGCATATAGTAGCGAAAAACACAGTTCTGCTGATGCAGGTCAGATTTTTGTATTCCATAATTCCTTTTTTTAAGATTTTAGGAATAAGTAAGCATTATTCTACGAGCTTCTTCTGTTTAGTTGGACACGGAATGGCCATAATCATCTTTTTGTTTAATCATGCATTACCTTGGTTCCCCGAAAATAAGCCCTCCCTTTTAAAATAAGACCTAGTCAATGATGCGAACTTTATTTTGACCAAGTCGGTAGCAAGAAATCTCTCCTACACGTTTTAAATGATTGATCATCTATGTTTTGCAGTTATTTTGAATAAAAAACGTGTTATTTATAAGTAAATGGATATCGGTTTTCATATTTTGAATATTTGAAAATCTCGTAATGTTCTTTACTTTATAATTTTGTTTTTGATAAATGAAAATATATGACATCCCAAGAAAATAAGATCTGATGTTATTTTTCGGAAGAAAATTGAAATAAGATTCAGTTTTATTTTTGGGAAAAAGAGTAGTAACCGGACGAGGGAAGGGGAGCTTTATTATTTTGTCAACCAGAAAACTAGCAATGATACAATAGAATATTTCGGCTACCCTATCTCCGAGATAAATATGAAAATCCCATCGTTGTTGTCAGGGTGGCTTTTATGGTCCGAAAAATTGCATTTCCCGGTAATTATTAGGTTAATAGATCAATCAATCAAATTCCAGTTGTTAAAGATGTAAGTAGTCACCGGAAGGCTTTCACTTTTTTGTTTAATTTTCTCCGAATTTCCATACTTTATTCAAAATTTCGCCACGGCTGTCCTGCCTTTCTTTCTGCGACTCACATTTCAGTATAAGTTGTGTACTGTAGGCTGTCGCTACTGCGGTTAGTTGTTTGAATGCATAAGTCATGTATTCAATAAGTCATGTGTGCATGTATTCAAGCATTGCTCTCTTGTCGGACATGAATTGGGTCTATGAATCGTTTTGTTGTTGATCTTGTTGGTATATTTCTTATTGTTGTGAAAAAAAATCGCTTTTCTCATCCACTAATCGCAGTGGTTCCCAACCTTTCTATCCTGGCGGACCGGTAAAATTAAATTAAATGTACTCGCGGACCGGCAAAAAATTGAAATGACCGGAACAGATAATATAATGCAATGTCGGGCACTCAAAAAAGGCACACCTAAAAACATTTCACACGAAGAAAAACTATCAAATAATGTGCCAGCCAAAAATTGAAATGTATAAAACATAATTTAACACCATCTATTTCGTAATGAAATGCAGTACTGGGCAGTGGCGTAGCAAGACTCTCGTTACCCGCAAAAATATTTCGTGGAAATGACCCTAAAAACTCTCGGACATAAGCTAAAACAACGCTTTTTTTATTTCGTCAAAAAGCATAACATGTCGCTATTAAAAGGCAATGGTAACATAATATTTGCCGTTTATCTTGGTTACTTTATATTTTTTTCATACGTGCGTCCTCTTCTGCCCTTTTCTGCGTTTCTGTGCGCCACTGAGAGGTTTTGCTTTCGACATCAATGTGACAGCCTTCGCAATATTGCCGGTGCGATCAAACCACAAGACGCCGAAAGTCGACGACTCCCTGGCATTGTTACTTAACAAAACAGCAGAGCAGAACTAACATCAACGTTAGATGTGCATTAGTGGTTTTGCAATGCAACTTTTGGTTTTGCGGCTTACATTTCTAAATTCTAACCGCTTGGGCCCCTTGGCGCTGTGGGCCCTCCCGCGACCGCGGGGGTTGCGAGTGTGGATGCTACGCCACAGGTACTGGGCACCCATTATGCATGAGGAAGTTTTTTGATGGTACCGGCACTGTGAAAGATAAGGTAGAATACTACTTCTCTTTGGTATCCGTGTCCATATATTTGAGTATCGCTGTCTTGTTTATATTTTTACGTTAGGAATCAATATTTAGGATATTTGTGTGATAATATTTCCTAACTTTTTCAAAATACGGAATAACTAAACATATTAGAAGTATAAAAACCCAAAACAAAAATCTGGTTGTTGGCTCCAATTTCAGTCAACCGGGACATTCTCTTAAAGATTTTAGTGTCATTGGCATTGAAAAACTATTTCAAGACCACAGTTATCGAAAGAACAAGGAATCTCATTATATTCATCTTTTCGGGACACATGAACCACATGGGATGAATATTAAGGAAGTTTAGACCAAATACAAATCTTTCATTCATTGTTTTAATCAATTCTTGTAGGCAACCTAATATTTTTTTTCTCAGAATTGGATCATGCATGGCCAGATATGCTAATAACAGAAACACAACTAAAAACACCATTGTTTAGTTTGGACTTCAATTGTTAAATATAAAACAAAGAGAGATATCTCATCAATGACTTTCATTTCGGTCACCTGCTGTTATCTGATCAAGAATTCGCCGATTTTTTTGATTATCATGCGTGACTGCCATAATTTTACACTGATTGTTCAAATATGCATGTAACTGCTTTTCTTGTTAGAGTTGAACTATGTGACCTTGGTCAGACGAAACGTTACAAAAATATATTTGTGTTAGTGTGCAGCAAGACTCTTGAATCACTTAGGATCATAAATTCAAGTTGTGGATTTGAGTTGAATATTGCAACGAGGGCCTGTTCGTTTGTGAAAACGCAGGCGACAGACAAAGAGGCGAGTGGGACAAAAACGATAGAATAGATAAAGAAAAGAGGGACAAAAAAAGAGGAAATGGGGACGAAGCGATAAAAAACGGAGTGATAAAAATGATAGATAAAGAAAAGAGTGACAAAAGAAGAGAAAAAGGGGACGAAGCGATAAAAAACGGAGTGATAAAAATGATAGATAAAGGAAAGAGTGACAGCAGTGACAAAAGAGGAGAAAAGGGGGACGAAGCGAAAAAAAACGGAGTGATAAAAATGATGGATAAAGAAAAGAGTGACAGGAGTGACAAAAGAAGAGAAAAGAGGGACGAAGCGATAAAAAGCGGAGTGATAAAAAAGATAGATAAAGAAAAGAGTGACGGGAGTGACAAAAGAAGAGAAAAGGGGGACGAAGCGAAAAAAAACGGAGGGACAGGAGTGACAAAAGAAGAGAAAAGGGGGACGAAAGAGATAAAAGAACGGAGTGACAAAAAAAATGAAAAGAGTGATAGACGGGAGTGATGAAAGAAAATAGTAAGTACGAGAGAGAAACACCAAAACAAGCAAGCGAGCGATGCTTGAATATAGGAAGACCAAAAAAGCATCCTAGCAGTAGTAATCTCACAGTGTATTTTGATTTTTCCGCAACAAAAAAAAGACACGAACGGGTATCGTTCGGGCGTCAAACTTGTGTAACATAAACACTCGGTGGGTCCGAATAAATAAATACACTTTGATAGGATGGAATGCTTGGTTATGGTATGTGTGTCACAACGGTGCTTTTAAGATAAGATAAGATAAGATTTTAATTCGATTCATTCGCAAAAACAAAATAAACACATATACACAAAAGATTAAAGAAGAATCTGGAAAGTGAACAAAACCTAATAAAACAGGTTTAAAACGTATTAAACGCGTTCACTTACCAAAGAAAAAAGAAAACGAGGCGTTTCACTTGGTAATCAGGTTGCGTGCAATCTTTTCAAAGACAAAACAGTGAATTAAATACTTCAATTCTCGGAGTAATTTGCGACAAGCAAACTCTTGGATCCGACTCTACGGCAAGTCTCGACCTGTGTTTTGTCATCATATTAGTAAAAGCTGGAAATGCTGCCTCACAGATGCAGGTTGTTGCAAAAAGCTATAAAATTTTACTTGCTTTCAATGATAGCAATGAATATATAGAATGAATATATCGTCCTTATCCGTATTGCTGGTTGTACATTCAACATGTGTATTTGTATATCTAGATGTTAACATCCTGAACAATTGCTTAGTTCATTTTTTGTTGTTTGTTTTTTCAAATTTTGTTTCGTGAACTTTAACCATTTTTAATAATCATATTTTACTGTAAACTTATCAGCGTAACCTTGGAGGGGGCTGACTTTGATGGCCGCATGGTCGTATCGCTCCTTCCAGTCTATACCGAAAAAAGTGTATTTTTTTATAGCCATTATTTATTTATTATCATGACTGTTTTTTTTTCTGGTTGACGAAATAAATCTCTCTCCCTCTCTCTCGCTCAACCAAAAAGGTATAATGGCGTTTCTTTGGAATCAATCATTAATGTTGATCAGACTCTTTTCATATCGTTGCGGACGCCTTGTACAGTCATCATGGAACCTCAGGGGACCACGGACTGCAGTTTGGGAAATCCTGCACTAAATGAATACAGAATGTAAAAAGGAGGAAAAACGGATAATTCGGAGTGAAAGGAGTCGCGAGAAACCAACACTGGTTATCGAGCGGCGACACCCGTGACTAGAACTGGGCATTTTTGAATACCTGATGATTTCAGAATCAAATCGAATATTTTTTTCGAATCGAATCTCGAATACTTGGGATATATTTTATTGTATGCGACATTTTAGTGTAATTGGCCTTGTGAACAAATGAATTTCTGAAGATATAGAATACATCTCTCAGACTCATTGCTGAGTGTTCACACACAATAAGAAACACGTTTTCATCAATAACTCACTACAGAAAACAGGGTGCTCCCGAAGTATGCGAACCAAGATGGCGGACATCGGAACGTAACATGGGTAACAGGTCAGGGTTAGGCGATAATTTTTTTCCAATTTCCCTTATTTTAGTCCTATTATCAGTTCGAAGACTAGCCAAGAGCCTCCCGTAGTATTTATACCTAAAATTATGGCCTAACCCTAACCTATTACACATATTACATTCCGATGTCCGCCATCTTGATTCGCATACTTCGGGAGCCCCGAAAATAGTCATGTCAGAATTGCGTTGATAAAATATGGCTTCAATAAAAAAATTGATAAATTCACCTAGAGTCCTAGAGTAGACCACAGAAAAAAAACACGTGGTGACGATTCGAAATTTTGCTCTAAACCGATTCGAATAATTCACTATTCGATTCGAAATGCCCAGCCCTACCCGTGACTAAGTCTAACAGTAATTGAAAATACAAAAAAAGTCAAACAATGATTTAAAGAATTCAAGAAGAAATAAAAGTTGAGCCGACCAGAGTTGGTAATGGTGATTTTAAGAAATTTTAAAACTCTAGAATTCCCAATCTGTTGAATTAGATATTAGAACCTTGGGTGTCGCTGCTCGATAACCAGTTTTGGTTTCCCATGTATTCCCTCCCCCAGTAAAACTTTGAATATCATTTTCTCGTAATTTGTGTGCGTTTTTTTTTTACTTGTTGGAAAAAATAAACTTGACTTAAAAGGTTATCGAGCATCATACCGGGGCTGCGGGACGATGAAATTTTGAATGCAAAGCCAACTGAAACACTCCCATTGTAACCAGTAACAGGGTCCGGTCATTTTCAATTCATCAAAATTCACTTATTTTCAGTTTGTGTCGGATGGTTTCATAGCTACCTCGGGAACTTGATTTTCTCCACATGCCGAAACAGATAACCAGATAATTCACGTGAGCTGGAGATATCTGAACTGATTACCAGGCGAAGGTCCGTTAAATTATTAATCCATCATACTGACTTTCCTTCTTCGTTACAAATTGACAAAACCTACCATTGTCAGTCAGTCCCCGCTATACTTCCATAGGACTTGATGGACGAAGGGCCCATGCATCTGGAACAATTAGCTTAATAACTAATCCCGACATGGACAGGTCACCGGACGAGAGGCCGTGAGTCGCCATATGGTTGGACCGTCTCATCGGCTTCCCTCTCCCCCGGAATAAATAGGAATAAAATCCTATTCCATCCTACCGGAATTTCTCCCAAAATAACCAAAACAACTCGCAAGATCGCAAAGTTTCCAGCCTTGTCGACTCCTGATTGGCTATTGATGACCTAATTGTTATGACACGTGACTTCTTTGTGATCAGCTGTCCAAACAAAAGAGGTCAGCGTCGCAGTTGCTCACACCCAACGGTTAAAATTCACGCCGAAGGAGAAAAGGTAATGCCTTATATTTTGTTAAGTATGAACGCCACGTGCGTGTAATGTTTGATGTACCCCGGTATTCCCCATCATTTGTGAAGTTTGTATTCTGGACCTCGGTACGATACGGTGCCGTACCCATAGCAGTACGGTAACCTTGCAATTGCAATACTGCAATTTGTTTTCTTTCAGTCGTTGGTCAGTTGGTAGGGCATAATGGGGTATCATATTTTAGTATTCACGGCAGTGCAGTACGTATGCGCCATTATCGTGTTTCGTCAGCGTTTTGTGGTTAGGTTTGAATTTAGTCAGTGTGTTGTGTATTGCCTACGTTGTTGTTATTGTGGCGGTGTGACTCATCGTGCTAAGTGTTAGGAATACGCTCGCCTCGCACCTCTAATTACTCTGCGTGGGTTCGCAGGTTCGAATCCCACACAGGGATGGTTATGTGCGAGAGGATTGCTGGACTCCTCGTCGTCGTTGGGTGGTTCACGTAACTGCTCGTCGGTTAAGGCTTCCTCCACAATCAAGTCCATGCTTCCGAAAACAAACAACTAAATATGTAAAGGATAATATTTGAACTAAATACGGAGATAAATCCCCCATCCCCCTAAAACATTGATTTTAATATAAGCCCTCACTTTAAAACAAGACCTAGTCAATAGCGCGAATTTTTTTTTTGACCTAGTCAATAGCAAGAAATCTCTCCAACTTGTTTTAAATGATTATTCTAAAACGTCTGAGAGAGGAAAAAGTGTTATTTAAGTAAATGGATATCGGTTTTCAAATTTTTTATATTTAAAAATCTGGTAATTCTTCACTTTGTAATTTAGTTTTTGATTAATGAAAATAAAAGACATCCCCCGAAAATAAGCCCTAGTGTTATTTTTCGAAAGAAAATTGAAATAAGACATTGTCTTATTTTCGGAGAAACACAGTACTTATCGAATTCAACATGAGCAGCGTCCATGCACCTGAAAACTAAGCCATCTTATTGGCTTTTTTCTCTCCTCGGATAAATATGTATAATCTATCCTAATCCTATCCGGAGGAAATTAAATCCTCAAGTAGAGGATCATGAGACGTGTTATTATTCATTATAATTTAATACCCTCACTCTTTTTGTTACTCTTGTGTTAGTCAGCTGACTTCTAGGGAAAATTTCTTAGCTTTTTTAACATGACTTTAATAAAACATGTCCTTTGTAAGAAGGATAGATTTTTCCATTTTTTTACTAGAAGAGAAGGAAGATGAGAAGACTGCCTAGTCGTACGGCAAACCACGTCCTCTCATCCGGTAACCAGTTCATGCCGGGTATAGGATTAGTTAGTCAGTACTTTATTTCCGCAGCATAGACTTGATGGTGGAGGAAGCCATAATCGACCAGCGATTACGTCAATCATCCTACAGTTGCGAGGAGTTCAGCAATCCTTTGTCACATAATTAGCGATGCGTATGCATGCGTATTTCTAATGGCATGACGTGCCATACTGCAGAGGAGCGAATGATAACAGTATCACTAGATAAATAAATAAATTGTTAGATGGTTCATTTTGTAATTTATAGATTATTAAATATGGAGAATTCTGGCCATCTGAGCATAAGAAAAGAGCACTTGCATGTTAGTATGTGAATAATCCCACCAGTCACAGTCCACCACGGATTCAAAGTATAAATACTGAAATATTCTTTTCATTTGTTTATATAAATATAGTCTTAATATTAGTTATAACACCATGGAATCGCAAGCCACGTCTTCTGTACCTGTCCATGAGCGAGAAGTCGAGTCGGATGAATCAACACCTAAACCTACCTCAAAGTTTTCAGACGAGCCTCCAACAAAGAGAAAGAAGAATTCAAACCTTGAAGACAGATTGAGCCATATATTGTCTTGTAATGTAAGTTTGCATTGGTGTTTTTTTGATATTTGATTAGTACAATTCAGGGACTGGAGGCATGGATTAGCACTTGGGGCCTGGGGACCCCCCAAGTGGCCACAGAGCAGTTGGAAGGGAGTCACAATCAGTGGCGCAACCAGGCCGTTTTCAACGGGGGGGTCCGACCGGAATTTACACAGTGCAACCACGACGTAAGTCGCAAAGCCACTAGGTGTCGCCCCGCTGAAACAATTGCTCGTGGTTAAAAGGGAAACGCCATCGATAAAATCCCAGCCTTTCGCTTACTATGCCCTCGTTCATTAACGGTGCTTCGCTATGTATTACACCTCGTGGGTAAAAAAGCGCCGTTCATTACATTCCAGCGAATTGCTAACGAAAAGCTTTTAATTATTTTCAACGTTTCCCTCACTTTGCGCCTCGTGGATAGTGAAACACGGCTTGAATAAATTCCAGTGTTTCCCTCGTGCCGCGCGTTGCTCGTTGGGTGAATTCGTCAAGACTAAAAACAAAATGCACTTCTTGCGAATGGACCTTTTCCCGACCCTAACCCCAGAAAAATTCTAAACTAAACTGAAGCTCACCGGAAGACATGATGACAATTAAAATAATTGATTTACAACTAATTTTTGGAAACACAACTAAAAACTGATTAATTTAATGCAGGGATGTCCAAATCGAATTTAAATTCAAATATCGCAAACTTCAAATACTATTTTTTCGTGTTTATAATAATCCCGAATATGGCGCACATATCCTAGTGTCGTCGTCCATGTGTGGTTCGGCAATATATTACAGCTGACATGAGAGAATTTCGATAAACGCCGACTTGAAGAACTTGAAGGACGTTTTTGATTGAAAATATTTTCTTATCGTGTATTTTAACTTAGTCGAGATGGTTTAGGCGTCCTCGGCATATTGTGTCTTAATTAGTTGTTTTCATCCTCAGTTTCGATAGTGACCGAACATAACAGGAAATTTTTTTCATTTCTTGTAATTTAGCGCGTATAAAATAGCTCTTAAATAGTATTTAATATCTATCGCGGATTTCGTCGGCATCTGGCGTTGATGACAACATCGTTCAGTTTATATTAGTGGTATTCATTTACAAACAAAAATACATAACAGCCGACATGAAATATTCAAATCAGCGCAGAGTTTAAAAATAAAACACGTTTTATGGTCTTAATATGCACATAGAAAGAAGAAAGGACAGAGAAATAACGACTAAAAACTAAGAACGGTATGGTATGTTTGTGTACTTTTGTTTACCATCGTCATCATAATCAAATTAGTTAAACCCGATTCCCAAATTTCTGTCCGCCAATAATGGAGAATAAAGATGGAAAAACGTGTTTTACTTTTTGAGTCGGCGTTGATTTAAATTTTTCATGTTATGTGTTATAATTTTTTGATTATAAACCAATACCTCCAACTTAAAATGAACGATATTGTTATCAACGACGTCGGGATAACGATAAAATCTCCGATAAAAACCAAATAATATTTAGAAGCTATAACTGAGGATGAAAACAATTAATTAGGGCAGGATTTGCTTTTGAGTTTATTGCCGAGGCGCACAACATATGTTGACTAAATTGAAATATACGATAACAAATGTAAAAAATTTTCAACCAAAAACGTCCTCGACGTCTTATAAGCACTTCAAGTCGGAGTTTATTGAAAACCTTTCACGACGACTGTTAGGTATTGCCGTGCCACACATGGCTGCTTTCGATTGCGATAAAAAATGAAATAATTGTGAAATGTTTTTAAATCAGAACGCGGACGGACGGGGGCGGTAGGATGTGTACGGCGTTTTCGGCCTTCCATATGTAGAAAATCTTAGGTTAATCGAAGCAATATTTTTCCGAAAATAATTTTCGTATCCAGATTTTCAGAGTTTCTACTGCATCATTATAACATGAAGACGGGCGGCGTTACATTGCGTCAAGATGATGAAGCACGAGAGTATTCGTCACAAGAGAGAGAGAGATAGCATTATGCTATTGTCGCTTTCAATTCGCATCGACAGCGCGCGATTTCTACTTTTTTGAGGTAATATATCTCATTTTGGAATACAAACATATACGCAGGGATAGCGATTATCACGTAACTAACAGCAAAAAGGTATGATTGAAGTCGGGCGGTGTTAAATTACGTCGAGGTGATAAAGCACTGGAAAAAAGTAGTTTTCACCGGATTGTTATGACCGTAGAACGACGTTGTTTGAACGTAGAACAATAATAGAAAAAAACGAATTTCAAACGGGGGGGACACGACCCCCGTAACCCCCCCGCTGGTTGCGCCACTGGTCACAATGCTAGGTTCAAATCTTTGCGGTTTCATTTCATTACTTTCATTACTTCACAGGGTGTTTACGAGGCGCAGTTCTCACCACTTCATGGCAGCTTCTGCCGCGAACGAACCGCGGCAGCTCTTGCCATGGTTTTATATCGGTATTCAGTAATCAGTATTAACGGTATATTCTCAAATTAATATACCAGATTTCAATTGATCGTGCGGAATTATATCAACTTAAACCCCAACCCTAACCCCAAATCCATCAAAACCTTATCCATGGGAAAAACGTTCCAAGTTTGCCTACCCAATATTTGTCACCATAAGGGACAGCCCTGTCTTTACGGCCCGCCTGCTGTGGTTACGGCAGCAAAATTTTACCTGCCATTGGTTTTCAATTTGCTGCTGGGTAACGCCAGCTCGTCATTGGTTTGTGGCAGCTAAAAAGTCAGTCGCCATAGGTTTGGCCGTAGCGGCCATGGTATGGAAATACCACCATGGTTTTGCAGCAGCTGCAGACGCCACAGAATACTTAAAACTGCACTTGGTGTTTACACTTTGTTGAGCATGGATTGCTTGAACATAATGGTATTTGGAATCCACCATACAAAATAACACTATAAATACCACTGGAATGATGAACAGGGGGGCCATGAGCGCTAAAGGCCTTAAAAACTATCTAGTCTATTTCATTACGTTCTGTGTGTTGTCATTTTTGTAACTCAAATTATCTATCTCACATCTATTTCTTAGGTCTGCTTTGACTTGCCTTCATCAGCATGCTACCAATGCTGCAGAGGACATCTCATGTGTGCTGCCTGCTATAACCACTTACTTGCTGATTCAAAGTTAAAAGATGAGCAAGTAAGTTGTTATTGTTCTTGTAAAAAAAAATTAATGAAGCATGGTCAGGCGGAATTTTCTCATCTGAAAAGGGTTGGGCCAATGCTGCCAGGTCACACTTTATTGATTTTCAAGTAGTGATTCTGTGTTCAAAGAGGAACAAGGAGTAGGAGTTTGTTATGTTTAGTCTATTTTTTCACCGCTAGAAGTTCATGGAGCAAGACTTAATAGAATATTCTCATCTGAAATAGATGGGTCAATGCTGCCAGGTCATGATTCATTGATTTACATGGAGGATTCTAGCTTGCTGATATGGTTGAAATACAAAAAAGTGATGATCTATTTTTCCATTACTATCATTGAAGCGCGACTAGACAGAATAATCTCATTTGAAAGGTCATGCTTAATTTTCCAAATAATAGATTTCAATTTGTAGCCGAGCAAACTGGGACTTTTGTTTTTTAGCAGTTTACTTGTTACAATATCTACCACTAACAATACTCAACAAAAATTTTTGAATAGGAAATATAGAGTTTCAAATATAGAGATAAATTTATATATTTCATCGAGTGAATAATTATTGTTTCCAGGAATAATTTGGAATATATTCATTAAAATTTGTTAGCTTGAGCTCATAACAACTGATATTTTTCAGAATTTATTAGAATGATAGTTTATTCAAATTCATCATCCCTGATCCGAATTCTCTCGAGTGAATCAATATACAACTCAGTCAGGGGTTCTCAAGCTTTTGGTGTTATGGAGCCCCAGGATAAATTTATAGAAGTAACTCGGAACTTGTTAATGTCATATTTACATTTCGTCTTGTTGCCACATTTTGTTGCTACTGTTGTCAAATTTCATTACTGCCGTTATTGCTTTTATAGCCAGTTACAAAATTAGCCAAGTCAGTGTTTTAATAAGTAAACGCATCATGGACTCCTGGTATGGGGCACTTCGAGAACCTACGAACTAAGCCATCTTATCAGCTGTTTTTCATATCAAAATCCTAGCTTTAACTGAACAATTATTTCTAGCCGACATGTCCGTCTTGTCGTGTTGACATCGGCCACGGATCATGCACAAGAAATCTCACTGCAGAAAAGACAATATCAGAACTACCAGTCGTTTGCGTATACTGCTGCGGAAGTTTTGCTCGACACATGATTAAAGGTCATCAGACCGAAGACTGTGCTGATAGACTAGTCAAATGCAGGTTTGTGTTCTTCCTGACGCTCCAGAAGTGTGTGTACCAATATGGATGTAACTAATTTTGTTCGCCTACTTTACATCAAGCTGTGTAAAGGGACTGAAACTTATTGGCTAACATAGACAGTCCCTGAACTCGTAATAGAACTAAAATAAGGAAAATTGGAGTAAAATTACTGAATTTTCTAGTTTCCAAGTTAGATTGTAACAGCTAGCAAGTCTTGCTGGAGGTCGGAAAACAATGAATTGGGCATTTTCGAATCTAATCAAATATTTTTTTTTAATCGAATCTCGAATACTTGGAAGATATGTAGTTGGCGGCGATTTAAAATTCTTGTGTGAACATGTTCAAATAACTCTCTATTCAAAATGCCCAGCGCTAGTTACGGCTTCGTTTTAAAGAGACTTGTTTGGAAAGATGGTGACCACGAAAAATTATTTTTTATCATTTTCATTATCAACATTCCGAAATATAAGATTGGGATCTTTTTTCTTCAGGTTTGAAACGTTCGGTTGTTCTTGGAGTGGGCCATATCATGAATCAACCAATCACGAATCGACATGTGTCCATCCCAAAAAATCAGGGACTGAATTACTGGAATGTCTGGACAACCGAGAAGAAAAACACAAAAAACAGGTAAATGGGTGCGCTTCTTCAATTCAATTGCATTTCCCCAGACAGTTTGAGACTTATGCAATTAGATTGTCTGAATGAAAAATGTTTTTGCTGACAAAAGGCGGGACCGAATTCTTTTTGCCAAATGATTTTTTATTTGCGATGCTAACATATTCTGGTCCAAGGCTCCCCAAACTGGGGTTCCAAATGAATTTTAGAGGTTGCAAAGAGTACATCAATTTTACACAAAGCACTATAGCTATTGTACCTTTTTAGACGTTTGTTTCGGAACACAATTATCAAAACTAGTTCAAAACATAAATCTCACGATTTTCGAGTAAATACATAGGATCATAATAACAGTGCTGACTTTGATCGCAGGACCCGAGAACCGATACGCTTGCGCAACTATGATGACTTAACAGGGGACACAGAAAATTTCAATATATTGCAACGGGTCGCGAGTTTAAAAGCTAAGCCTTGCTCTAACCAATAGACGCCACACCCATCACATCATTGGATAAAGTTGCCTCATTGGCAAGATGTTTATAAAATTCGACATTTTTAACACCCATTTTCATATTTCAAAATAACTGTAACTTTTTGATTTGGCTTTGCCTACACTATTTATTACATCTTGGTTGAGGTGGCGGGCGAGCCTTTGTGAAGAAGATATTGTGAATAGGGCCAAGTTCTTGAATTACTAGCCATCACATTATATCAAAAAGTTGTCTTATAGGCTTTCCTTTCTTTCCCTTAATATATTTTTGAAAATCTGGTATCAAAAAACAACACATTTTTTAACAGTTGTCAGTATTTCGCCAGTCGGTGTCACTGTTGAGCTGCGAACAAATTTCATTTTCTGACATTCAACTTCGACCTTTTCGAACGATGGATTTTGTCACTCGTCTTTACTATGAATCAAACCGTTTTCATGCCCTTGGCCACACGTGGGCGGTAAAGGCTTTTATTGACAATGTGGAAAAGCACCCCTCAAACCCAACGGTAATCGCAGACAGACAGTTGAACTACCAACTCCTGTTGAAATCAAAGGTAAGATTATTAAACTAGGAAAAGCAATGAAGCATAACTGGACGGAATTATCATCTTTTGCATGCATTGATTTTATTCCGTCTAGTTATGCTCCACTGCTTTTCTAGAGATTTCATATGCAAGCTCACGGACACACTCATTTCATAGTGGGATACATTGGATATGCCATTCAAAATATATGAACATATGAAGGTTACATGCCTAACAAAACAGCCCGTACATTTGCCATGTCATCAACCCTACGAAACTTCCCCATTCCTTCCTAAAGTAGCAGCATAGCGCCTTTTGTGGCAGCGCACAACGAACTCCAACTGAATTGCATTCGACTAATTCATTTAATCAAATTGTGTGTGGTTTCAATTTCGTCAGAATTTCGAACATACTACATTTAGAATATTGTGTTTACAATGTTCAAGTGAATTGTTTTCCCCTTTAATCTCTTGTGATATGCAAAACTGTGATATTAATAGAAGAGTATTTTAACAAGAATAGGATTTACATATTCATTCCGAGGAGAGGGAAGCCGATACCACGAACCACGGCCTCTCGTCCGGTTACCAGTCCATGTCGGGTATGATCTTAGTTTAGCCAGTCATCTGTTTTCGGAAGCATGGACTTGAACCTAGATAAGATGAGCTTGATCTTTTTTGAAGTCCGCCTTGGTGCAAAAAATGAAAACACACAGGACAGAAATGCTAGAAATTTATCATTAAATTAGGAAGGCTTGCATAGTTTGGCCCCAACACGAATTAGAACAATATACTAACCATTCTCAAACTTAATAATCGCCCTGAATTGCTCTTGATGGGCATTCTAGTGACCGCTTATGACTGACTCTGATTGGTCTTGTTCTCTTCTGAATGAGCATGTTCAGGCTATGCCTATTTTAGTGAACTGAACCATGATTTTACTGAAGTGAACACTTAATAGTGCATACTGAAGTGAACACCTCTTTCTGATGTGAACAATGATCTTACCCTAAAAATTAGCTTTTTTGCTATTTTCCAAACGAAGTCACTCTTACTAAACGGAACACTACTTTATAAACCTAGTCGCTCTTACTAAAGTGAACACTGCTTTCCAAACAGGGTCACTCTTACTAAAGTGAACACTTTTCAAGCAAAGTCACTCTCACTAAAATGAACACTGCTTTTTTATTTATTTTTTTCTAAAGTAAACACTGTCTTACAAACAAGTCACTCTTACTAAAGTGAACACTGCTTTTTTAATTTTTTTTGCTAAAGTAAACACTGCTATTCAAACCGAGTCACTCTTACTAAAGTGAACGCTGCTTTTTTAAATTTTATTTTGCTAAAGTAAACACTGCTATTCAAACAGAGTCACTCTTACTAAAGTGAACACTGCTTTTTTAATTTTTTTTTGCAAAAGTAAACACTGCTATTCAAACAGTCACTCTTACTAAAGTGAACACTGCTTTTTTTTGAGGTGAGCAACGATTTGGAGTTATATTCTCTCCTTGTAAGAGCACCATTTGAGGAAACCCACATAGACCCGGAACCAGTTTTCCATCGATTTACGACCAGTGAAACTGAGAGTGAACTCCGGCCTATCAGTGTTGCCGATGCCAACCGTTTGTTGGGGTCGAGGGTCATAAATTTGAGGCTGTTTTTGTTTTATAACAAACCATGAACACGTTAAGAAACAAGTTTTATTGAATAAACTTTGAATTAACTCTTGTCACTTGGGGGTGTTATGAGTATTTTTTCATCACTCCTCCAATAATATATTGATATAGACAGAGATTTATTTAATTTTAACAGAATCTAGTTTTGGGTGAAAATGACTTTTTAAAACAAACTACTCTATCAAGTTTTTTTCTTTGAAAAAGAATTTTAATCATATAGGTGTTGTCTTTTTTATAGATTTATTTTCCAATAACATGACAGCAGTGTTCAGACTCCATTTGAAATATTTCACTGTTATAATTACAATTTAATTTTAATTTGAAATATTTCATACTTGTGGCTGGCATACTTTCATACTTCTCTAATTTTCTAATAAAATGTTTTGAATTATTGACTTATTCCTAAATTCAAAAATTTACTATAAAGAATATAATGAATTTTGAAGTATCTGAAAATTTGATTTGTTCTGGACATCTCCATGTTTATCCTTTCTACATGGATGTGGTGACAAAGGGCCAATGATGTTCCAAGAGCCATTTATATATATGCAGGATGTCCAAAAAATTTAGCTCGATTTTATAGTAATAATATTTAAAAATTTCCTTATCTTTATTTATAAAAAGCTCTTCTTGTGCTTGTAGTTCTTATTTATCATACAATAAAATTTATTGAAACTTGCAATTGGTATTTCTATAAAATCAGGCGAAATTTTTTGGACACTATGTATATAGGTTTACATGTTGATACAATACAGATCCTATTGATATCAATTCAAAACTTGCAACCTTGGCTGCTTGATTTTTTACGTTGTGTATTTCGGATTCGAAATTCTCATGTAATGGCTTATGATACAGTCATCGCTATCACCCCCATATATTTGTAATGTTTGTTTTTATGTAACTTTCGAAAAGTAACTGCGCAGCATTGCTAGGCTTAAGCTGTTTCTTTAGATTAAACGATATTCGAAATGTTTTTTTTTCAGTGTTATTCTTGAATAGAATAGTATTCAGATATAGACATGCCTAGATATGATCAATCTGAACAGAATCAATCTGAACTGTCTGGGAATTTATAGGATGAATATATTATAACATTGCTAAAGGTGTTGTTAAAATATGTCCCCATATTATACTGTGTCACCCTAACTAGTTTATACTATATATTTATGATTTTACATTTAAGGTGACTATTTTATCCTGAGAAAACGTATTTTAAATGATATAAATTGCACACTTTTATTTTTAAAATAATATTATATTATCATCACTAAAAACGTTGAAAAATATTCAAATGAGAATTTTGTTTTTAAATATTGCAACATTCAACATTAACATTAGATTACCCATCTTAATATTCCATTATTTGTCTGAGATATTTATTTTTGGTTGTTTTTGCAGTCTATCTCACTTGTGTCTATGTTATCAAACTCTTCTGAATTGATATTTAATGGAATGACCTTGATGGTCAAAAATTAACCTTGACTGTTAAGTAAACAACTCCAGTGGTCGGCAAAATAGAAAATGCTTGGCTGCGGCACAGTTTGCCGACCACTGCCTTACTCTATTTGACAGTGGTTTCCAACTGGGGGCCCCCGTGGCCCACCAAAGGGGCCACAGAGCAGTAGAAGGGGCCACCATGCCAGGGGCAAAACTGATTTTATTTTTCCTTTTACTAGAAAACCACACATTCTTCCTAGTTTCATTGCTTGATAAGGTTGGTGTTTTCACTTTGTTGAGAATGAATTGTTTGAACATAATGGGGTTTGGAATCTATCAATCAAAGTAACGCCGGGATGATAAACAGGGAGCCGTGTGTGCTAAAAGACTCTGGAAAGGGGTCGGGGGTCATAAGAGATTGGAAACCACTGCCTTGTACTCAGTGTTGACATGTTTAGAATCCTTTTGTAGCAGTACTGTGAAGACACACCATAAAAAGAATTTTATGTCCTGTTTACTTTAAAATCTCCAAATGAAGAGACTAATAGAATATTTTTTGACATTGAGATATCTTGGTGCTTTGTATTTAATCACAATGAGTTTTTAAACAGATATAGTTATATTTTATTGAAAGATTTATATTCATAGATTTTATTTGTAATTTTTTTTCTGTGACTCTGCGAAGAAGCATTCTTCTGATGCTTGGGGCGGCTGCCCTTATAACCCTTCTTCTCGAGACACGCCCCTGTCTTCTCCCAACCTTTCAATTTCTCTTTTACTGTAATTTCAGAGATCTGAAATTCATATTATTATAGCTCTTGAATAGCATTATTGTCAAAAATTTTTGGGCTGTATAATGTAAGAAAACATTCAATACAAAAACAGTCTCTTGAGTTGAATGAAATTTTAACATCTAACTGAGGGGTATAGCCAGGGAGGAGGGGGATGGGAGTCGTGGGTCAGAAAGGTGGAAAAAACATTTTTCTCTGGTTGGACTCGCTGGCCCACCGGCAATTTGGCAATTTGAATTTTCAGACCCCCCCCACTTGAAAAATTCCTGGCTACGTTCCCTGCTCTTACTCCTCGGTGATGAAATATTTCTACCCTGAATATCATGTAGTGTTAAAGTTGCGATGAAAAACCTATCAATCACCCATCTTAAATATTTCGTATATCTGTATTTTTCTGAGATATTTATTTTTACTCGTATTTAAAGTCTATATCACTTTGTGTCTTTGTTATCAAACTCACCTAAATTGATATAAATTGATATTCGATGGAATGACCTTGATGGTCATATTTTGACCGTGACTGTTAATTATCTTGAAAATATTCGACCAAAATTTGGCCATTTTTTCCCCCAAATTTAGGATAAAATATATGTGCGTATTTTGTGAGAGCATAGTTGATGAGATTGCTCAATTATTAATCGAACCAAGTTCTTTCTGAAATATTATTGTTAGTATTTTCGTATTATTACACTGGAAATTTTAAAAGATCCCTTACCAAGAATTAGCTGATTAATGGATGAGAAAGCTGCAGTTTCAATATGAATGAGCTGTCTTGTCCCCTCTTCCCTTCTGTTTGAAACTTGTTTCCTCTTCCATGATAAACTGAAAATTTTATCCAAGTCCATATTTCTGGAACTGTCTGACTATTCCTAGAACGTATAATATCTGTACAATCTAGATCTGGCAACTAGTGGAGGGCCCATCAGCTTTCTTCTTGTCTTGGATAAATATGGAATCTCCTGGCGCTCCAGTATGTGTACCAATATGGAGGTAACTAGGTAATTTTTTTTGCCTACTTTATCAAGTTGTGTAAAGTGACTGAAACCTATGGGCAGGTGGTATATTCCCTTGGCTAACACAGACCCCGAACTCGTAATAGAACTAAAAAAAGGAAAATTGGAATAAAAAACTCTAATCTGGTACACATACTATGGGGGTACCCGAAGTGAACAGTATTTCATTTTTTCACCCTCATGGAAATACGCTTTACAAGAACAATGAAAAAACAACCCGAAATGGCATTTAAGGGGGTCGCGAAGAACCAATACTGGTTAACAATAAGGGCCACCCAAACTAGTTAGTTATTTCTACACAGACTCGGCCCCAAAGCTATAAAAGCGATTGCTATGTGCCATACGATCAAGCCATTTTATCAGCTTCCCGCTCCACCAGGATAAACTTGAAAATCATACCCCATGTATATTATTAAATCCCCCCCCCAACCTCGACCAATAACCACAAGCGCTATCATTAAGTCGTCTTATACATAGGCTGACTCGGGGGGTAGCCTGAGAGGTCAGCCCCCTCCCCACGAAAAATGCAATTTTGCTGTATTTGCGATAAGACGAAAACACCATTTTGTTCTATTCTTGAACGATTTACTGAAAACAAGACGTTTCCTGGCTTGAAATCAATAATTCTTTCACCAGATAAATCAACCAAGATAGATGAAAAATATGATGTCAATGTACAAAACAATCCCCCCCCTCTCAACAAAATGTTGGGCTGACTACGCACTTGGTCTTATCGCTTTCCTCTCTCCCAAGCTTAAACTTCTTCTCTAAACTACTACCTCGCCTTTTCATGTTATTGCTATTATTGTTATTGCCTATATTATTATTATGTGAATTATCGTCTCATTTTAAGCAACGAAGCATCACCGGCAGCATTGGCATTCCATGTTTAGGATAAGATAATTCTGGCCAACCATGCTTCGTTGATTATAATGTTGTTTTATGTTTCGATTTCATTTTAATCATTGAAGCAAGATTGGCAGCATTGGCATTCCATGTTCAAGATAATGATTATTCTGGCCAGTCATGCTTCGTTGATTATAAATCACCATGCCTTTGTTTAAATAAAGTTGAAACAGTGAGTATATTTGATGAAATGTAGAATAGGATTTACATATTTATCTCAGGGAGAGGAAAGCCGATAAGACAACTTAACTATATGGCGAAGCACGAACTATATGGCGAACCACGGCCTCTCGTCTGGTTACCAGTCCATGTCGGGTATGGGATTAGTTGGTTATTTGTTTTCGGAAGCATGGACTTGATGGTGGAGAAAGCCGTAACTGACCAGCCGTTACGTGAACCACTCTACGACGACGAGGAGTGCAGCAATCTTCTCGCACATAACCATCCCCGCATGGGATTCGAACCTGCGAACCCACGCAAAGTAATCAAGATGAGCCACACTGCCGCGCCACAGAATGGGGCAGCTATGATATATTGACCTAGTCAGTCAACTTCAGTTGAGAGAGGGACTTATTATGAATATTCTGGGCTGGCTTCCTCGATTGGACACGAAGAATTTCAGTTCCTGATTTTCCTAGTTTCATTACCCGATATGGTTATTTACAGAGTATTTTCCCTTTCTTGTGCATGAATTGTTTGATCTTAAACGGGATTTGGATCTACCAAACAAAATTACACCATAAATCACTTTTCGTTCTGTGAATTCTGACTGCCCATATGACCTTCAGATAATAGGACAATTTCACAGGAATGCGAGGTAGCCGTTGTAAACGTATTGTAGAAGCAGAAAATTTTTTTCAAATTTCTAATATTCTGGAGAAACTGAAATCAGTCGACAATTCTGTTGCATGAGAGACTTGACCAAAGTAAGTCTAAATTGTTTACAATCCGTATGAGTAAGAAACGTGTCGTGTCTTTAACAAGGAATGGACATAGAAATACTAGTCAATCAAAAGCTGTTTGTTGTACATTAGCTGTTTACGCTAGTTATTATTTGTATCTCCGGCCCAGTAACCAAGTCTATTATCTTTAACTTGCCTACTCGGGAAAGCAATTTCCCACCTAAATTTAGCCCTGATTTTAAGACGATATGTTGCTTGCTCCCGGTTATGCCTCGCACTGTCGGAATTGACATCACCACGCCTCCAAACAAGACAACAAATAAAACTATTTCAATGAAAAAAGAACAAAATATGATTTATTTGGCAAAATATGAAAACATATCTTTGGCAGCATTCTTATATATATTATAACATATATAACTCTATAAGCAATAATACAAAAATAACCAAAATTTAGGTGCTTAACATGAATAGCTAAGTCTTAGCTTTATATATAGCTAATGGAGACTAGGTAAAGAGGAAAGACTATAAAACGGCTACGGGATAATCATCTGGCCATGGCCTTCACATACTTTGAAAAGCAATCACCGTGTTACTGTTTTTGTGATGTCACATTCAATGTATTATGACATCATCATTCTGTATGGGTACATTTTATATATAACATCATTATGCTTTGTATTATGAAATCTTAGTTTTTGTATTGTGACTTCAAATTTTGGTGTTATGTATTGTAAAATAACATCAAAATTGTGTAATGGGACGTTTCATTACCTTCCGTATCAATGCCCTAATGAAAGTCAAAAGTAGATTTTAAATTCACAAATATAGTAATGCTTTATCAAAATGGAACTGATAGCTTGATATAAAATCTCTCTTGCCTATACTGGATGTTAAGAATACATTAATTTGTCCACTATATAGATAACAAGTATATATAATATATACACTTGTTCTGTCAGCTACTTCTTGTGGGCACCAATATATTATGAAATAACATTTTGCTTGTGTGATGTCACACTGCTTTCCTCAGAATAGGAGATCGTAAATACACCATTCAATATCTTCAAACTTGGTCACCCCAGAGATCACGAATAGTCGAAAGAAAAAAACGTTAATAATTTTATACAGCAATCAAATGTTTAATACTGACATTTTCTAATTTGCGAAACTTTTATAAACAAAAAAGGCTTGTTTGAGACTAAGAGGTCTTCGCAGAGGCTGCTCAATGTTTTGTTTGAGTCTATTTAAGGCTTCATTTGAGTCTATTGTTCGTTCTAGATTGTTAGATTCTACTTGGTTCGGATTCGAAGCCTTGGGCTTTCTTTTGATTGTTTCTTCGCGCCGATGTCATAAGAGGACACAGTGACATCATAACTTGTTTTTCTTTTCAACTTTGTGATATTTCTGTAATGAGAAATTTAAAAGACTTAAAACTCCCTGACATATATTCATAACTAAAATACTAAAATTAAATTTTATCAGGATTTTTATCCTAATTTGTCCCGCCAGTCTAAAATGGTAATTACGGTATGCAGGCCTGGTAATAAGAGCGCTGAGCACGTTGGCGTCACAGATTAAATATTTCAGATCCTAACCCCATTCTCCCCTTTTCACCCAGGGTGCAGTTGATTTGGGTAAAAAATGTCGAATCTAAAAAATTCCTATTCTTTTTCAAAAAATGGGTAGCTTCGTACGTATATGAGGTATATGTCTGGGAAGGCAATGACCAATCGAGTAGCTCTTTGCGTGTAAGCCGATGATTGTACTGAGCTCGGTTTGGAGTAGAAATGGCTAACAGATCTTCACAAGATTTTTTATGTCGTAAAATCCAACTATCTGCTAGTTCAGAGCCTCAATCAGAGCTATCTCTGGATTCTGATACTTTGGTGTATTAATATCAGTACCTAAATCGAATCCAGAATATCGGATTCTCTTTGATTTTTATAGTTGTTTAAATAATGAGAATTCTCCATCTCATTGCTCGTTTAAAAGAGCAAAATCATATTACTGTCTTTGTACAGCATACGAGCCTTTAGATTCGCAATTGCTAATCTCTACTGACAAAGCCACTTGCTTATGAAATTCAGACACTTGCTTGCTCATCATGCACGAAGTAGTAGTTTTTTGCTGCATGTCTGAGACGGACGATGGGACAGCCTGTCAAAATCGTGACTGTCTCAGAGTAAAAACCAAGCTTACTCCCATAGTATGTGCATCAAGATGGCGGACACTGGAACAAAGTACGTGTACCAGATTAGGGTTAGGCCCCGAACTAGTAATAGAACTAAAATAAGGAAAATTGGAATAATATTTAGTCCTAACCCTAACCTGGTACACATAATATGTTCAGGTGTCCGCCATTTTGGTTCACATACTTCAGGAGCGTCCTTTTCAGAACCTTGTACATTTTGCAATTTAGCTATATGCATATTCATGGCCTTATTCGGAGCAAAAATAGAACAAATAAATTCACTCACAAAGAAGTTGCTTTTTGCATCTTGAACCGTTCGATCACTTTCTTTCCGTTTGGTCGATACAATCTCACAATGTAGGTGATCTCAGTGTTTTCTTTGACTACTTTTTTCCATCGCACTGTGATGTACGATCTAGCAGCGAATTGGATTCGGAGAGCGATCGGTGGCGGTGGGGGGACTAAAAAGAAAAGATATAGCTTTAGTTATTGTTGATTAAAGTGGAGCTGAGGCCTGTTATGTTAACATCACAATGTAAGAATTGCTAGTTTCACGACCTAGCTATTGCCCAGTTTCATTAAATGACCAAATGTGGCTGTTGGTAAAGTGGTATATTGCAACATGGATATGATTGTAATATCCTCTGTTACATACCAGGTGTTAATTACATAACAGATACTCTCACTACACAGACTGTATGTTTATTAGTGATGAAAAAAATCCAACACTCTTGCGTGATTTAAGTCAGCGCAGTCAATTTCAGGCAATTACATCCACAGTTCTATACTGAAATCATGATATTCCGAGACCATTTTCATCTTAAGGCACAGTAGTTAACTGTGGAATTGAAAATGTAAACAAAATTTTTTTTTTGAAATTTGCAAATGAGTAAATGGATAAACCTTAGCAACCTGTGTAAATGAAACGTGAAAAAAAAAGAATCATTCTACAATAGATGAACAATACAAACCATTTGTTTTGTAGAGCCTTGCTCGAGGAAAAGAACCACAAAAAATGAAGAATAATTGAAAAATTGGCCTTACGATTACAAAAGCAACGCAACCTTAACTGGAAGCGTGCTTTACCTAGTGCCCTTTTCATAGCCACACATATAACCAGCCTTACCGACAAATAGTCCTTGTTTAGTTGTAGTTTCTTCAGAATATAAAATCCTTGTGTCATCGCTCGTTGCAACGAAGATCTCATAGTTGGTGTTCGGCGATAGTTTCTGGAATTTGACATCGGGAGTGTCTTTGTCTACCGTGATGCTCTCCAAGAACTGAAATAAAAAATTAGGTTTAGTTAGAGCAGTGGTTCTCAATCTTTTATTGCTCGTGGCACCATTTTAAATGCTTTTAGCACTCATGGCTCCCTTGTTTATCATTCTAGTGGTATTTATAGTGATATTTCAATTGATAGATTCCAAATCCCATTATTTTCAAACAAACACCCTGTGAAATACCCTTATCATGCAATAAGACTAGGAAGAACGAGGGGGTTTTCTCGTCTTGTAAAAAGTGAAATCAGTTTGGCGCTGGGCCTTTCCAACTGTTCTGTGACCGCTGAGTTAGGGGTTTAATTTTGTATGCTTGAAGGCTAATCATGCTAAGTGTAGAAGACACGCTTGTTCACATCGCATAAATGCCTGGGTTAGTCTAACTAAGTACGAGATATGTGCAAAAGTACTTCTTACTGTCACTGGGTTGTTCATATAACAGTTGGTCAGTTACGGCTTTCTCTGCAATCAAGTTATTGCATATGAAACAAATAATTGACAGTAATTTCCATACGATACATAAACTTGTAATTCGCCCTATTGTTAAAACGTCTTATCGAGTTTTCCTTTCCCCATGATTAATACGAATATATACCATATGTACATCTGGCTTATCATTTTAAGGAACGCCAACGAACCACATATTGCCTGCATATTGGTCAGTGCTCAAGAGTGGGGGGAACAGTGTTGGACACATTTTATGAAAAAGATACACTGATGTGTGACCAGCAGAATTGATAAAATATTCCCATTCTGAATTAATTCTTACCGTGTCGGAATCAACTTCACGAATTTTGAAAACAATCTCATCTGTTGGTATTTTACCGGACCATGTCAGCGCGATGTTTCTTGCTTGCACTAGTGAAATTTTCACCTCAAATTCACCTGAAAATAGAATATATGTACGGTATGTTAGGAATACGCTTGCCATCACAACTGTAATTATTTTGTGAAGATTTGCAGATTTGAATCTTGTGTGGGAATACCGTTGACATAACCACTGGTCAACTGCGGCTTCCTTCAATATCAAATCCATCTGAAACAGATGCATGGTCAACTAATCCCATACACGACATGAACTGCTAACCGGTCATGGTACGCCCTATGATTATCATCGGCCTCTCTATACTAATTATAACATCAGTGGGGTGATACATGTACAATACCTTGCTGGTCTAAAACACAGTTGTGTTGTAACAGGAAAATATATACAAATAACAAGAGTAAAACCTCGGAAAGAATCAAATTGACAATGATGAGGTACAACGAGGATAAGGAAAAAATGGTTAGTTTATGTGATTATGAAGTAAATTTACAAAAATAATGCAACAATTGTTGTGAACTGCTTGTCTTAGAAAATCTGATATTGGTCAGATGAAACATTACATAAATACATTTGTGTTAGTGTGCAGAAGGACTCTTTGAAGAATGGTATGGTATGTTTATTCCTGCTACTGCATCATTACATTATACCCATATAGATCCACTAGCGCAAAGGCATTGAGTAGGCATTGGGAGTTAGTCTCATGTAACCTCTACTGATAGTGTATGCAAGTCTTCTTTATTTGCCTGTTAAGGATACTAGGTATTCCTGATGCAAACTATAAAGTTATGTTGTTATAGCCTTCTTTTTTCTCTTGAGATATAAAAAATTAAACCTCAAAAGAGTTTTTATATGCTTACCCAAACCATTTGCCTAAAGTAGTATATCTATCTACCAGGGCTGCCATAACGTCCTTATTTCTAAGATTTATCCTTATTTTGAAGGTCTTTGTCTTAGAACAGGGGTCGGCAACCTTTTATCGCTTGCGGGTCAAAATTAAAGATTGCAAGTCATTGGCACATATTTTTGGCCGGTTAAAACCCGAATGGAAGGCCAATGAATCACATTTTTTCACACAGATCCGACGTTAAATTTCAACCAACGCGCGAAGACTGATCATTTGAATATTTACTGCGCCATTACACCATTTGGACTCGGCATCAACTTTTTCACGTTTTGTTGCTATTTGTCTAATTATATTAAAATTTTGGCTCATCAAACGGGAATTATATACTTGTTGGAATATAATATAATGTAGTCTACACATGTCTCAAAATAAATTCTGTTATGTAAAGAATATAATTGTCAAAACAATTGTTTTGTTACTATAATTCAGTGAAGCATCGCGGGCCGGATTATATTGCTCCGCAGGCTGGATCCGGCCCGCGGGCCGTAGGTTGGCGACCCCTGTCTTAGAAAATATTTTTGTCCTTATTTCTATGAAACTTTCTTATTTTGACATGTGTCCTTATTTTTTGTCTTATTTTAGTTGTAGAGATTCTTATACACGATTCTTAGATTGGTCAATATGCATGGTCTATTTGGTAGAAATGATATTAGAACCTCATTGATTGCTACGCGCATTCATGACGTAATAACAGCAAATTAATTGTCACAATGACAAAACAATAGACCACCGGCAAAGATCAGTTCATGTTACTTGAATCAAAATACAGTAGTGAATCTAATTTTATTCTAATTGAATTCTACAAGAGAAAGTGAACTCAGAAGTGATATGGAACAGATAGTTTCTAAGAATAAAGAACTGCTGGAGCACATTCGTTCTAGTGCAACGCATGATTAGACACGGGTCGCAGTGGCATGAATACATTTTGTTTATTACATTTCGTCTTTGTTATCTTATTATTCGTTTCCCCGATGTCCTTATTTTTGGGTTCATATTGATGGCAGCCCTGTCTATAACCCCCAAAAAAGGTGCATGTGGGTCCAGTTGTGCAACAAGGTGCAAGTGGTACAATATATATACCAGCTTACCCAGTATAACTTCCAATAATAAATCTTCTAATATCGGGGCCATCTCTTCCTGAATGTCTTCCTTATCTGCAGCACTGATACCTTCGGTCTCAGGAGTCTGGGAAATATAAGTATAAGTTTATTTCGACTCCATAACCAGCATAGTAGACGATAAAGTAATAGATAAAAAAATGATTATAGAATCGGGAGAGCAAACTAAATTCCAAGTAAGATTTGAAGCATACAGATTTTAGATGGGAAGGCATTGATGAAAAGCTCGGCGGTGTGGCGCATCGAGCTAAGCGTTAGGAATACGCTCGTAACCGCATCTCTGATTACCCGTGTGGGATCGCAGGTTCGAATCTCATGCGGGGATGATCATGTGCGAGAGGATTGCTGGACTTCTCGCTGCCGTAGGATGGTTCACGTAACCGCTGGTAGGTTACGGCTTCATCCACCATCAAGTCCATGCTTCCGAAAAACAAATAACTGCCTAACTAATCCCATACCCGAACTAGACGGTTTTCCTCTTCCCCGGGATAAATATGTAAATCCTATCCTATCCTAAAAGAAGTAGTATGTGTTCGCTCACCCAAAAGTGTTAAAACTAATTAGGGCACGCACACACACACACAATCCCCGAGATATGATAAGATCGGGAAAAAAAAGAGAGACATAAAATCAGATACTCAGTAAAAAAGATAATAAACAAATAAATGGAAAAATTCTTTTTTTTGCCACACCATATAAGAAGGCTTTGACCCATTACCTAGTTTTGCTCTGTGTAAAGATAGATAGGCAGATCTAAGTGTTAATGCGGACACGAACGGTTGGGGGTTGAAATGTTGGACTCATTTACGCTGGTATCACAGGTTAAAATATCCTATGTTAAGCCTTGGTCCTCGCTGCCTTAATTACTGTAAACGGGTGAAAAACATTGTTCCAGGTAAAGACCACCTCTGTGTTACGATAAACATTAGTTTCATTTACGATGGTTTACAACTTCCAAGAAAATATTTGAAAGAGTTCATAACACAGAAACATCGGGAACCAGAACATATTTCAACCACATTTTTGTTATAACTATAGTTTAATGTCAAATAATGCAATATTTTGGTAAAAAAAAAGAAGAAATACCTGTAGGAATATAGTTGATAGTATTCCAGCAATCTCCATCGCAAATTTCTTGGCTCCTGATCTGCCGAGTTCCTTTCCGTCATCTCTGATATGTCTGCTCAGTATTATCAGCTTATCCATTTGATCCGAAACTTCTGTATAAATAGGAGATAAGATTGTGAGATAAAGATATTATGTTTATGCTCTATGCCTATTTGAAAAAAGAGAGGAACTGCGATTAGAAGTTCACACCAGTGTTTCTCAATGTCCCTGAGGTTTTTGAAATTGAGGGAAAATGTAAGACTGTAAGGTTTGGAAGTTCAACTTCCCAAGCTGATAAATGTACATGTAATGGATTATCTTGGTCATGGACCACATGATTTATATTAATAAAAAACTTTTTTATGACAATCAAAATTGTTATTGGAAGTTTTGTTGGCCTGAGACTTCTTTTGACGCTGAAAATGGGCCTTGAGAGAAAGAAGGTTGAGAACCACTGGTTTATGTCACATGGGGAACATTGCTGTTGTTTTTACGAACTATGCAGTACTAGATTTCTCGCATGGGGTGAAGTTATGTGAAACCCCATATTAACACCCAGTTTTCACACTCATATGCCTATGAATATTCACCGAACTCTTCACGAACCTTTTGAATTTCTTTGTTGCAAAATGGACAAGTCGCTTTTCCGTTCTGCCAGTTCTGTACGGAAGATAAAATACAGAACTTATGCCGTGCACTTGATTGATATAATGGATCATGATTTTCAAAGAATTTATACCGAGTGCTGATGTACTTATATGATATGAATATGTAGCTTGTGATCTAGCGGCTATATGAAAGTTATTCGTTACAAACCAATATTAACCAAAAGATTATATGGCATTGTTTTTGATTTTTTTTTACCCGAATTTCAGTTAGAATTGGTATATGAACCAAGGGAAACTTATGACTCAAAAACTTTATTTCTGAGTGTCACCAACACTAACCATTACTATTTTTGATATACTAAAATGAAATACGTATTGCTGTTCTTCCAAATTGAGACATTTGCAAACATAATTACATGATTTTACAATATTTGCCCTTGAATTTTTAACTTTTATAGGAATAATACAGTGTCCCATGGACAAGCCTGGAAATTCATCACATTCACAGGCATAAATAAACACTGATTTTACAACACTCACGGAATAAAGTTTGCCCCATTACAAATCTTCTGATGCTTTCAACGGTTCTCCAGATACGGTTCCTGAAAATCGAGGATTCTTTGATGATTTCCTTTCCGCTGCTGCTTTTAGTAATTTCATCGCTAAATGAACAAGAAAGGATGAATTTCTGATTTGTTAGTTCGACAGCTATATCCTCCTTTGGACATGGTCAACTCAAGTGGGATTCAAACCTGCGGTCCCGAGAGCAAAACCATGCAAATAGAACAATTTTGAACTGGGAACAAAGACTGCACAACCAACTACCTATATGCAAGGAGCTATTATAATTTGAAAGGACTTCAAAATCCTTCAGGTTCAGCATTGCCTCTCTTTGAGTGAGTACGTGTTATTCTGCTCGTAGACGAATCTCCTTTACATCTGAGTGAGATAGTATTTACCACTGAATGTGTGAGTGTAACTTTGCCTCAGAGATGAATCTCTTTTAACTCTGAGTAAGTGAGTGTAACTTTGTTCGGAAACGAATCTATTTTACTACTGAGTGAGTGTGTGTAATTTTGCTCAGAGATGAGTCTCCTTTGCTTCTGAGTGAGTGTGTGTAACTTTGCTCAAAGATGAGTCTCTTGTACTTTTGAATGAGTGCCTGTAACTTTGCTCAGAGATGAGTCTCTTGTACTTTTGAATGAGTGCTGTAACTTTGTTAGAAGATGAGTCTCCTTTACTTAAGATATTAAGTGTGCGTAACTTTGCTCAGAGATGAGTCTTCTTTACTTCTGAGTGAGTGTGTGCATCTTTGCTCAGAAATAAGTCTTCTTTACTTGTGAGTGAGTGCGCATAACTTTGCTTAGAGATGAGTCTTCTTTACTTGTGAGTGAACGTGTGCATCTTTGCTCAGAAATGAGTCTCTTTTACTTTTGCGTGATTGCCCGTAACTTTGCTCAGAGATGAGTCTCTTTTACTTCTGAGTGAGTGCCTGTAACTTTGTTCAGAGATGTGTCTTCTTTACTTCTGAGTGAGTGTATATATCTTTTCTCCGATGAGTCTTATTTACCTCTGAGTGAGTGCTCGCAAATTCACATACAGATTGATTGAGTACACGTTTTTCCGCTCATTTATGAGTCTCCTTTACCTCCGAGTGAGTGCACATGACCTTACTTTGAGCAAATTTCCTCAAAAAAACTATGAAAAGCAATAAACTTACTCTGGTAAATCCATCATGTCAGAGATCAGCTTGGACAAGGCATCTTCCAATGAATCAGGCTTTGGGGAGCGCTGGAAATATAGATTAGATACAAAGATAGTCATTTGCTTTGAATAAGGTAGCGGTTTTCCTACCGGGGAGAAATTCTTACCCAGGAAAGAATTAAAATGTTTTCACTTTTTATTTGCGTGTAGTATAACCCATATTCCTTACTAATTCAGTATTATTGTGAATCATATATACATTAAAACTATCAAAACTTGATAAAATCTAAAATGTATGTTCCACACATCGCAGGCAAATGTCCCGTTAAAAACTGAATAAAAACACAAGTTTTTAAGTGAAGTGTGTGGGGAATGGAAAGTTTAAAACTATGCCAAGAATTTGTCGCAAATAGTTCGGAACCACTGGGTCAAGAACTTTATTATTATTAGTATTGTGTACGATTCTGGCTTCTTAGAATTTATGTTATATCTAATGACGACCTAAATCCGGACAGCCTTTGACTTAACTTTAAAGAGATAATGGCAAGAGTTTCTGACATCATATTTGATGATGTTCATATAGTGCAGGGGTGGCCCATTTATTCGGCACGCGAGCGAAGTCTCAGATACGAGATCATTCTCCAAGTAAAAAAGTTTCAAGACTCTGAATTATCTGATGAAACTCGAGGTTCGTTTATTTATTATCGTTTGTTAACAATCCGTAATTTTTTTAGACTATTTTTTTCCTTTCATGACATATGGCTACAAGGAAATATATTATGGCGTACAAATAAGTCAGCTCTCGAGAATTTATGTCGAGAGAGCGCAGAATTCATTTGGCTACATTCTTACGTAATATAGGTCGTCTATGCGAGTGATTCCCAAACTGTGGGTCGCGACCCCGCTCATTTTCCGGGGTCGCCTGATCTCTGTCAAACATGCGCGCACAAGTGACTAGAATTTGAAAGTTGGAAAGGGGATTTTGTGCTGGTCGGTAGGTACCGGAAAAGGGCCTAACCTTGGACAAAATGTTCTTATTTTCAGCAATAACTCGACCATTTATTGTCCAAACGGTACCAAAATTGCTCGGTAAAACATTCATGCCGTACTTCACCTCTCCAGCTGGTAGGCAGGTACCAGTATTAGTAAATGCATTTGAGTAAGAGTGTTATGAGCGCCAATAGCTTTTTTGATCCTGCTACATCTGAATGAGTAATTGACCTTACACCTTTTATTTTCATTCATGCGTAACTGCAGGCTAAACCAGTGTCTGACCCGCTAGTACACGAATCAGATTTTTAACCAGGTTGGGTGACAATATGTTGGTTTGTTATTTTTACCAGTGAAGCCGCTTGGTTATTGAATATACAAAGCAAATTCGATTTATTTGGCAATTGGCCCTTACTCAGGTGTTTGACAAGTGTGTCATTGATTGTACGGTGGTGTCGTGGCCGAGAAATCATACTTTAGGTTTCGATCAGTTGCGAAAGCGCCTTTAATCTCTCTGTACCTGTTTTTAAAGTTTAATATTGTGTATTTTGCTTTGAAAGTAGCATAGCATTTTTTTTTAATTTTGGCGGCACGCGAGAAAAATTTGGCGTTAAATTGAGCCGATTTTAGCACGCGAGCCAGAAAAGGTTGCCCACCCCTGATATAGTGGAACAAGTCTCTAATTTCACTTTGAAGCAGACATTCGAAATTTCAGATGTCATTTTCGATGATGTCAATGGTAGAACCAAATCTCTGACTTTACTACTTTTAGGAGAAGAGAAGTCAGACTTTTTGACTTTCTAATATGGTTTGTCATTTGGCAATGCATATATCTGACTTTAATTTGAGGGAAAATAGTAAAATTTGATGACATCACATGACGATGTCATTGAGTCGATACTTTGACCAAGGAATTCGAACTCACAGGGCTGGAATGTGTCCCAACATCATTCGCTTGTTCGTCGAAATTTGGGAGAAAGAGAATGTGTAAAAATAGACCAAGCGATTAATGTATTAAAAATTGTTTGGGCGACTGTGGTAGGATCATTTTTAATATTAGTATTATTGGGAATTCAAACATACAGGGCTGGTAAGTTTTCCGGGATCCCCCGGCTGTTCTTCGGGTTCATCATCATCTAACGTGCTTTCATCGATTCCAAACTCATTAATGTTTTCATCGTAATCTTCATCACTGCCTGATGTTGGAACTGGGAAAATAATAAAAATTGTAACCTATATCGCTCTAAATGTTGCAACTTACTCAGGGCAGTGGTGGGATTCAGCCGGTTCGCACCGGTTCTATAGAACCGTCTCACAGAATATTACGAGATCAGCGAACCGGTTGGCTTTACTGGTTACTGTAAATGTTCTGTTTGTAACAGAACCGGCTGAAAAATAAGACTTTTGTGAAGGAAACCGCTGACAAAAAATTGAATCCGTCCACTGACTCAGGGTGTAATATTTTGCGCAGGCAATCCAAAATATAGCTCTTTACATATATATTTACTGAAAGCTTATACAGAGGAGTGAAAGAAATGAGAAAGCACACCACGTGCAAATACTTCCAATCTACATCAGCAAAAACGTAATGCTTAAATTAAATAAGGGCATGGCGATGTGCAGTGGTAACGTTAGAACCCTAACTCAGGGCTTCTCAACTATTTTCACCAAGGGTCCGTGCTGAAAACTTAAAAATTACTGGGGTTCGGAGATTACAAAAAATTTTATTCATCAAATAAACAAAACTTCAAATGCAATATCAAATTAAATACAAGAGCAATGAATGGCTCGCAACTATAGACACAAATGTCACTCATCGGTACCATTCAGCGAACTGTGTATTTAAATTGTATCAAAATCATCTAAAACTATAGAACGGTGCTAATGCTGCATAAATAAACAAGCAAATGCGGTCCGAGTTAAATGGTCAGAAGGTCCAGATCCGGACAGCGGTCTGCCAGTTGAGTAGCCCTGCCCTAACTGATCACACAGTTTGCTGAAAAATCGACACACGATCTTGAAGAAACATGATTTATGATGGAACAGCAAAATTAAGGGTGAATGGGTGAAATATCAGGCCCCATAGACAGTGGCGTGCCTGAAGGGGGGCAAAGAGGGCAACCGCCCCGGGCAGCCCAATGTAGGGGGGCAGCAGAACCAAGCTGTAGAGTTTGCGTTATTACACATGCTCTTCTAGATGTGTTCTTATTTAATTAAAAGCTAACAGTATTTGTTCTGTGGTGATGGTTATTCAACAAGTGTTGTTTCCCCGACTCTGACCTCAGAAAATTTTTTCACAATTGCAACGTTTTGATGCTTAGTTTAAAAATCAAACGTTTCTTTCCCAATTGATCTTTATTTGATTTATTCTCGTGTATGACGACATCTATAATCTGTTTATCACCCAAATTATTTTAGAAGTTAGGTATAAGGGGCAGCATTATCAGAAACTCGCCCCGGGCAACAGACGAGTTTGGCGCGCCCATGCCCATAGAACTGTAAGAAAATTTGTAGAAAAAAGTAAGTATTCTAGTGGCCTTAATCATCTTCAAATACTCATAATTTCAAATAGGTTGGTCCATTATTTGCAGCTATTTTTATTAAACAACAAGAAGAATTTTAAGTGATTCAAGAGTCTTGCTGCACACCAACAAAGATTTATTTCTGTAAAATTTCGTCTGGCTAGAATCTAGCAAAATGACCCATATGTACTACGGTATTCATTTTCTAACCAACTTACGAGTAGTAACGTAAATGTATTGTTCGTTTCCTTCATCTTTTTCCAAACCAATCGGCTTCACTCCCACTTTGTAGTTTTTATCTGGTTTCAAGTTTTCTATTCGAATCTATAAAAGTACAAAATAAGGTCAAGCATAGCGTGCATTCATTCAACAATTTTTATATTCTAGGTCAAATTTCTACCAAAATTTCTGTAAAGTGTGAGGCTAATTGGAATCCCAGAAACTTTGTACCTCTAATTGGTTGTGGAGCCTTGACCCCCAAAAAATTCTTATTACCGTATTTGCTCGTTTTGTAGCCCGCGCCCATATTTTTTTAACTGAACTCATTCACCGGGCTCTTATTCAAACCAGCCCTTATTCAAGCACAGGTGCTTGTTAGTTCACATATGGATAAGATTGATCGTTACAATAATTAATATACTGTCATTTCCAGTTCTCAGGTATGATTTATACGAGAATAACGAAAATTTTGAATGTTTTTACGCACTGCAGGCACAAATACGCAAAAGAAGAAAATTTTTGCGGCGCCCTATCAATATTGAAATAACGCACTTGGGCATCGCGACGCCCAGTTTAAGAACCACGGTGTTACGTAATCAATGCTATCTGTTTTATAATTGGAAGCCTAATGTGTGAGTGTTATCTATCAGCGCTTAAAATTCAACAGCGCTGTGACAAAAGCGCTTCTTATTTTTATGTTCTGTTCACACGGGCGGCTATTCAAACGGGCCCTTAATCAAGAAACAAGCATATACGGTATTTATTCAATGTTGCGAAATTGATTGTAATTAAAATTCCCAATATCTAGAATAGCTTTCTCGAACTGCAAGCAGACTAAAACTCTTGCGAACACAAGATCAGTTTTAACTAATTTTCGAAATGCATAATAAACTACTCACCGAGTTCCCAAGAATCTCCTTATGTGTCTGGACTTGTTTCCCATTCAAAGACACCGATATAGTGTAACTAACAGCGTAGATAGCGGGTGACCACAACAAACCGATTGCGTTCTTTTCAACAAACCTCGTTCTGATAACTCTTACATCTCCCGGCTTCGGGATTTCTGTAAATTGAAATTGGAATGTTAAATGAAAGGGGAAAAAAGAAGGGTCGGATTCTGTGCTTTTGCAAAACAACACTAGAAGAAATTCCGCTTCGTCAAGTTTTGTGTTTTGTATTAAGAAATGTTTAGTTGAAGAAACTATGGACCCCTAACTGGGAACTAAGCACATATCGCCAGAACATTTTTCTGCACATTTCTCTGACAAAGTCGCTTTATAAAGTGGTTGCCATTGGAACCCAACTTAAAAAGAATATTACAGTACCAAATCTCGGGTCATAGGTCATTCAAGCCAGCTTCGAGTCTCAGCAAATTTCAAACTTCGAGTCCAAGTCAAGTAAAGTCACTAAACCTCGAAGTGTCAATTCAAGTTCATCTGATTTTGATTAGATGACTTAATTGAAAATGGAGTGAATCTTCAGTGGAGTCAATGACTGGGGTCCTCCCAACCCTGCCAAACGCTCATACTTACTAGTTTTAAATCTAACTTGTCCTGAAGGTCTTGATCTGTCGAAATTTCCTACTGAGACGACCGCTACAGCGTACCTTGTGTCAAACACTAACCCAGTAGCAATGAAAGGACTCGAAACATCCCTGAAGAAAATGAAATAAATATGAGGGATGAGTATCTTCTAGGCTGCGGTTAGAGGAAAGTCGGATAGATGACTTAGCTATGAAGCGAATTGATCCTGTTTTTCATGGCTGGTATAGTTATGCACGATAAGATGGACAGGCCCCTCACTGTTGCAGAGTGATCCACTTAACCATTGGTCAGTAAGGGCTTTACCTCAGCAGAGTATATGCATATGCTTCTGATGAACTATATCCATATCACAAATAGCTAGTAACTGGCAGTTTATTATAGAGGTATTCAAATAGTTCCATACTTAATTTAATTAACACGAATTGTAAATAATTATAATGTAATGTTTCAATTCTAAAGCGAAGCGATTGTACACTTTTCGGCATGGTATGCATTTTGTCATTGAAATTTGAATAAACATAAAACGTTTACTTAAATTTTCTATAATTTTGGTACTTTCAATTTCTTTCTGGCCCAGATGACGCAATCAGCTATGGTGTCAAATTTGCGTTTGTTGCTTTTCAAATTAGACGACTTAACAAAGTTCATGCTTGCATTCTAAGCATATTCTAAATGCTAGGATAGATGACATTAATGATACTTTTACTCACTGGAAGAATGTTGGTATAGAGGTCAAAAGTTCGGTAATAATGACGTCATATGAGACAGCACGATCTGCGTCATCCCACTCAACCACAACCGATTCTGCCGTCATGTCTGATGCACCGACACCCTTTGGTATTTCCGGAGTGTTTGCCACTGTAAGACAGAGAAAAATGAATTTAGGGGAATTTAGTTTTGGGGAACTCCGACTTATTGACTCGACTTGAGTTACCATATCTAAGACTCGGAGTGACTTGAGTCATCTGAATTAAATGACACAGAAACGACTCTTACAGTTTGGTTTAACTCATAAATAAACTCGACTTTGGAGTTGGTGTCCTACTTGTACCACATGTACCTTTCGCCCCACTTGTACCACATATACCTTTTGTCTCACTTGTACATTTTGTAACGCTTGTACCGCCTAAACCTTTTGCACCACTTGTCCCAATTGTACATTGTGTAATTCTCCACCACATGAACCTTTTGTACCACTCGTACATTTTGTAGCACTTGTACCACATGAACCTCTTGTATCACTTGTCAATTTTGTAACGCTTCTATCTTTTGTCCCGCCTGTACCACTTGTGAATTTTGTACCTTTTGCACCACTTATACATTTTGTAACGCTTGTACCTTTTGCACCACTCAAAACACCATATAAAAGACTTACATGTTGTTGCAAATAGAGATGGATCGCTTTCGTCTGATTCTTCTCCTCCAGCACCAACTCCGACATAGGTGACTTCATAGGTTGTCATCTCTGTTAGATTTCCCACCGGATATCGAGTGAAACGGATATTACTGTTGGAATACAAGAGAGCAATGCTTAAATATATGGACATGAAAGTAGCATACCGGTACTGGTATAGTAAAGCTTCAAAGGAGCAAAAATTCGGATGGGCAGACGGATTAAAGTATTCTTATAAGGCGTAAAAAGATGTTTCCAGTCGCGTGACGTTATCGAAAATGTAAGGTCTCTGAGCACTGAGTTTATTGAAAAGATCTACAGATTAGCTTGAAAGAAACGATAAAGTGTGATGAAAAAAAATGTCGTACCCCATGAATTAAAATGAAACAGTGAAATTATGATTGAAATATCAAGCCCATTGTACTCAGAGGAAACAAAACAAAAATTATAGTATTCTAGTGAGATCTGTCCTTTTCTGAGTTTCGTGCTACATATTTCATGCCTCTAGCAGAAATATGAGATTGGTATATACATATGCATTCAATTCAGGTATATTTATGATGAGCGCATGTTTATTCAATATTTTGACAGAACTTCTTTATTCTGACATCTAGCCATCCACTTTATATTGAGTGCATGTGGCCTTTCTCTGAACAATTGCTATGGCATAAATAAATTAATATTTTCACAGATCTAGGAACTTACTTAATTTCTCTGAAGATTTCTCCACCAGTTCTCATTATAATCGTGTATGTAACAGCGTCAGGTATTCTCTGTAGTGTCAGTGTGAATCCATTCCAACGAATATTCGAAGCTTGGATCAATTCAACTCCTGTGTATGGCATCTGTGGTATGGGGTGAGCTGCAAGAAAGCAAAAAGTTAGTAGATTAACAAATTTTATATCGATCTACTGAAATGTAGAAGCTACCATATCTTATAATATTTCAGATTAGCCATTGTCTATTCAATTATTGCACTGTGCGTGAGGTCATCGTCTCCCCATTCTGCATAACAAGCGTTGAAGAATTTTTCCATGAGGTGTTTTAGGAAAATAGGAAATAGGAAAAGTTGAGTGGTTTTCACTAACAGGCCACGTTAAGCAACATTACTAAGTTGTTTCTAAAGGACGTTTCAACTATTACAACCTGAGTTAAAGTGGTAAGCTTGTGCTTTAACATGGGAATCCCAATATATTTACATAGAACTGCTTATAAGCTATTGATTAATTGAAGAGGAAAGTTTGATTGATCTTTAAATGTACCAAAACAATGTGTACCTCATGTACCACATGTCCCATTTATCTCACATTTTCGTCTACCATATAACACAGTGGTTCCCAAACTTGGGGTAATTACCCCCAAATGGGTAATTTGGCAATTTTGGGTGGTAATCCAAAAGTTGACCATTTTAACAATTTTTTTTTTATAATCACTGTACTTTTGACTAGTCTGTGCGAAAAAGTTGGAAATGCCATGCTCACATCTTGCCAATGAGTCTAGTCATCTAGGAATGCACTCTGTATGAACACAATAACAATACTTTGTCGTACAGACTACCGCAAGCTAAATTGCTGAAGAAGCGCAAGTTAGCATCTTAGAGTTTAAAAGGGGCGATTGAGTTTTTGGCAATTCGATTTAGGGGTAACAATATTAAAAAGTTTGGGGACCACTGATAACATTTATCTCACGGAGACCAACTGTTCCACTGGTCACTTATGTATCACTTGTAATACATGTTCTTTCACACTTGTCACAAGTGTTTCATGTGCACCATTTGTCCCACTTGTACTGCATACACCATTTGATAGTTGGTTTATTTGACAATCTAAGTAATGGATTCGATCCCATGTTCCTTGATATGCAATGTTAAAATAAACTTACTTGATCCTGTTCTTATTTCATCACTTAATTCTGATTTCTCGAATCTTCCCACGGCAGTCACTCGGAAAACATAGATTTTTCCAGGTCGCAAGTCCTTTATCTCCCACTGAGGTTCTAGGATTTTTCTGAGTAAAAGATATTGCGACAAAGTGTTACATAAAGTATGCATTAGTAGTAAAACTTTATTCAAGAACAACAGTGATAGATAGTAAACATACTTTGTGTTTCGATGTTTACTGATGGGAAACGAAACTTCATTTACTGGCCACATATAAATCGTTTGGTTATTAGGTTGTTGTTCTTGTTGGTATTTTCATTCTCTTTGTTACCGTATGAAATTTTTAGTGGTCAATGATTGTATTTTTTGCTAGGAGGCTAATCATTTGATTTATTTCAAAAATTTCTGTTTTGTTATTCGTTTTTTGCGTAATCAACACTTATGCTCTTTGTGGCGGGTTCCGACTCAGTGTTAGTGATCTTATGGTCCGACGTAATCGTGAAGACCTTGCTGATAGGTTACTCTAACTGACAAATAGCAAGTCAAGAATCTCACCAAAGATGTCAAACTTGATATTTCTTACCCTATTACTTGTTTATTCTTAGTGACTGGGTCCACCTTTTCTATCTCATACGATTGAGCTCTTGGACTTGGCTCCCACGTCAAAAGAATCGAATCCTTGGTCAAACCTGTTGCTTCCAGCCCGCTTGGTTTTGAAGGCGGTAGAGGCACTGTGTGAAAATATGGAGATTTTAAAATAATTATAAAAATATTGTGATATTTTATTTTGTCTAGTTCGTGGGTTAATTTTTGAAATATTTCATATATCTCATTATACTCTTGAGAAACAGGCCTTTTAGCTAGTGATTTGATTCAAGATTTTAAGAACAGGTTCTATTTGTATCAAACTCACTAACAACGGGTTCCCTTATTCAGAGATATATATAAGAACGGGTTCGCTTGAGATTGAACTAACTAACAACGGGTTCCCCCATTCAGAAATATATCCAAGAACAGGTTCTCTTTGCATCGACTCACTAACAACAGGTTCCCTCATTCAGAGATATATCTAAGAACGGGTTCGCTCGGGATCGAACTCCCTAAAAACAGGTTTCCACATTCAGAAATACATCCAAGAACGGGTTCTCTTTTTTATCGAACTTACTAACAACAGGTTCCGTCATTCAGAGATATATCTAAGAAGGGGTTAACAAATACTATAATAATAGAATAGAATAAATCGAAGATACACAATGTTTCCCAATTGACGAGGTGTCGCAAAAGACTATCGAGTCATCGTGTCAGCAACACCTATATGCTGAATTACAGCAGGTTCCCTGATTCAAAAAATCATTCCGAACTTATAGCTGTAAATAACGAAAGTGATTCAAACCGCCTCCACTAACGCCCTCTGAATCCCATCATTGCTTCCAGCCCTTAGCACAGCTCTTTTTTGCGACTTCACTAACAGTACTCTACTCAACTTTTAGTAGAAGAATCAAAACCTTGCACTGAAGAAACTTATTAAAAAAACTCCAGAAAATGTCAGAATGTATGTTTGTCACTATGTTAACTACATTAGCATGATACGCTTTACATAAATCTAATACATAACTTTCGAAAAGCCGAACATAGTGTTGGTCTTCAGCTGTGGTTTACAATACCCATTCTCCTGCAGTCGTTAAACATTAAAGGGTTTGCTGATTACCATGACATTTCAAGAACCGTGTCACAGAATCAAGCCACCAGTGACAACTAAGTTACAGAAAAAAATAATCGGCGGTGTGACACACCGTGCTAAGTGTTTGGAATATGCTTGCCACCGCACTTCTGATTACTCTGCGTAGGTTTGTAGGTTCGAATCCTATGCGAGGATGATCATGTGCGAGAGGATTGCTGAACTCCTAGCCGCCGTAGGGTGGTTTATGTAACCGCTGGTTGGTTACGGCTTCCTCCACCATGAAGTCCATGCATCTGAAACATATAACTGGCTAACTAATCCTATACCCGATATGGACTGGTAATTGTACGAGAGCCCATGGAATGCAATAACCAGGCTTATCGGCTATCCTCTCCCCCGGGATAAATATGTAATACTATTCTAACATGTAATCAATCAAAACCTTACAGGTGTTGAGTATAGCTGGGGGTGAGCTCTCTTCTGTTTGGTCTCCGCTTCTTCCAATGGCAACGAGTGTTACCAGATACTCAGTATTCGCGGATAAGCCTTCTATAACTGCCGTAGTGCCATTGATGAAACTAAAACGTATAGTGAAAAGAAAATAGGGATTAAATAAAAATAAATACGATTAAATAGAAATTCTGGACTCCACACTGTTGAAGCATGGTCCCATTTAAGTACCTTTGTCAGCCAAGCCCATGCATATACAGAGGTCTCCTCAAAAGTATAAGTATATTTCGACTCCATTATCAGTATAACAAGCAATAAAATTGTTGATAAAAACAAAAATAAAAACTGATTATGAAATCAGGAGAATAAAAAGAAAACCTTGCTTAATCATGTTTCCTTACTTTTCATACGACTTGAACTGGAAATAAATTTTTGGGCTGATTAGCAGAACTAGGCCCGACCGACAATGTAAGAATTTTTTTATTAGCTAGCTTTAAACACCCAAATCTCAGGGAGCCAAAGAGAATTTTTCGTACTAACAACGACAACTATTAACAGCATTTCACTCTAATTTGTGACTGGGGATAAATCCCTCCTGTCGCCGGTTGCCTGACTAGTTAAGTAAAAAAGGAAACACTCACTCAACAGCAACATTAGCGGCGTCATCAGATACGGCCAGCAGTCTGTACTCAAATGCAAACTGTATGGCGTCCCACTCCGCTGTTGCTGTGCTCGATCCCACCTTGGATAACCGTACAAGAGGTTTTGTAGATTGAGGCATAATTGGTGCGGCGTACCCTGTATGGAATAAAATTGAGAATTAGAAATTATGTACTAGTAACAAGACGAGTGCTAAACCATTCTAGGCAAGGATCATGTCTTTTAGAGGCCTTGAACCAGCGGTGGGCCATGGCATACTGCTGGGTCATAAAGACTCTTTGAGGAGGGGCACAGACCTACTAAAACTTATTATTTTATTTGTGTCATTATAATTAATTTTGATTGTTGTAGCAATGAATGATGATTTCAATTAATAAAGTTATAATAAAGTGCTTTTTTCTTTCAGATTTTTATTGCATAAAAAAGTTAATGGACCACAAAATATTTGTGCAACGAAACTGTGCCACAAAAGGGAAAAGGTTGAGAACCACTGCACTAGGCACTCAAGATTTTGATGACCTATGTATAGAAATGTTGAAACTGGTGTTCCATGTTATCTGAAATTGAATAAGCAGCTTCATTATTCATCATATATTGAAGACCAAGTTACGATTAGTTTGCTTGATTTTTGAAAAAAATTGATTGAAAAATCAGAAGAAACTTCTGTTGGTCTCTTTCTCCTTTGGTGTCTTAATCATGTGCTTATTTTGCTTAATGGTTAATCCAGCACTGATTGTGCGTTTCCTCCAAAAAAATTTTTATATAGCATTTTCACCATTTCAACCAAACATGGCTCTGTTAAAGCAGAGACCAACGACATGTAAACTACTTCTTCTTCTACTGAAGAGCAAACTCTTTAACTTGCGATGACAACATAGTTGAGACGAACCGTTTGAAAATATGAAAATTCATTCTTAGTCTTAAAGTATGGGTCGAGTCATCTCCCACACAAAAATCCCCTCCCCCTCAAAATATTAAAGCATACTTGTTCGTTCAGAAATCAGTGCTCCGTCCTCACTCGTTTCTCCTTCTTCAGTTACGGAAACGACTTCAAACTCATATAAACTTCCGGGGTCAAGGTCAATTATCTCAACTGTGAGGTCAAGGATTCCATCGATGAACAATTCATCACCTTTTGGTGTTCCGTCCTCGTTCAGTTCGTAGATATAAATATGAAAAGATGCCGCACCTGGGTTTGGAAAAATATTTATTGAATACGAAGTATACATATAAGTCGATTCATTAAATTGTTCTGTTGAAAACTAGAACAACTGGACCAGTCAATTTCAAATTTTCACTACTTGGAGATAAAAAAAATTGTCTGAATAGCTTTTTTTTTTGACTATTTAGGCCTACATGGTCGACAATTTGCCTTAGATTTTGCTGTGTAATTGCTTCCTTGTTTTTACTATGAGTTCTTTTAAACTTTCCCTCATAACAAGGTTCTAAACATTCAAGCATTCATAGTAAGGCCCAAGAGCTTGAAATACATACAAAATACAATTGCAGGATAATTATACCCGAATAACACTTTAACATGGGAAATAAAATGAAGTACTAGATTTAATTTTGACATTCCAGCGTTTGCTTGTAACTTTCTCTATCGGTATACTTTCCGCTTTTAATTCAAGACCTTAACGTGAGCAACTTCAAACCCGATGCAAACTGTTATAGCGGACAAATCTGGTATGTTGATAAACATAGGTATATAGATTCACGTTGACAGCTCACCTTTCGTGTCGTCCCATTCCAGGGAAACAGCATCAGAAAATCTTGACGTAACTCTGAGGTTTGTTGGTGCCAGCGGTACTGGGAGAATAGTTTCAGATTACAAATAACATTTGAAAAAAAAATAAATAAAATTGGAAGAAACTGAAGGGAAATATAAAAGTTATGAGTGGTGAATGATGTTTACAAAAAAAACTAAAAATAATTAAATTAGGATATTGGTATAAACTGGAAGGATTTATGAAATCGAATGTTTGACTCAGAATCTATTATAAAGAATATCATTGTTGTTTTGTTGCAGAAAAAATGTTCATGTGTTCTTGTGCGGGAAAGAAAAATATTTAAGAAATAATTATATGCTAAAATAACAATAAAACTATTTGAGTAGTCGCTTGATACATACGGTAACAACAAAATCTGCCACATAGAGACTGGAAAAAATGCGTAAAACTTCCATATTTCAAGATAATAAAATATCTTTCAATTACAATATATAACAGAAATGATTTTAAAAACATCCAGAAAAAATGTTCTTAACTCACATGTTCTCTGCATTACTCTGTAGCTATTTCTGCTTGTGACATCAGCGTCTTTCCTTTGTGCGTTAACAGTGATTCGGTAGAGTGAACCCGGAACTAAACGAATGAACTTTGTAGTCACTGTATTTCCTACTGATTTGATTCGCTCCTGTTTCGTGTCTTCATTCACAACTTTCAAACTGTAAGACGTTGCTCCTGAAAGATGAAGACAGTTAAAAATTGATAAGGCTAAACGAAAGCCGCATTCTACTCTTTTGCCTTTTGCTCTTTTAACTTGTTGTGTACATGTTGAAACATAATTTTTTTTATGTGGCTGAGCTAGATGTCTAAAGTTTGTTATATGGCACGCTCACAAAAATGTTGGACACCTTTAGTTTAGACATGGAATGATAAACTGATGTCGCGCACCTGTTCAAGCGTTTTAGCACTTTCGCTTAGAAAAGGGTTACAGATATGATATGGGATGGACCAGAACAAGAACGTTTTTGGTTCGGCAGACGGTTTATCCATTTACTCAAGATAATGTTACACGCACTCTGTCAGAAGTAGAGGGGCAACCACATTCATTCCATCAAACTCAAACCTACTCGGAGTCGCAACATCTACTCTAATGTCAATATTTAGAAGTTAATTTGAAAGGTTGCTTAGGGCAAACATTGAAATATTGCTCGGTACCCCTGAAGTATGTATACCAAGATGGCAGACACCTGAACTTAGTACGTGTACCAGGTTAGGGTTAATCCATAATTTGATTCCAATTTACCTTATTTTAGTCCTATTATGAGTTCGAGGACTAGCCAAGTGACTCCTGTAGTAATTGTACCTAAAATTATGGCCCTAACATGGTACACATACTACATTCCGGTGTCCTCCATCTTGGTACGCAAACTTCAAGAATACCTATAGCTCTTCCGGTGAACATGTATAAAAAATATAGACACTAATGTTGTAAGAAGCAATATCTCACCTTCAGATTTTGTCCAATTTACTCTGAAAGAAGTTGATGTCACTTCTGATATGACGATATCTTGAGGTGGAGCTGGGACTGAATTAAAAAGAAACATTTTAGGAAGATAAAATTTTACTTATTTGAACTTGAATTAGTTTAGGAATACGGGTAACAAATACACAATACCATGATCGCATCACAAGGTGCATCTCGTGGATGGAAGAGGAACCTATAATGGATCTTTGGTTTATGAAACCCACTTTTTTTGCAAATGTTTATCCCGAAGGATAATCGAAAGTGAACTTTGCAACCATGTTCAAAATAATCGGTTCAATGCACCAACAATCGTGCACTTGAGATTCTTTTTTGAATTTTCATGCTTGAATGAGGCGAAACAGTCAACGATATGAAACAGACTGGTTAAAACCACGCAAAGTAAACTATCACTTCAATGTGTGAATAAGAAACGCACCGGTTATCAACTTATGAGCAATGGCTCAGTACTGGGCCAAAGTCACATTTTCAAATGAACCACAGACCTTAAAAAACTTCTAGACTTAATGATTGACAAATTGGATAAATTTGATTGGAGTAGAAATAAATTATGGGGTTGTTTTTTGCTACTGAGTAGTAATTTTTGTTTTATTTATTATAATTGACTTGTCTATTTGGTCGAAAATAATATTTTGTTTTTCTTCTAGTTTTTTTTTTTATTGCATGGAAAAGCTGTTGGGCCACAAAATTTTAGTGCCACGAAAGTGGGCCATGGAAGAAAAAGAGTTGAGAACGATTGTTCTATGAGGATTTGTAAGTAGACAAATCAATCTTACCAGTTTGCTGCTGAACCTGGTCACTTCTCTTTCCAGCTAGTCTGTCCTCAGTCACAGAAGCTACTTCGAATTGATACAGAGTTCCAGGTGAGAGACGATCCACAGTCACTAGTGGTGTTGCAATATCTTTCACCTGCCTTTCCAAGCCTTGTGCATCACCAACTCGGTTCACAAACACGGTATAAGTTTTGGCTCCTGTATGAAATAAAGTTTATTATTGTAATGTAGTAGGTGTGGTGGCTTTGTTGTTAGAGCTGCGGCCTCCGTTTAAGTTAGTTTGGATGTCTCCGCACCGATTTTGCCCTCGCGGTCTCGCCTTAGGTTAGGTTAGATTGGTCGTCTCAGAAACGCTTTTGTCCCTACGAGCATTGCTGGTTAAAGATATCGGATAGCATTTCCATGGCTACCACTTCACTCAGGGTGTTACAAATCTGGTCAATGACGAATCGAAAAGATTCAGGCTCTTTGCTTTTGCAGCGCACTGTTCTGGTTAAAAGTGTGACAAGTGTAGTATAAAAACGCTGCAGAAAAAGAATCGCTACACTCGTTAGCTTATATGCGTTATTTTGATATGAAATTTCAACACCATCACTTTTGAAACCAAGTTCTAAAAAATCGACCACCAATCTTAGGCGTAACTATATTCTAATACCAAGATTTACCTTTTACTTTTTTCCATTCCAAAGAAATGCTTGATTCTTTCACATCGAAGATGACAACTTTCTTGGGAGCAAGAGGCACTGACGAAAAGTTAAAAAAGTAGAGTTACAGTTAAAGCAGACAACACACTTTGTCAAAAACATTGTGAAAGTATGTATAAAAGAATTATTATGGAATTGGACAAATTGCCACTTACATGTTCTTTGTTCAATCGTTTCGCTCCTATCACTTCTTGTATTGTCCGGTAGTGTCAATGCAAAAGCATAGATAGAAAACATCGTTCCGGCTTTCAGTTTGTTAAACCTGTATTCTAGGACTCCTTCCACATCTACTCTGGTCTTTTCTGATGTTTCAATGTTGGTGAGCACGAGTGTGTAAGACGTTGCTCCTGGGAAACATAAAATATGATAAGTAATATAAGAACGATGCTCAAATATTCACTTATAGATCCAGGTGTCATATCAAAGTGTTCACATGTAATTCCCGATCACGCTCAAACATATGGAACTTTATAGACCCATATGTGACATAAATGTATTCGTACACGATTCCCACCAAAGCTCAAACACGTACCTTATAGACAGGGCTGGGCTTTAAGATTTGTCCTTATTTTTGAGGTCTTTGTCTTATAAAGTATTTTTGTCCTTATTTTCAAGAAATGTCCTTATTTTAACATGTTTCCTTATTTTGGTTTTCTTTTAGGGTTAGAGGTTCTCAAATTGGTAAATTCAAATGATTGAATTGAAATAAGACAAATTTCTGGAAGGCTCGTAGAAAACTTGGCAGAAACAACAACAGCAACAAAAATGCAACCTTTTCGTGACTTCAAACATTTTAAAGTACTTACTTTGAATCAAGTTTTGGTATATATGTATTTTTTACAACAAAAAATAAAAGAAATAGTTTTCCACCGACATCAGCCATCTTCAAGAACTGAAAATTTCCGAATAGCATTTCAGCGAACCATATATGTTCAATTTATGTCCAGTAAGAAATTTTCAGTACTTTCACTCCGTCAATATACAACAAAAGGTATTCCCATAGTATGTGTATCAGGTTAGGGTTTGGCCTGAGTTCGGGACTGTCTGTTTTAGCCAAGTGAATATACTTTTACACAACTTGATATAAAATAGGCAAACAAAATTAGTTACCTCCATATTGGTACACATACTCCTGTAGTGCCCAACAAAATGACAGCGCACAAGACAAATACACATGAATGCATGTTTACAGTTTTGTTAAAAACGAAGACATGGGTCGACTGAAGAAATAATCAAAAATAGTTGTTATATAAAGTTTTACAAAGTGAACTACTCTAACCTGCAGCAGGGATCCAGGTTACAGTAAAAGCATTCTGTGTGACGTTGACAGCAGCGAGTCCACTTGGTGAGTTGGGAGCTGAAAAAGGGCGAGAAATACGATTAGTTTTATTGATTAACGTTGAAAACGCGCTTTTTACACCGTTTGATACAAAATTACTTGTGAACATCATGTATAGTAGATAGAGCAGCGATCTCAACCAGTGGGCCTCAGAACATTTCACAAACCTATTTAAAATAGCTAGAGTAATTGATGAATTAGTTAACTCTGATTGTAATAGCAATGAATGATGATGCTGTTTTCGCTACTGAGTGATATTTCTCATTCAATTATGAAAGATTTTTTTCTGTAGTTTTTCCCTTGCATGAATGAGTAAATGAGCTACAAAATTTTTTTTTGCAATAAAAGTGGGCCACAAAAAAGGTTGAGAACCATTGAGTTAGAGGGTTAGATTTAACTATTTTGGAATTTGCAACCCCCCTCCTTTGAAATGTCAAAAAAACTTTTGCTGCGCATGCATAACAATTTTCCGTATCATGAAACGTTTTTTATACCCTCAAAACTCTTGAAAAACCCTGACCCGCTCGCTGGTAAGTTCTAACATGGAAATTAGAAACATCAGACCCACCCCCCCACCGTTTAAAAATTCCTGGTTATGCTCCCGGTTAACTGGTGCCAGTACAGAACATTGCTCAAAGTGAAGATTGGCTGCCTTGGTAGGCAATGGTGGCTCGTACAGAATGAAGGCGTAAAACGCCTCAATAAAATATGTTGAATAAATCAAAAGTTTCTTTCTACAAGTACAAAGTACGAAGAGCATTTTCAAAGCAAAATTCTAGAAAGTAGTTCAGAATATACTTACATGTGAATTGTATAACCCTAACACTTCTGTCACTTCTCAGTCCTCCCTCAGTTATTGCAACCACTTGGATTTCATATTCGCTTCCCGACTTTAGTTCATCGATAGTATATTTCGTCGCCTTCAATTTCTCAATCTCTTGCTCCCCTTTAGAACCATCAACTTCCTTCACATATAGTGTATAAGAATGTGCTCCTAAGAGTAAGAAATTCGTTAAACGAAAGATCTAAGTTTTTCCAGTAGCCTGGATGTTGAGCTTAACTGAATTGATAATATATGTGGTATTGGTAACATAAAACATATTGGTAAAATATTGGTCTAAACCACCTTCTAAACCAGAGGAAAGAAAATGGGTTAGAAAATAATATATTTTTTTTTAGGTGGATTGATTAGGCTATTAATATACTTGGGCATTTGATTGAATGTTCCGTTGTCGAACGTGAGTTTAAAACTTGCCCCGTCTTAGAACATCATTTAAAAAGCCTATTTTTGTAAGAAAAAATTATGATTATTTAGTGTGTACAATCAAACTATAGATTTATTCATAGCAATTAAAATGCACAACTTGTGAAAACGAGCAATTTAATCAGACAAAGAATAAATATAATACCCCGTCATAAAAACATTACCTATAACAATGTTCAAACTCACCTTCAATTTTATTCCAAGACAGAGATATTCTGTCCGGCGAGAAGGAAATCACTTGAACATTTGGTGTCTCAGGATCTGGCAACATAGAAATAAATTGTGGGTTAAATATTGTGTGATAAAATAAAATGACATACAGTATAGTTAGGCGTAAGAATGGTTAGTTATATGGTGCTATTCAGTGATGAGATTCAAAATATCAGGGAACTTCTTTAGAACATCTGAGTTTGAAGTTCGAAGGTTAGCATCATCATGTAGGAAGTAGATAGTATTTATTTCAGCATACTTGAGATGGGATTCAAACCTGTTTAAGAACATATTCTATTTTGTATCAAACTCACTAACAACAGGTTCCCTCGTTTCAGAAAATGTATGTATCTCATGGGTCAAGAACGAGTTCGCTTACTATCACGACGTCCCAAGAACAACATCGCGCGAACTCATACCTTGAACATCCTGAATACCTTGAATTTGAATGGAAAGGGCATATTGGGCTGTCATATTAAGTTTGCCATATAAACAAGCTGTTCTTACATGTTCCTTGAGTAATCGAACCACTTTCATCGCTGGTGAGCCCTTTGTCCTGATCCTCCCCACGAATTGTGAATGAATAGACACTTCCGGGGGAAAGGTCACTAATCAGGAAGGTCAAAGTTGAACCGGCATCAATCTCAGATTTTTCTTTTGTTTGTTCGTCGGTCATTGTAATAATGTAACTGGTCGCCCCTGTAAACAAGGAATGATATTGTTTAAAAAATATAGCATTCATGTGATTTTTTTTTTATGGGTACTCCCATAGTGTCAGTGATTTTATTCTAATTTTCCTTATTTTAGTTTTGTTACGAGTTCGGGGACTTCTCTGTGTTAGCCAAGTTAATATGCCCTCTGCCCGTAGACTTCCTTCCCTTAAAAACAGTGAAAAACCGTCTAAAAACATCATTAAAAACAGTGGAAAACCGTCTAAAAACACCAATAACCCTGCTAAAACGCTTAAAAACAGTGAAAAACCGTCTAAAAACACCAATAACCCTGCTAAAACGTTTAAAAACAGTGAAAAAGATGGTTTTTAGATGGTTTGTCACTGTTTTTAAGCGTTTTAGCAGGGTTCTTGGTGTTTTTAGACGGTTTTTCACTGTTTTAGCAGGGTTAACACAACTTGATATGAAGAAGGCGAACAAAATTAGTTACCTCCATATTGGTACACACACTTTTAAAGTGCCTTTTAATGGACTAACCCTGACGAAAAGGCAGAGATACAGCAAAATAATCTCAATCGATATTGTATATACTCAAATTCTAAGGTTCGAATCTCGAGATGAAGATGAATACAGTATACGACTTCTGTCGGTTGGGCACTGTAACACAGTATGTCTCAATGTCGTCGCACACTACTCATCCCTATTTTCCCACTTATACAGGGAATTGTACATTTTTAAGACACGCACCGTCCTAAAAGTTTATTCAAATCGACGTAAGATACCAATAATTGGGTCCCTTTAAAGATATATTTGTAACCATGGCAAAATTTTTTTAATTTATTTACGAGGAAACAAATATTTCTTTCCAATAACTTTTTCTTACCTTGCATTCTCTCCCATTCCAACTCGATAGAATTAGTATTGAAGGATTTCACAGTCGGAGTTCCTGGAGCGTTGGGTGCTAAAGAGAAAAGTCAAAAGCGTTGACTTTGTTGTGCCTTTGTCCAATTTTTAAATAGGAGAAATAGGATATTACATCTATGACATAAAATAATAACACATAAACCGTAAAAGATATGTGAAGTTTTTTTCAATTCCTTTTCAATTTTTCAACATCACAAAAAGAAATTTTGAATTTTTGACAGTAATAAAATGACCATGTCATGTTCAGATCTGGAGAAAGATGCGAAGAGTGGGGGAGATAGAGGGAAATCAAATGTGAGATGAATATATATACTAGTGTCATACTAGTTATCGTGGGAGACAAAAACTTTGTTAAGACCTTAGGGCACCAAGGATTCAGAAAGGAGCTCGTCAAACACAAGTGATATAATAGTGATTATATTTGATTTGTATAAAACAGCAGAGCGTTATGTCAAATATTGGGTTCTATAAGACTCACGAGAATTTGAGAATGAATAAAAGTAAAAAAGAGCCATCTTCCAATTAAATCATTAAAACTTTGAAATTAATGGGTTTAGTAGTTGCAGAGAGAAGTGAAGATTTTCACAACATTAACAAGATCAACAACAGAAAGCTAAAAAATTTTTTGAACGCTTCCAGTTTAACCAATATTCAATCTCACCAGTAGCTAGCGTTAATTAGGAGTCAATCAGTAAATTAGTTGCAAAGAGCGATTTTTCACAACAGAAACAACAACAAACAACAAAATCCAGCAAAACATCTACAGGAACACTTCATATCTCATAAACTAATATTAACACTCACCAGTAGCTTGCGTCAGTCTATCGCTTCTTCTACTCTCGTATCCTTCCACCGATGTTGCCATGATCTGAATCCTGTATTCCGTTCCAGGTTTTAAATCGCTCAACATAGCAGATGTGAACAGGTAATCAGGAATCATTTCTTCAGCCTCTCCTTTCTCAGCCAGGAATATTGTGTAGAAATCGGCACCTGAATAAGATTACGATCGATTAAAGTACTATTGCTATATTAAATGCAATAAAAATGGACATTATTTCAATTACAACGACGGTACTGTATCTCCTTAGGATTAATCAATATGTGAAGAGTTACCATAGTTTGGAAAAACCTGAATCTTATCCATATGTCATTCCCTACCCGATTTGAATTTGATTTGAATCCAAGATATTCAACTATGTTAGAATAAGCATAGCTTAGTCCAAAGCTCCAATCACATTACCAAAGTTGATTATATCATTTCGAATCGCTTCTAATTTGGTCGCGCCTTTGTGCTGATTCGTGAATGCATGTATGCCCCGTTTTTCAAATCATGAGATGTAATGCAAATTTATCATCAACCAACATCAAATTCGACATTTACTTTTCAGCCGTTTTTATTTTAGACTGAAAAATTGTTGAATTCTCAAATTATCTGCTTAGTTGAGCTCCTCTGATTGCCTTGTCCCCAACAATGTAACAGCACGTATATGATTTATTATATTGCTGAGTCGGTTTTTACGGAAGTCGAAAAGAACTCTTATTGCTTTTTTATCATCCTTAGTTGTTCAAGTATTTTCGCCTTTTAAACCTCTATAACCATTGTAATACCATCGAAATAGATTAAACTTTACTCACCTACGACAGGATCCCATTTAACATCTATAAAATCTGCTCCGACTTCAATGACAGTGACGAATTGTGGTGCGGATGGAACTGAAAAAAGTAAACCGTATTATAGTGGTTGTACAATGATATTGATCGAAATAACTAATTTTCATAACATTATTTGAGGAGCTTTTTTCCCACGTTGCGCAGACATCCTCGGCGTATGTAACTGATCAAACTTGCACGTCAAAACAGTGATTTCCAACCGAGGGCCAGTGACCTTGCGAAGGGTGCCACACAACGTTTGAAGAAGGGAGATTTTACCTAAGGTGCGTGGACATCTTCATGGTATGTAAGAGTGATGTGTGGGGTCAGAGTCTAACCGAAACAATTGAGAAACTCTTTATACTATAGAACTTTATATGACTCATTGTGAAGCCTTACATCTGTAATCGGACATGTATTTCTGTTTTGTTTGTGTCAATAATTTTATACATTCAGTTTTTTTTGCACACAACCAACTAGGAGAAATGGTTAATTGAAATGGACTTAAATATTATTTTCTGAGATGCTAGCACAGTTAAGTCTGATGTTCTAAATCAAAATTAGGTACCGTAACTTATAATTATGGCTGGGCATTCTGAATCGAATATTCGAATTGAATAATAAATTATTCAAATCGGGTCAGACCAATATTTCGAACCGATATTGTATAGGAAATTTCTTTTACCTGTTCTCTGCTGAACAATATTGCTGTGTTCGCTCATCATGTCATCTTTTCTGTTGATGCCTCTGACAGAAAACGAGTACAAAACTCCGGGTTCAAGATTCGTCACATCTGTAAACAACTCGTTTTCCAAATCAATAGGAGTGATGTCATCTTTTTCTACGTCACGTACGTAGACGGTGTATGCAGTTGCACCTAAAATAATTCAAACATGTAACGTGTTACTGGCGAACAATAAACAAATTGCTAGTTACACAAGGAGACTCAAAAAAATTGCAGGGTATCGTTTCTACGTCAAAACTAAAATAGATGACATATAGCAATAAGACTATAAGCATATTACAAACTATAGCGTGTAACATGTTACAAAAAAAATATTTATCATGTAAAAGCTTCCATTATCTACTCATGAATTATTTATCTCAGGCTTCATTATCTGTGTCTCACGTCACATTCGGAGAGTACGGTAATCAAAAAATCGCATTTAGTGAGTGCTGTTTGTCATAAATTTAACCAGAAATATCTTTTGACAATTTGTTACATCACCAACGTCACTGAATTGACTAATGTTAAAGCTAGTTGAGTCAACTAGCAAAGTTGAATGATGTTCTTGGCTAGTCTCAACTGTTATCAGGCTTTCTATCTTTTTGCTAACAATTCTGGCATCGTAGAGAACTTAAAATTGACAACCTTGGACCACCCTGATTTAGCTATTCAAAAGATAAAAGTTTTTTTCACAACTAAAATCTTAGCTACAGCTCTATGTAGAGAGCATAGTGCGGGACCGGGTTTAGGAAACTTTCAAACAGTTCATTGCGTTTTTTTATTTACACTTAAACTATGCAAATTATAACCTTTTCATTTAATATATGTCAAACTTTTCTTCCTTTTTCAGCTCACATTAACTCATTTATGAGCTAGAATTTAGTGTTGCCTATTTTTAAAAGATATCTCACCTGTTGTAGGTTCCCATGATAAGGCAACGTAATCTTCAGCAAAGTCATCCAAAGTAAGATTTGCAGGAGCAGCCAATTCTAAATTCAATAAAATTATTCGCTTCTTCGTCAACAAGAAGAATCGTGATAATACTTCTATAAGGAGGCTTCATAGAGAAACATCAAAATCGTATAAAAAACTGTCAGTGCCCGTTAAGTATCGAATATAGCATAAATATTAAAATATTTAAACTTTTGGCTCTAAGTACATGAAAATATAGTTAAAGTGGTTGCATAATAACACCATGATTCAACATTTCAATCATTCATTAAAATTCAAAAATCAATAAACTACCCGTTCCACCATTCAATGCCACAGTCACTGGTCACTTTAACAAACAACCATTTATTCATTCACTAATTCCATCTTTCAATTATAGAACCATTCCAAACATCCAACCATTTAACCATTCATTCAGCCATTCAAGCGCCTGATTACCTGATTAGAGAGGAGTTAAATGTTTAATCAACTAATATTTCATAAAATCCTCACTTGTTCTTTGTACAATAGCAGGGCTTCTTTCACTCTTTGAAGCTTCGTTTCTGTTTCCGTAGGCTACAACTTGCAACACATAACTGATACCAGATTGCAAGTCTCTGATTCGGAAATCAGGAGTCGTTGATTCAAACTCAAGAGTTCTGAGACGCCTGTTCATGTCTTTGTATTCAGCTAAGATACCATATCTTGTTGCTCCTATAAAGTAGAAATCAATAAGTGTGGTGGTTGTAACTAAATAGCTAAAATCGAATATAAGGTAATTTAATACTTCAATGGGATAATATGTCCATAAAGTCTTGCAAGGATAATTTATCGATACCATATATTGTTTTGGCCCTTACAGGCGTATAAAATGAAGTAAAAATACTTACAATTACTGATTAAAAAAAAAAAACCTAATTAAGATATATTAAGAAATGACTTCATAACAAAATTGAAATTGTAAAGGAACTTTAGGGACTTTATAATTCAACATTCAAGGATCTCAATGAAACATTTATATTGGAAACAAAATAAAAATGTAACAATTTAATCAATCAAGGTTTTATGCACAAATGAGGTGTTTTATCTATAATTTTGCTCAGTTATTTCCATTTCACTTGTATACCAATTGTGGAGCCTAACGAATCCACAAAAGGGTAATATGATTTTGATCAATAAATAAATATTCTTACCGCGAGACGGTGTCCAAGAGATATCGATACTCGTTTGTGATACACTATCAACTTTAATTGAAGATGGTGGCAGAGGAACTGCAAAATAAGAACAAATTAGAGCAGTGATGAAAACAAGTACGTTATGTGTATATATAAACCGGGACTGGTTAGCAGTCAGCCAAGTTTTAATGGTTGAATGTTACAAATTTTATTGGAAGTTAATCATTGTATATTTTATAAATATATTCTTTACAGAATGTGACAGTCAATGTCTCAAGTAAGGCGTTATAATATTATAGTTTGGATTTTTGTGTTCCTATTTTCTATAATTCACTTATTCTGATTAGATGATACAGGGATATTATCTAAATACAAAGTTTTTTTCCATTTTAACTAATACTACAGCTACCGATTGATATGAGACAGCTGCTAAAGAATGCTTGGAAAAGATTATTAGAAGAAGAAATTAGAGTAATCAACGAATTAAAATAATTTTTCTTTCCACAAAATATTTGTGAGGGATTTTGTAAATGAGTTTGTAATTGATAATGTTATAACTGATATTGTCACAAGAAGTTACGAGGAAAGAGTTTATTATAGCACATGAATTGCACATACGTTTTTTTTTGCTAAATTGTTGCTGAATTTTTTTTTTAGAATTCCTGGAGCTGTTAAAAATTGCTGTGATCCAAAACTACTGGGCACGTTTATTTCAAGTTTAAACTTTATGAACTGATTACGGGAGAATTTGCTAGAAAACCATTTTTTTATATTACATGTTTTTTATGAGAATTATGGGCTTGATATTTTACCCAATCTTGATATTTTATTTTTATCGATGAAAACACTGCTTTGAAATTTAAACTTCCGTACTGACACATTCGAGCTTCGCTCTCTCATTATTAATTTTAATCACTTACTCGTTTTAACCCTTATACTGGAAGTTTCAACTTCATCTTGATTTCCTTTAACTCCTCGAGGCCTGATAACAAACTCGTATGCAACACCAGGGTTAAGATTATCCACAATAATCTCTGGCCTCTTTGTTTGCCGACGCATTGGAGATCCAGCTGCTTTCATGTTTGAGATCAGGATGGCATAGCTGCCGGCACCTGAATTTTGAATAAAGAAAAATGTATATTAGATTCTGATACAACATCAGTCTTCAACCGCTGAGGGGGTCCCGGATAGGTTTGTGGGGGTCACGATGATAGGCGCAGAACTTATTTTACTTCTTTATTGATAAGAAAACTTTCAGTTCTTTCTAGTGCCATTGCTTGATAAGGTTATTTCACAAGTCAGACTAGAGACTTCTATAAAAGATTTGATACCACTTCGTTTTGGCCTTCGTTTCCATATATTTGAGCATTGCTGTTCTATATATCTTACCTTTAATAGGTTCCCAGGAAAGAGATATCAATGTGTTTGTAACGGCATCGATGTTGATTTCAGTGATTCCGTCCGGCACTGTAGAAAAAATAAAGGATCAATGTTAAGTTTAATGTATCGTATTCTATGGACCATGAGGCGCACTTGAACTACTTTTTTTCTCGACATATAGAATAGTTCAGGGTACCTATCATATGAATCAGGTAGAGCTTTCTGCCATTTCACATATTCAAAACCAGTACCAGTATCGGTCGCATCTTATGGTCTGTAAAATACGTGAGTAAATTACATAAAGAAGAGAGAATCAAGTCGAGTTGAAGTTATTTCATACACTACGGCCATGATGTAATTCAATTAGGCAATTATTTTGAATCACCGGAATCTTCACAGTTCGACATTGCCTATCAAATTTACTTACACTCTAGGTGGGGTGCTGGGCATGAGATTTAACCAAACATGTGTAATCTGCGATACCAACAGAGTTAAGTGTTATGATTTACCCGCTAGACCTGTCATGAAGAAACTACAGCCCGTAAGCCAAATCCGGCCTGTTGTGTTAGGTAATTCAATCTGGCCCACTAGATGCTGCCACAACTTAACTAAAACCAAATTTTGAATTTTAGCTCAAAAATAGCTCAAGAAATTTGTTTAGATTGCATTAAAATTTCGTTTTGGCACGAGGCATATCGTTTCCCAATTTTGCTTTTGTAAGATATGAGCCACATGGGATGAATATTAAGGAAGTTTAAAGCAATTAATTATCTTTCATTCATTAGGTAACTCATCCTTTGTACTTAATGTTATTCTCAGGGTTGGATCATGCATGGCCAGATATGTCGTCAACAGACAAACAATCAATATATTATAATTGACTCAAAGATGACTTTTCTGGTCAGCATCATCCAATGCTGAGAAACACAAAACACCATTGTTTAATTTGGACTTCAATTGTTTAATATAAAACAAAGAGAGAGATCTCATCAATGTCATCTCATCTCAATCACCCGCTGTTATTTTTTCAAGAATTCACTGATTTTCTTGATTATTTAACATGCGTAACTCCCATACTCTTATACTGATTGTTTAAATATATATGTAACCGCTTTTCTTGTTATAGTTGAACTATGTATGTCTGAAGAAGTCTGACCTTGGTCAGACGAAACGTTACAGAAATCTATTTGTGTTAGTGTGCAGAAAGACTCTTGAATCACTTAGGATAGTTACTCTTGCTACAGCATCCTTGCATTATATGCATACGAATCCGGCGGCACAAAAGCATAGAAGAAGGATAAGTAGTTAGTCTCGCAGAAACCAAATAATCACTGTAAATATTGTTCATAAAAAGTAACTTTTACTTCACACTTACATGGCCAGCCAGTCTAGAAGGCGAAATTTCTGGCAAAAAACCTTGCAGACCCTCGCACTGCCCAAAAGATGATAAATTAAAAAATCTTACATGTTGTTTCATTTGCTCTGTTACTCGGTAAGCTTCGTCTCCCTTCTTCGGAGAAGCTGGTTATTTCATACCAGTAAGTAGTTCCAGGATCAAGTTGGCTAAGTTTGATTTGAGTCAGAGGGCTTTTGAATGTTTTGAACGTCAACCCATCTCTGTCCTGTGGTGCTTCACCCTTAAGATGACCTGATGATACTTCGTCGGCAATCCAGAGAAGTTTTAGTTCGTAAGATTTTGCACCTGGTTTGAAATACAGTCAAAAAAGTACAGTTAGTTTAAAATTGCCAGAGGGGGACAGTAATCGCACAGTAATATTTAAGGGGAATTATGACCCTTGTTCTTCAAGAAAAAAAAAATAGAAAAGTTAAATAACCCGTCATGTGAGAGACGATAAATAAATCGGAAAACTATAAAAATTAAATTTTAAATATTTTATTTTGTAATATTATAACCTGCGCCAAAAAAGCAAATGAATGAGGCAGGATAGACTGGGCCAGTTGATTAAAAATACTGAGTAAAAGCTTTGACTAATTAATTTATTAATGAATTATTGAAAAACTGACAAAATTCATCAAGAAATAACAATCACAAATTTTGTGTTTTAATCACAAATTATATCCCTATTATCTCAAATGTATGCAAGCGCGAATTAACTAAATATCTCACAAATGAGATATTCATATACAGACTGGCTCACAAACTATTCGTTACAATGACTTTAATAAATAGCTGATTTGATTTTGAAAATTATCCCGTTCATCTTTATTGACAGAAGTCAATGTATTTGAAACAAAAAACTGGTTACCTGTTTAAATATCTGACTTGGACTGGTAACCAAAAGATAAATAGTTCGTTATTCGCCATATGATTCAAGCCGCCTTATTGGCTCTTCTCCCCCCAAGATAAATATGACAATCCTATTCTATCATATTTTATTTGAGAAGGAAACATAGAATGCATAAGACATCACCTTTGACTGATTTCCACGATATCTTCATGCTGTTGATTGTTGTTTCACTTGATTCAAAGTCGGTGATTTTGCGAGGAACTGTAAAATAAAATCCATTTATTTACAGAATTGAAAAAAAAATTACAAAAGAAGAAGAAGGGGCATAGCCAGTGCAGTTAAAGGTTGGGACCCCCTTTTTGAAGTTTAATGAAAAGCATTTTTTTTTATCACACATAGCAATTTTTCATAAAAATGGCCTTACTTTGAACAAATATTCTTGCAAATACACTGATGAGTACACATATTCTTCAATATTGGGCTCTTCATAAATTAAAACAAACTTAATAAAATCAAAAGTTCGATAAATCTAAATACCCGTTTGAAATTGCACATTCTCGCTTTGAACTCCACTTGTCCTGTTCAGAATATCAAATGTAGTGACGGATACATTGTACCAAGTACCAGCTATCAGTCCAGTCATGGTTGCGACAGGTTGTTGGACGTTTTGTACAATTGGTTTTTGTCTATTTCTCACGCGTACTCGATAGAAAGAAGCACCTGTGATACAAAGAATAAAGTATCAGAATAAACAGTTTAATAAAATAGTTATCTGTATTTTTCCTGAAGCTTTCTTGCTTTATACGTATGCGGATCCACTTGCACAAAGGCAAAGAACAATAAAAAATATTTAGACTGATACTGATAAAATCAGTTAATTATGCGATTTGATGTAGACTTTATTCATAACATGCTCAATTTTTTGTGTAAATAGGCGAGTGTTTTTTCACTTCACAAGTTAATGGTTGACAAGGGTCGCATCATATAATAAATATTCACGAGCACGCAAGTGAGTTAATATGCAGGTTTGCTGTATTGAGCTTATTACTTATTCCAAATTTTTAGATTTCTCACCTTTTACATCAGTCCATCTAATAGTAGCAGAAGTTGTCGAAATCTTGCTGACTAATACGTCTTCAACAATAGCAGGAACTAAAAGAGAGAAAGCTCGTGTTAACCTTCACCACAAGTATAATTAAAGACATTTCAAAGAATCTGAAAATTATTAGGATAGCTCATCTTAATATTGTTAATTGGGTATATACAAAAAAGTGGACAACACGTAGTCATGACGCCATTAAGACGTTCAAGAAATTTCCCAGGAAGCTGAAAATTATCTGATGTGTTTTACCGTCATATTATGGAATGGGGATATTTGAAAGAATGACACCGTATAATTATGGCATACGTCATTGGGTTCCAGGTTTTCCATATTACGGTTTTCTGGTGGCGACCCAGCTGTTGGTGGCAAACAATACGTAACACTCTGATCAAAAATTTATATTTCTCCCAAGTAACCAATTGATTGCAAATTAATGCATTTTAAACCATTAACTGTTAACAATTCCCATACCCAAACCAGACCAAAAGTGATTGTGGTTTGCGATTTGCTTGAGTCATCAAACCGGTTTTCCTCTCTCAAAGAATAAAAATAAAATATTATTCTAATGAAATTGAACTATAATAAAAACTTACGCGTTGTCGCCTCCATAGAGATCGATTCGCTTTTTCCACCTTGAGCTCCGATTGCTTGAACTTCAAAACGGAACTGGGATCCAGACTTCAATCTAATAAGTTACAAAATAAGAAATGATACAATGAGCATGTCCCAAGGATGGACTCAACGATGATACTGATAGGCGCGATGGTACAATGGATATAAAGAGTTGTATCCAAACTCCGTTTTGTTGTGCTCTTCTATTTACCTCATTAAACGAAAAAAAAAATCCAAAATAATCCAAACTCACCCATCAACAGTGGCCATGTTTTTATCTGTCGTAATTCTGAAAGAAACTTGTCCGTTTGACATTTCAACATTCTGCCAAGATTTGGCAAACTCAACAACCTCAGACTCATCGGCCGTCACGGTCAAGACATAATTCTCCGCACCTGAAAAAATTCAATGAAAACCCAAGTTAAAAGGTCCGTGAATAATCTCTTTCAATGAGAGAAATTATATTTGTAAGCCTTCGTGATGGCGGATCGGTCATTTATGCTTTCAGGACACACTAAATCGGTTGCATATGTATGGGTAGACTAACTAATTGGTTGTATATCAGTGTGGACTCACTAAACTGGTTGTATATGTATGTGAGCTCGTTGAATTGGTTGTATATGTATGTGTGGACTCACTGAACTCATTGTATGTATATGTGGACTAACTAAATGTGTCGGTTGTATATGTATATGGTCGCACTGATTCTGTGGTATATATATATATATACGGATTCGCTGGATTGATTGTATTTGTATGTGACTCACTGAATTAGTTGTATTTGTATATTGACTCCCTGACTTGGCTGTATAAGTATATATGGACTCACTGAATTGGTTGTATATATACGTGCGGACTAACTAACTGAATTGTATATGTATTTAGACTAACTAAATGAATTGGTTGTATATGTACGTGGTGGACTCACTGAATCTGTTGTATATGTATGCGGCATCACAGAATCGGTTGTATATGTATGTAAAATCACTGAATTGGTTGTATACGTATATGTACTCTGTGAATTGATCGTATATGCTTTATACTCACAACATGGACTCTATGATCAATTTGCTACACCGTTGGTACTTACCAACCACTTTTCTCCATGTTACTGACACAGAATCCATGGTCACTTTTTCTATCTGCATTCTTGCTGGAGGACTCGGAACTGAAAAATGAGAAAAAGTTATTGTTTCACCAATTTAGATGAAATATTTATTTGTACGAAGAGATCTGTTCATGTATACGATGAAAATTAGAAATAACAAATTAGAGATCAGCAATTAATGTATTTACAATATAATTAGATATTTTTCATTGCAAGAGCCTTTATTGAATCGAAGGCTACTCATACCACGAATTATGAATAATATTATTAACATACTTGTAGAGTTGAAATTGGGTGGGGTCAACCTAGTGTTTAGAGCAGTGAATCTCTAATGGTGGGGCGCGCCCCACAAGGGAGGCGTAGACCAGTTTTTGTGAGGGCGTAAAGCTAATTAAAAGTAAAAATATTTGTTAAATTTGATCTTGTCCGCCTTATTTTGAACATTTTAATTAGGTACTTTTTTATTTTATTTTCAAGTTCCGTCCACATATTCTTCAACGTTTTATGAACATACGTTCAACCATCTGTTATTTGTAACTTATTGTTAGCTAGCGTAGTTATTTTTGAAGTGGGCACAAGACTTGGGTAATTTCAAAATGGGGGCACAGCACAAAAGGTTTGAGAACCAATGGTTTAGAGCGTTAAACGAAACAACACCACAATGAACGGCCGAGTGAGGCTCTACCGTTGAAACAATATGTTGGCCATCTCACTCAAGGTGTAATAAATTGGGTATGAAATATTGAACCGGAAAGATTACTGTCCTTCCAAATAGCAGTAGCTCTTTACATATCCATGGATACTCTCACAGACCGTTTGAAGGCGTGACAAAATTGTAGTATAAATATACCTGTCTGAATCCTGAATGCGGAACTTCCCTCTTTATTCATTCTTCCTTTTGAATCCCGGGAGAATACTTTGATGCTGTACCAGTTTCCTGCATCCAGACCTTTCAGTTGAACTTCAGCTTTGTAAACGACCAAGGTTTCTTCCTTCCCGGTTGATTCATCGAGAATCTGTACTTCGTATGAGGCGGCACCTAGTGGATAGTAAAAAAATGAATGAATTCATGATTGGATTTTATAATATTTCTTGCCAAAGGTATCACATATTCATCTCATAGTAAAAAGAACTCATTTTTGAGCAAATCAAAAAAAAATTATCTCAAGGCAAGGGTACACCCACTCATGGCTCACAAGGCGGCCTGACGATGTGGGGCTTCATGCTAAGCATTCGGAATACGCTTGCCATCGCACCTCTGATTATATGCGTGGGTTTGTAGGTTTTAATCTCCTGTGGGGATAATTATGTGCGAGAGGATTGATGAACTCCCCGCCGCTGTAGGATGGTTCACCTAAATGCAGGTTGGTTTGGCCCTCCTCCACCATCAATGTCATGCTTCCAAAACAAATACCTGGCTAACTAATTCCATACCCAACATGGACTGGTAACCGGACGATAGGCCGTGGTTAACCATATGATTAAGCTGTCTTAACGGCTTTCCTCTCCCCCGGGATAAGTATGTGAATCTTATCTTTTCCTAAGTTACGAACAATTCATAGCAACAAAAATAGACAGGTGAAGAAATCTTCCTACTAAATTAGACAAATCAAGTGATTGAAATATCACACTTTCACAAATTTTATTTTGCAACATATCGTCTGGTCAATATCAAATTTCCCAAACAATCGTGTTTGCAAGGAGTATCATGGAAGCCAGACTTTTTGTACAACTCAATATAGCTTTGATTCTTTCGGTAATAACAGTGCTGCACTTACAGTGCAGAGAGGAAGGGATATTCGCTGACGCAGCCAATACAGCCAAAAATGATAAAATAATTTTTTGACGGTGGGCCACATGACCAACTTCAGACATCCAGCTGGGCCACACAGAAAATTTAGCAGGAAAGGCAAGAAAAGGGAATACGCCTATCGCTTACATTTACAATAATAAATGCACCGGGCAAAGTGCCGAAAGATATAAAGCAGTGATAAGAGCAAAAAACAATCTGAATTTTTATTCACATGGGCGCCTTTGCAAACAAAAAATGTTGGATTTGGATTTTATGCTTAATGGAGAAAAATCTGAGTGTTGACAAGGACCACACCAAATGGCTTGGCGGGCCGGGTTATGGCCAGCGGGCCACCTGTTGCACACTCCTGATATAAACAAATCCTCAAAATACAAGAGAAATAAATTACCTGGAACTGGCTCCCATTTCATGTTCGCAGATGTTGTTGAAACTTCGTCCGTCTTAGGGGTCGGTGGCGCCTCTGGCACTAAAATAGTATAGAAGTGTGAAGAGACAATTTTTTTTTATTTGGCGAGATTGGGTGCAGTATAAACAGCCAACAGGAAAGATTGTAATCCTTTCAAAGAAAGTAAATTTTTATCTAGCAGTAATGTTAGAATTTAAAAAAAGGCGATGGATAAAGACCATCGAAGCTCATTGATATTATAAATGCTTTGAAAATTTGCCAATTCACTATACATTACTCCAGTGGTTTAGGCCACAATGCTCAGAGCAGAGTTTATTTCACATTTGCCTTCACAAGAAAATTCCTCGATCTTCCTAGTTTCATTGCTCGATAAGGTTTCATTTATGGGGTGTTGTCACTTTATTGAGCATGAACTGATTGAAAATAATGGTATTTGGAATCTCTCAACCAAACAAAACAACAGGTAGGGGGTTCGGGCTTGAGTGCTAAAAAGTTGGGAACCACTGCATTACTCCAATATATTATAATGTAACTGTAATCCATGCTAAACTCAAGTTCAATTATATACAACATAGAGTATTTCGTACAGGAGCTTTCCTCTAGTATTGCACTTTCTTGACTTTTCCCGCCTTTTCCTTCCGCTTCAACTGTGATGTCATACTTAACACCAGGAAGTGGGACCTTGAATTTGTATGATGTCATAGTGGTTGTTGCATTGATCACTCTTGGCTGACGAACGCCGGGTCTTTTCCATCTAGCATATATGACATACCTAGTAGCGCCTAAAGTAATAATCGTGAGTTTACTCAAATGAATATTCCAAGCCTTCTACTAAAAGTGGTAAAAGTTTCGAGGCTGACAGGCTATGGGCTGTATCTACATTTTTTTTATACAATTTCGCTCTAAACAACATTTAGAGCGTAAAGTAAAAAAAAATACTGATATGAGATAAGTGAGCGGCATTGACACATAGACAAGTTTATTTCTTTTTTCATAAAAGTTGCCTCAAAGTTCCGATGTTTAATTAACACTATACACAATGATTAGGTCTAAATGATTACCGGTAAGTCTAAATTGTGGTTCATAGGCACACACCGCTACAGAGATATTTGATGGCATGAGTTTCGAAGAAATGTTTTTCAGTTACGATAGATATAAAATTTTGTAAGAGTGAATATATTTCATGGCTGCTGATTTTTGCATTATTTTTATACTACTCATTTCTGGATAACAGTTCAGTTATCTATAATTCACGACCTAGTAGCAGTTTTCCTGACACGAACTGCTTCAAGTCGCATGTTACCGTTATTGAATGATTGCGTCATCTTGATTCGACCAAATATCACTAAAAAATATTATGCTCACCTTTCACTCCATCCCAAGAAATTGACAGATAATCCGTTGCAATAGAATCAACCTTTTTGATTCGTGGGATTTGGGGAACTGTAGCAATAGATATAACAAGAGAAGCATTAATGCAATACTGCCAAGATGATGGGGATGACGTAAATACAAACTTTGTCGTCATAATAATATATAATATAGTAAGTAGTATTGAAAGTTGGCAACAGGATATAAATCAGGGCAAGGGTCTTGGACAAGGGCCCTAAAATTTTGTACACATGGACTGGCGGGCCAATGTAAGTGTGACGTAAAAATTTACATTTGATGAACAATATTTACAGTGTTACGAAAGCAAAATTGGAAAACAATAAACTCGAGCCAAAACTCAATTTAATCGCAATCTCGACAATATCCTTAAGGTATTTCTCAGCTAAAAAATAATATTTTGGTTTTAGTTTGGTTGTGACAGCATCGGGCGGGCCAGATTGAATTTCCCAACGGTTCAGATTTGGCCCATGGGCCGTAGTTTGCCCATGTGAGATATAAATGGATGTCTTATTAAAGTGGACGTTTTTTTTGTTTATATTGCAATCGGAACATGAGTTGGAGTGGGAATCAATTATAAAACGCAGAGTACGGGAGTTGAAATTAGAATTTTGTAACTCAAAAAAACTAAAGGTCTTCGATTATCCAGATTTCAACTAACAGAGTTAAAGTAAAATTAGACTTGTTTAAAGCAGGCTGACTTCGGTAGAAGGAAACATCACAAAAATACTTTTGTATTAGTGCACACCGTACAACAACACTTGTGTTTTATTTTTAGCCATCTTTATTAAAACGGAATCGCTATAAAAAGAATTGTTTACTTGTGTGCAAAGTTGTTGTCGGTCCTTTCTCACTCTGTTTTCCGCTCTCTCCGACTGCGATGATTGAAAATGAATATGTAGTACCGGGAACAAGTTCTTCAACCACAATCTGTGCGAAAATAGATTTTAGGCATCTTTAGGATGGGCAGATTGTGGCATATGTTTAATTAAAACAAAGGGCGCTCCAGAAGTTTGTGTATCAATATGGAGGTAACTAATTTTGTTCGCCTACCTTAAATCGAGTTGTGTAAAGGAACTGAAACCTATGGGCATATTCACTTGGCTAAAACAGACAATCCACGAATTTGTAATAGAACTAAATTAGAATAAAATTATGGTCTAACCCTACACATACTAAGGGGGTATCAAACGAAGGTTCAACGGATAGCTATCTTATACCTCTGATTTCACTCTATTATCATGCCCAACATGAACTGTAAACCAGAGTACGCACGATTCGCCTTTTGGTTAGAAAAACTTAAATAGGGAATCTGGAGAAATCTGATAAGACGGCTCAATCATCCACGACTTGTTGTCCGTTTACCAGTCCATGTCGGGTATAGAAATAATTAATCAGGACTCAGTTTCAGATTCATGGACAAGATTTCATAAAATTGTGGAATCACTCACAAATTCTTCTTCAACGGTTATCCTTGTCTGAGTTGCTTGCTCGACATCACGGACAATGACGATGTATTCTCTGGCACCTGATCAGAAAAAAATTGGTTTGGTGGTTACAAAACGTTGCCATATATAAATAAGTGTGAGAGTTACCCAGGTTGAGAGAGCGAAATTTTATAACAAAGGGGGGTAACCCACTGGGTATGCCCCTGACAACAAACAACACTAACTTTCAATTCAAATTTTTATCAGATTTCTAATCTACTGTTTCAAATTATTTAAACTTTTCAGTTATTCAAATTATTTTTCGCCACAAAAAAAAATTAAAATAAATAAGTCTCTTAAAATTATTCGCATCTTTTGAGTTTTTTAAAGATCGACAGCGATCATGAACTAAGCATTCTTTTAAAAGTTTTTTAAATTCACTCATCTATACTTTTGACAGAGACATCATTAGATTACTATTGTACAGTGTTTATCATAAACATATGAGTCGCGACCCAATAGCGGTCGCCTAAAATTTTTTTGGATCGCTTCCTTTTTTCAATAAAAATGTAGAAGTTAGTAATTTTATTTTATAGTAAATTTTATTGTTTATTTTATATTTGGTAATGACAATAGTAATTACATGCATGGGAAATACTTTGAAGTAAAAATTTTCCAGCATTTATTTTGCTTCGATTTCAAAAACTCGCTGATGGAAGACCCCACAGTTTTCTCACTTTAAAGCAAAAATGAATGTTTTATATTATTCATTTAATTTTGGTCATAAAAGTACTACACCTTTAGTATTTGAGTATATCCTTGGGTCGCAGAATTTTACAAAATCAACTTTTTTTTCAAATTTGGTTCGATTGAAAAAAAGGTGGGAACCACTGCTATAGTAGATAATAGAAACAATTCAATCCAATGCTGACAGGAAAATACCGTACTGATCATATTATTAGTAACTATTAACTATCACAAACCTTCCACTTCCTTCCATCTCAGAGTTGCACTCGAGTTCGTCACAGTTCTCGCAACTGGTTTAGCCGGGGTTGAAAGCTCTGTGGAAATATGATTAAATAGTTGTAATCCAGTTCAGTTTTTCTACTGTTATTTGTCAATATTACTCTACATAAAGGGCCGCTTCTTACACACCCTTGCTCTATATAGAAAACTTCATCAGGACAAAGAATAGAAAATCGAAAGATACTATATATATATAAACTTTTGTCACAAAACCAATGTTTTTCAAAAGATTCGAATGTGTATAAGAGATAGAGAGAGAGAGTTTATTTCATTTTGTCAAACCAAGAAAACAATATATACATACATATATAAATATCAAATGAACAGATGTTTTCGGTACATGATTGGGAGGCAATGATACGGTCTTCAGGGGTCATCAGAGTCAGTTGCCATCGTAAAGACATCTATTAAGAAAGCTTGGTAGCAGCCCCTTACTGCATTCCGATATTGTTCGCTATTAAAACACACAATACTCACTTGTGCTTACGACAGCAGGTTCACTTTCGTCGCTCTCTTTGCCATTGTTAGCGATGGAAGTCACAGTGAATGAATAATTCTTTCCAGGCTGCAGGTCTTCCACTAATTGTTGTTTGGCAATTACATCGAATCTTTCCACCAAAACACCGGTAGAATGGTCCCGGACTTTGATAACATATCTTGCAACACCTGGAATGAGTAGGATGATAAGGACTTGAACTGATGCTTTTTTACTTTTATCTTCCCCGCTAAACTTTTCTATTGGCCAGATATATATAAAATTGTCCGACTCAGAAAACACATACCTGGCGATCTGCTCCATCCTAGGAGAACTGTTTTCGGAGTAACTGACATGATTTGAACCCCTTGTACTGGTGATGAAACTGTGTAAGGAATAAAATAAAGTTTACATTTGTTTGTGGACAGAAATGGGGTAACACAAGATAAATATATCAGGATATGTTTCTGCGTGCCGATTCGGGAAGTACTTGATGTGAACCTTTCCCATTTGGCGCCAAATAAATCTATCTTAATGAAAAGAAATTATTAAACAAATATTTACAATTTTTTATATATAACTTTTTAATAAAAAAAATTCAATTTCAAAATTGGGTGAAATTCCCAACTGGGACCTTATTTTATTGTGTCCAACAGGCTACGCGCAACTGTCGACACCGACGCCCTTCCAGAATAAGTCACCAAAAAGAGGTCTCTTGTCAAACTGTGACACTAAAAGTGAACACTAAATAAATACGCGTACCTGTTTGTTCAATCAGCATTCTGCTTGGCACAGTGTTGATTCTATCTTTCTTTCCAACAGACAGAACTCGGAATTCATATTCAGTTCCAGGTGAGAGGTCCTTGACTGTAATCTGTAAAGATAAGAAAGTAAAAGAATCTTTGTGATACACTCGTTTTACTGTCTTATTGAACGTGAAGTGAACATACAGATCAAGGTTGTAGCCAGGGGGTGGGGGTGAGATCGCAAGCTCAAAAGTTTGGGAAGCCCTTATCCATGGAACGTGAAGTTGTCGCCCAACTGACCGTTCAGTATCGCGTCACCATCGGCTTAAATCGTACTAACTGAGGAGGGATAGTAGTATTTTCGATAACTGTCGGCCTAGCTTTTTAACTGTTAAGTTCATTATCAAGTTTACAGCAATCATTTTGGTTTTGCTATAGGCAAACGAGTAGATCTTAAAGAATAAAGGCAAAGGGTCAACTCTTCTTCCTCCATCTCTGCCTGGTTTTACTTTGAAATGTTGAAAAAATTACACATTTTCGCTAAACATAATTAAGTAGATAAATGCAGCGAAATTGCAGCAAGTACTTCTATCTTCATTAGACGTAACATTAGAGGCAAACACTACGTAATGGAGAGTAAACAACATAGAATGGTAAAATGAATTTATTTATTCATATACTTTATCTGTATTCGCAGCTTGAACACATTTGAACCCTCGAAATTCTTGAAAACCTATGTGGATTGCGGCCCGCTGGTTGGCAATTCAAAATATCAGAACCTTTGCTTTGAAAATTTCTGGCAACGCCTTCCCCAAGATGATATGATTCATTTTTGTTAAATTGTAGTTGTTGTTAGGGTTGTAAAATAGCTTTTCTCTTTAACAAATGGACTTATAGATTTCAGTATTCGAAGATGGATGATGTCGGGCACAAAGTGAATGTATGAATGGTTTAGCTAAATTGTTGTTCATACTATATCTAACCAATTATATTGACCAATAAATTTTAAATTTCCAATACCTAAAGATGGAGCAAAGAAGGTCCTATAAGACCCGATTATTCTGTTTGGCCTTTTGATCATAAAAATGAAAGTTTTAAATCAGTGACGTCATCAGAATGACATCATCAATTTCGAATATTCCTGGAATAATGTAATCAATAACAACATCACTAATTTTGAATAATATGGATTTGCTTCAATACTCACCTTATTACTTATCGTCTCAATCCTAGTCTCTGTGACGAATAAAACTTCTGTCATAACGACAACATAGCCGATTGCACCTGAAAAGAAGTGTTTATCAAAAAATGAAACATATTTGTGGGTACAATGGCTTGATTAGATGATGGGCTGAAGAATTAATTATCCTGATTGGTTATGCTAAAAACCAATGTGTTAGGTCATTGATGATGGTCGGGTTTGCCCTTGTCTTGTTCATTATTATGAGATTATTATCGACAACCGATAATATCTGTGTTGTTTTAAATAATCCTTGTATAAAACTGGATGAAATTTGACAATTTGTAGAAAGGGTGATTAGAATCGAAATACTGATGTCGGCATCGCAGGTCATGGATATCAGTTTCAAACTTTAATATTTACCACCTCCGCCAAGAAGTAAAAAATTGATTACACCAGCGGTTTTCAAACGTTTTGTTTGTGCGGCGCCAAATTATCAGTGAAAAAACTCACAGCGAACTTACACGAAAAAAATTGCTACCGCAAAATTAAACTCAATTTTGTGATTGTTAATGTGTACGTTATGCCTTTCAAAGTTTGTAAATATGTAGGCCTGAAGAATAAATCCCAAAGTTTTAATACCGTTACCCCTGAACCGAATCACAAAAAGCTTAATTACCCTTTTGCATCTTCCTATCCATCATTATTCTTAACGTGTGCTAGCTCAGCGTTTTAGTATACAATCTGTATGGTGATGTATTGTTACAATATCCCTACGAACTGCTTGACTAGATGCCTAGGCTCATTGACTCGATGCGAACATTGATTGTCCAGCTTTTTCACAGACTAGTTAAAAGTACGGGAATTACAAAAGAGATTGTTAAAACAGTGAACGTCTGGATCACCTCCTAAAAATAACCAAATTACCCATTTGGGGATAATTACCCCCAGTTTGGGAACCACCTATCTAGAGTCTTGTTCGCAGTGGTGTGATGTTATTTTGTGCTTTTCCCAGGCTTTATTCAAAGTGAGGATATGTAAACACTATTTTATGAACCACTCACCTCGTACATCTTCCCATCTGAACGAAATTGATGTTTCCGTGGTGTCGATTATTCGCAGCATATTTGGTGGATTCGGCACTGGAGCAAAAAAAGCGAATTAATTAGTAGTACTTAAAAAACATCAAAGCATTTGAGTTTTAATAGCATGATAGAATTATGATCGAATACAGTTTCCTTTATCAGTGTACCACGTAAAAAAAAATCTATGCCCAAATTTTAGTTATGAGAAATTTATTACCGCATTACATAGCCGATCGAATTGTTATAAACTGCTTGAGTTTCACATATAGTTTGAGTGACTTTTGCCTTTTTTAGTGGTTGTCTATCTTTCGCCCAGGGATTAGTCTCTTTCACTTCTGAGTGAGTGCGCATAAAAGTAAATCAAATAACTTCGTGAAAGTGAACAAATAAAACAAAATTGAGCATGGAAGAGAACTTTTGAATAATTCTGGATTCATTCACAAATTGAGCAATGAAAATTATATATTTGTTCAAAATTGGAACATTTTGATCGAAACAGTGAAATATATACCGGTAGTAGGGCTTATGCAAGTAGAATTTTGATGGGAGCACTCAAAAAAAGAAAATTTAAATTTTATAATCTTACTTGTTTGTTCCGAAACTTGTCCACTTGGTGCGCTTTCTTGTCCATCATATCCAACAGATGACACTGATACAGAATATTCCGTTCCAGGTTGCAATTCGGTGAGGAAATGGCTGTATATAAAATAATGGTATTTGTTAATTTTGGGTTAATTTGAAGTCATAAAAATATTGTTCGTAATCTTTCTTCGCACTCAAGAATGAATTTTAACTTCAAAAAAATTAGTTTTGATTTTGGACTGATTTCAATATTTTCACTCCGATTTCAGAATTTTTTATATTTCATTTTTATATAGATTCTAAAAAATATACTATTTCGATTCCTGTCGGGAACTTCTTTACAGTTTGACTCGAATTTGACTCAATATTTCAATGACAAGCTCGTCATTATTAGTATCCCAAAACCTTTACAGGATATGGAGAACAAAATAAGAAAATATCAAGTTGGGTTACCTGTTAGTCAGAGTGTCGTATTCCTCTACATCAACTTTCCCTTTTTCTTGAACAATAACTTTATAGTTTCTGGCACCTGGTAAAAAAGTAGAGACAGGTTGCTAACAATAAGTATACAAAAAACGTGTTGAGTCTTTAGGTGTTCAAATATCGTAGAGTATATACCTCCATAAATGTATTTCCAGATATATTTAGTAGTAAGGCCGAGTCATTTCCCGACACTTTGTGAAAAAATCGTGCTTACAGAATGCATATTTCTAATTATATTACAGCGGGCATTGATTCAGAAATGATACCAGGCTTTCTGCTTGTCTTACAAGAATTTTAAGACTGAGTGAGTACAATTAGCTTGAAGAATATTTTCTCGTCTTCTCTCATTTTTTTTACTCACCTGTCACTTCATTCCACTTCACTGTGATTGAGTTTGTTCTTACGTTAGAGAGAGTCACTCCTGTTGGTCCAGATGGTTCTGAAAATATATGATTAGGTTATTAGCCAATAGATAATTAAACACATTGCACGTTGCTTAGAAGATTAAATGATGCTATAACAAATGACATCATTGTCAAACTTATTGAAACGCTGAACAATTAGAAAAGCTTTTTACAGAATTCAAATTTGCATACCGATTATATACAATCGTTAGATTTTGAGGCCACACAATTACTAACATATGTTCTATTAGTTTTCATACGGCTTTCTCCGACATCAAGTCCTTGCATCTGAAACAAATACCTTGCTAACTAATCTCACATGGGCTGGTAACCAGACAAGAGACCGTGGTTTGGGATCTTATTGACTTTCCTCTCCCCCTGGATAAATATGTATATTCAATCCTATCCCACCTTCTTTGTCTTCACTTGACCTCTGCCTAATAAACTTTTTCAGTCACACAGCCTGTTGTTCAGTATTTCCTAAGTTAAACTACTTACTTGTAACTTGTTTGACAGGGCTCGAGGCCTTGCCCTCTCTTCCACTTGTTCCAACAGCACTGATTGTGATAACGTATTCCACACCGGGATTCAAACCCTCGACCTTATGTTCAGTTTCTCTGACATCGTCAGTTTTGGTTTTATCACCTTGCTTTGGTTTTGTTGACACTCGATAGAAACCGGCACCTGTGGGTAAGAAATATTTTACCGTTGTAATCAATCAATCAAATCGTTTATTATTAGCCATTCGGGAAAAGCACAATGAAATGAAAGCAAGAGAGATCACAAAATAGTTGTATCTATCCAAGTCTTTGAAAGGAATGAAAAGGATAACCGCCAAATGACCATTCGTGAAACTTATTCGGTAACATAAATCTTGATGCTAAAATTCCAAACACGATATTAATACTACTCACCGTTCACAGATTTCCATTTGAGACTCATAGTGGTAGTTCCAACTTCAGTAACTTCGACGTCAGATGGCTGTAGAGGAACTGAAATAATGAATAGTAATAACAGATTTAGCGCTGATGAGTCATTGTTTTAGAAGAGTAATTTAAATTGGATCATTATCGATGCCATCATAGATTTAATCAAAAATTTATTATAAATCTTTTGTTTATAACTTTTTAAAAAACATTCACGAGCATGGCATATAAAACTGCGATATTTTTTGCAGTATATGACTTCGATTTAACTACTTTTTCTTTTAACATTCAAGATACAGGTTTCAAGAAGTGTAAAACTATAGCAATATTATTTCATGGGCGCTCCAGAAGTGTTTGTACCAATATTGAGGTAACTAATTTTGTCCGCCTAATTTACATCAAGTTGTATAAAGGGACTTAAACCTATGGGCAGGGAGTATATCCACTCTGGCTAACACAGACAGTCCCCGAACTCGTGATAGAACTAAAATAAGGAAAATAGGAAAAAAATTATGGCCTAACCCTAACCTGGTACACACACTACGGGAGGTAGTATCTTTTCATGTGAGTGGTAAAAAATCAGGAGATTGAAGATTTCTAACTATTTTTTTCCAAATATTATGAAACATTTCTTGACGGAGACATATTTATTGATGTTTGATAATAAGTAAATTAAATTTGTTGTTACTAAGCATGTAGTCAATTCGAAGTCCGGCACCACTCCTTTCAATTTAACTTTATGGTTAAAAAATACCACAACAGAGGAAGCTATGATCCATCAAAACAGTGACTTTTAACCTTTTTATTTGAGTGGAACTCATTCCAGATTTCTGAGGAACCCTTGTAGAATAGTTTAATTGTCTGTAAAATCTAACAAGTTTAATAATCGTAGCAAACCTGAGAAATATTGAAACAATAAACGTATATTAATATAGACTCTCGAATTTGAAGGTAAACTTGTGGAACATTTGTACCTGCAGGAGCAAAATCATTAAAAATCTGTAAGGAATCTCACCGGTTTGGGCTTCGACTCTCGGGCTCTCTTTGCTTAGTTTTCCGCCAAAACCTTTCGATCTGATGGAGAAGAAATACAAATCACCCGGCACCAGAGCAGGGACAGTAAATGTGGTTTTAGTTGTGTCGACTGTTCGTAAAACTGTGTTAGAACGATCACTGGCTGATCTCACAACTATGGTGTAACTGGAAGCCCCTGTTAAGATAAAGTATGTTGTTACATGGAGATTTTTTCTGTGACGGGAAAACTTGAAATGTGACTTCATGATTGTCTGAAACTGGGAATTTTTCTTTGCCAGTCTCGATTTGAACGATGGTGTGAAATTTGATAATGGCAGTTATGTGAGTGCATTGCATGTGTACTTACTTCTGAATCTGTTACCGAAAGTGCCATATGTTAATTTTGCAATGATTTTTAAGCACACATTTTTCATTAGACTTTAAATTTAAAAATAATCAGTTGATTGGATGTTAAATAAATTAATGCTCATCAAAGTTTAATGATTTTCTCTGTACCAAAACAATAGAAATCTCTTCTCTAGGATTAGTCGAATAATAAACGTCAGTAAACAGTTAACACCAAGTCAAAAGTCCAACCTGTGACGCCAGACCAGCGTAATGTAACAGATGTTGCTGTAGCGTCTTCAACAATGACGTCATCGAGTGCAGCAGGAACTGAAAATATAAAATTCATAGTTGTGGTGAATATTAAATACACTCAAACATTCACTGGCCGTGATCGTTCCAAGATAGCAGACTTTATAGTTAAGCTTTTCTCAACTGGGAAATAATTTATTCTCAGAGAGGAACCTCATTGTTTATGATGAGAAGAATTTACTTTGTATATGCGTGTGATATTACTTAATATAGTATGCAAAGTTTAAAAGAATAATATTGAGTACACATTTCACTGGGGAAGGAGTTGCGGGTCAGAACCCCCGTTTTGAAATGTAATAAAAAATTCATTTTTTGTATCATTCATAGCCATTTTTCGTCGCTTGAAGCGCTTTTTAGACCCACACGACTTTTCAAAACCTACGTTTTCCTGGCTGTTGTAGTATTTCTTTTGTACATATTTTTCCCACGTACACAATGAATTGAAAAATTCTCACAATGTCAAATTTAATTTTTTCAATATTTTAGTGGGACACTTGAAACTTCGAGTTATTGCATAATTTGTTAACAACAGTTTGACAAAAGTTAGGATTTTATGCTTGTCTGTCTGAGTCTGAGTGTTGACGAGGGCCACACTAATAGACTTGGCGGGCAGATTTGTTGCCCACGGCCGGCCTGTTGTACACCCCTGTCCTAGATAGTTATATAGTTTAATGTTTGGTTATATAAACATTATACACTCGTGTAATTTTCAAGAAAAAGAAAAATACTGGCATCACGTACCAGTAGTCTGTTTCAATTCTTGACTCGGTCTAGATTTGCGTCCACTAGTACCGACTCCAACAACGGTGATGGTGTAAGCCACGCCAGGTACAAGTTGATTAACAGTATAGTCCGTGTCATCTGAGATGAACGTTTGAGAAGTCTGTTTCCCTGATTCTGTTGGTCCGGTTTGGCCATGGATTGTTACTTCATAGAATTTAGCACCTGGTGGAATTGTGTTGTCAATTAGAGTATGATCAGGTTAGAACAGATTGGTATCCTAATTATGATCTATAATTTGTCATCCATTACAAAAGGAAAGGCGTTCCGGAAGTATGTGTACCAATGAAGAGGTAACTAATTTTGTTCGTCTACTTTACATCAAATAGTGTAAAGGGATTGAAATCTATGGGCAGGGGGTATATTCATTTGGCTAACACAGACAGTCCTGAACTCGTAATCAGAATAAAATTATGGCCTAACCTTAACCTGGTACATATACTACAGGAGTTTCGAAAGCCTATAAAATAGTAATTTATCTTGTCTATCTAATTTTATTGACAAAAGAACTGCTACACAAAACCCATGTGGGCGGATACAGTCTTAGATAAGAGACATAAACCATTATCCGATAACTGAATTAATTCCATCCAATTTGGGCTCACACACTCAACTGGCTTTACTATACAAGGATAATACAAATTTCATAACTATTTAATTGACAAATAGTGGAAAGCAAACATTTAGTTTAGTGTCATAGGTTGTTTGAAAACACTGTTGTTTTCTAAATCAAATTCCATATTTCGTTCAAAAGTGCATATTATAAGGGGTAAATGTAGTAATATATTTGTACATACCGCTCACTGGTTCCCACTGGAAAGATATAAAAGTTGTTCCCGTCTTCGTCATAAGCAGTTTAGATGGAGATAATGGAGCTGGAATAAAATAAGATAGTAAAATGGAACAAGTTGTGCTCCATTAATCCAAGTCATGAACTTTTTTTAATTACTTAAAATAAATTTGGGACAACCAAATCATGTGATACATGGCAACATCGTTATGCATTGTTGTTTGACATGGCTTGCACTTTTCAAACTTTGAGCGAGATGAAGGGAATGGAATTTGGCCCATTCTTTCTTGTTTAACGATAATATTTCATACCAGTTTGCTCTCTTAGTTTATCACTTTGTTTTGATTGCCTCTTCTTTCTTCCGACAGCCAAAACAAAAACTTTGTAAAACTGCCCAGGCGATAGAGCTTTAATTGTAACCTGTGAACATAAAGTAAGTATAAATAAATTGTTGACGTCAGTAGCAACTTCTTTTTTAAAAATGAGAAAATCTAATGCAAATTTAACACTCGGTGATATGCCTCGGTCAGTCGTAAAATGCCTTGCTATCTTAAAAAGACCCAACTTGTTCCACTCTTCCCATCTGTATCACAGGAATCATACATGTCCCACATTTGTCTAACTCGCCCTACTATTATTGTACACGCTTCAGCTGCACCTCCAGTTTAACAGTTGCACCAGGTGTCCCCCTTGCCGTAAGATTCCCACTAGTTTCGTACATGTCACATTCGAACCATGACATTTTTAGGACACTCCAACTTTGTAATGTAACATTTATTTAAAGAATAGAATAAATCATTTACCTCTGCTTCAGTTGAAGTTAATTCACGATTTGTTTTATCATCTCCTTGCACATATATGGTGTACTGTTCTGCTCCTGTAAATTAGAAAGCATCAAATTTAAAGACTTTGAAAATTAAAGACATTTGAAAAGATATGAAAAATTTATATTGTCTAACTGATAAAGTAGAAATCCTAATTTCTCTCATTGAGGAGAACCAAATATTCAGCTGTTTCTCTTGTTAAGGAGACAAGTAAACGTAAAAGAGGCTTATCAGTCAATTACAATTTAGTCATAGTCAAGTTTATTTTTTCAATCCACCAAAAAATAAATAACGTGTAGTTCAAAAGATTAACATTGGATACATATTTCACGGGGAAGGGAAACGGCGAGGAACCAAAGCAAGGTTTGAATCCATAATTGAACATTTTAAGTTCTAACATTTTGTTTGCCTGAGTACTGTTATTATTGATGAACGAAGCTTTAGTAGTTAAAACAACCAATATTGCATAATACAAATTATGTGAACAAATAAGCTTAACTAAATAATAAAGCAAAATAGTGAGCTGAGATTGGAAAAGTATAAATATAACTCAAAAGACATTTTAGATGAAAACATGACAGGTGATATCAATAAGTTATGAAGAATAATAAACAGTGTGCTTATCTGCTCTTGTGTAACAAAACTGATGAGGATAAGCTTTTACAGCTTTTAAAAAACGTTGATTGAATAAGTTTATTTTGAACGCAATTCTTAACAAACAGAAGTAACACGTTCTCACACAACTTTTCAATATTGCCAAAGTTTATTTACAGACAACATGATTTGATTATGTCATGACTGGTGATGCATTGGGTTTTTGAAATGGCTTATTGAAATTTGAGGCAGTGGTACTAATAAACTGACATAATCATTTGGATTGCATTTGTTAGATAGTTTCCAGGGCTATCATTAAGGTTACGATCAGCAAAAGTTTCTAAAATATTGCAATATGAAAAATATTAGGAAAGTTGTAAATCGAAAAATATAGTACCTTTTATTTTAAAGTAAGATGGGTATTGATGATGTCACGTACAATCATCGGCACTCCAGAAGTATGTATACCAATATAGAGGTAGCTGATTTTGTTTGTCTACTTTACATCAAGTTGTGTAAACTAACTGAAACCTATGGGCAGGGGGTATATTCACATGGCTAACACAGACGGTCCACGACTCGTAATAGAAATAAAATAAGGAAAATTGGAATACAATTATGGCCTAACCCTAACCTAGTACACACACTACGGAAGCACGCAATCATTAATTAGATTCTTTCTGTGACCGCATTATGAAAGTCATGTCTTGAAATAAAATTAATAAAATTTCTAAATTATGTCCTTACCAATAACTTCATCCCATTTTAGTGACATTGAAGTTGATTTGATGTCGATGAATTGAAGACCTGTTGGCTTCTCTGGGACTGGAAATGAAAAATCATTTTTAAAAATATGGCTTCACAAAAATTTGAGGGATTTAAATCGATACAAGATGGTGGCTATTCAAAATTATCGTCTGAATCGATTTGTATAATTTACTATTCGATTCGATTGGAACATTCGATTTGAAATACCAAGCCCTAATAATAAACTCACATGTTGTTTCTGTGACAGCTGCGGCTGCTGTACTTTCTCTCCCGCTTGTTGCTACGGATACGACACGTAAAACGTACGTCTTTCCTGGTGTTAGTTGCACCACCGAGTGTTGAGTTTTCTGTACCTCGTCTGTTCTCCAGATGGAGCCAGAGCCCTGCTCGCGTACGATAACTTTGTACAATTTGACCCCTGGAAATAAAAATGAGAACCTTATTACGTTCCTTGCATATAGAAATACTTTGATCGAGTAATGTAATTGACCTGGAATCTTAACGGGTAAAAAGCAGGTATTTCACCGCGAAATCTGTAAATAATTGGAATAACGAGCTGATTCGTGTCATGTGCAAAATTGAATCTCATGGAGAGTTTGGTCAGTTCGCGGGCCACAATAGTGCTAAGAACTTCACTCGTTTAACTATGCTAGTTGCCTCAGCAAGCCATAACACTAGTCATTTCTGTGACATCAGTGATGCAACAATACGTCAAAAGATTTTTTGGTTAATTTATGATGAAAAAACACAAGACGAATGCGACGAGGACCACAGATAATGAAGCAACGAGCCACATGTGGCCCGCGGGCCTGGGTTTGGACCACTCTGGTTTATAGGATAATTCTTCCTTTCAAATTGTTTTTTTAGATTAGGGGTGTGCAACAGGTAGTCTGCGGGCCACAACCTGGCCCACCAAGCCCTTCAGTGTGGCCCACCTAGATGTCGAAAGTGGGTTATATGATCCACCAACAAAAACTTTTGCACACCCCTGCGTTTAGATAGTCACAATAAAACTTCAAGATAGTGGGTAGCGTATTTGAAAGAGTAAAACTAGCTTTAAAATCCTAGATTTGGAAGAAGAGTTTTTACTCTGTTATGCTGGTGGGATGGAACTTTTTTCTTGATTAAAAATAGATGAAAAAGTTCGAAAATTTTCAAAACTTGAGACTTTTACCTCTTACTTTGTTCCAGCTGAGGTCAATAGCTGTAGTGGTTACTTTTTCAGATTTCACACCAGTTGGAGATAACGGAGCTAGAAAATAGACAAATCAGTTATCAAAAATGAAAGAGCAAGTTTTTATTCAACAGGTACACCAGACGAATCTAATCTATGATTTAACAAGATCTTGGTGAATATTGGATTATGTGGAGAAGCATGCAAGATTGGTAAATAACAAGCAGGAAGCAAATGGGATTTGGATCTAGCTAAAGACAATTTAAAATACCAGGAATAATGGCATAGAGCTATAGAAAATGATCACAGAGAAAATAAAATTTAATAATTTAATATGAAAAAGGTATGAAAGTTTGATAATCCCTTGAGAATAGTGGTTCTCACAAAATTTTTTGTTTATAGTAAAATTAAAAGGTTTGCTCTGTCTGTTTGTCGCCATTTGAGAGACAAACTTAAGACCCAGAGTTGACGAGATTTCCATGGCGACCAATTTAGTCGCAATTTCGACCTCTGTTCTACATAACGCTCCAAACTCAATTTGAAAAATGCTGGGCTAGGCAATTTGCCTCGGAAAATATTCAAAATTTATGATAAATTTTATTCTTACTTGTCTGTACTTGAATCTCGGGACTTTCTCCGCTCTTCTTTCTGTCTTTCCCAATGACAGTGACTGAGAATATGTAAGTTGACCCTGGTTGTAGGGACGTCACCACAAGTGAGGACTTCTTGGTATCGAGAGACTTCACAATCTTACCACTGCCAGGTAAACGCATAAGCAAAGTGTACATTGAAGCACCTGTAAGAAGTTGGAATAAAGTGAATCAAAATCCCCAAATTTATGGGAATCGCCACTTTTTCAAGTAACTTGCAGTAGCATGGCATCGTTTACTGGTCTTAATGCATCGCAGAAGAACCGCAGTCACAATTGTTTTTGTTCTTTGTTTGAATTCTAGTTTGTATAAAGTATTGCCATGAACTTCTTTTGATCATTGTCTCACATTTTAAAATCGATTTGAAAGGCATTTCCCGATTTTACATTGTGTCATTATTTTATCGTGTTCTTAACTCTTTTTAGTGGACAGGCGCGTACTTGTAGTACATTTTAAACTTTTTATTAAATTATGCCCGTCCTCCTGGTCTTCTGCATTTTGTTTGTTTGTTTGTTTGTTGTTGTTTTGTTGCTTTCAGAGTGACCAAAATAAAATTCATTGATTGATTGATCGCCATAATTTATTGCTAATAGAGTGCTATTATACTACCGTATAGACAGCTGGCATAGCAACAAAGGTAGTACCTGTTATCGGTGTCCATTTCAGGCCCACGTGACTTGTAGACACATCAGTTACATTTAGTTCCCCAATCGATCCAGGCACTGTAATGCAAAAAGAGTATTTGATGCTTTCTATTTATAATATTTTTATTGGAATATTCGAAATTTTCTCTAATTCAGCATTTTTAATGAATCACACACACATTAGACTTCATAATGTTATGTCGTACAATATGGGAGAGAGTGTTTTCTACAACTTGAATTGAAACGTGAAAATGAAGAAATAACGATTGTGGATCAGAATTCAAATATTTATCCTGGAGGAAAGAAAAGCCGATAAAATGGCTTAATCATAAGCAAACTACAGCTCCTCGTCCGGTTACCAGTCCATGTTGGGTATGACCAGTTATTTGTTTTCAGATGCATGGATTTGATGGTGGCATGGGAACAAAATATCTGAATCTGATACCATTTTCTGCTTTTGAGTGAAAATACCCATTAAATGTCAACCAACCTGTTGCCTTTTGTACTGTATCGCTCTTTACACTGCTCACTCCGCTCGTTCCTACAGCAATAGCACTTATGGAATACGTCATGCCAGGAGTGAGTTGACTCAGGGTGAAGAAGCTTCTGGTAACGTTGAAAACACGGAGAGTGTTCCCTGTCGTATCACCTGCTTCCTCAACGAATAATCGGTATTGCTTGATTCCTAGAAATATAAGTTAAGGTGAACATGGTAAAAAGAAAAATTCCTCCAGTATTTCATTCAAGAAATTGGATTTGATGATATTTTATGGATCAATATACGGTAAGTGTAAAGCTTCAGACCAATGGCGAAAGTAAACCTTGAGTTTCAACGATATTGGTTCAAAGTTAAAACCACTACAGACCGCGGGACTCTATGGAAGCTCCTAGAAACTACTGATTTCCTAGATTAGGGGTCTTCAAACTGGGGGACTTCTCAGTTGGTCACAAAAAAGATCAATATGTGTCACGGTAAAGTCATTTCCGATACTAACTTACGTTAAAAAAATTGAATAAAGATATTGTCAATTTTATGATAAGTATTGTAAGTATGGATTGATATTTTTGCATTGTTATAATAAATATATCATTTTTAATTATCTTCAAAAAATGACAAGGCAAAAAGATGGATTCATTTCCAACAAGTTAGAGAAAGAAACATAGAGCAGAGAGTAAAAACAATGACCCAGTAAATATTAGGGTCTCAACTTAATTACATGGACAATCATTTAAAAGTTGATACAATTGATTTAAAAGTGATCATAACTTCTACTGACCATGAACTTTCTTCCAACTCAGTGCAATCGTAGTTGTCGTGACTTCTTCAATTTTGATTGGATCTGGCGATTCCGGAACTACAAAATAACAACAATAATTTCACTTGGTTATTGAGAAAAACACTTTGGAGTTTTCAAATAAAATTGTCATTTATTTAAATTTTAGGGCCAATGTTCTAGGACAACGTACTCCTACGATTTTACAGACTACACACACATGACTTTGAATGATTGACAGTTGAGGTCTTGGTTCAAGTCCGAAAGTAAAAACAGTGTAAAGACTGCTTGAGAGACAGCTATGATGAAAGATTACTAGAGTATACCAGCGTTTTACTTGTTGAAAAAGAAAATATGAGTTTTCGAATTTTTTGAAACAAAGATGTTTTCCATCCGAATTTTATGGTTATGTCTTTTGCGGTGGTAACAGTGGGGGTATATTATACGCCGTCATAAAGTGGAATAAATTATTTCTTAACCCAATAAAATATAAAAATTCTGTACATAAAATATAACACAATTACCTGTCTGTTTCCTTATGATATTACTTTCTTTCTGATTCACTTTTCCATTGGAACCAACAGATTTGACCCAGAATTCATACCATACGCCAGGTGTCAAGTTATCGATGGATATCTGTAGAGTAGATTATAGTCAGTTTCGCACACTTGGCAGAAGCATGGTCAATTTATCAACGGTTTATACAATTAGGAAAGACAGGCTCATAATAATTTCTAGCTCTACTGCAGTTCTTGAAAAGAAGAACCAGAACAATATATATGTAGATATAATATGCATAGGTCAGCTTATGCAACAATCAGCTAAAATAAATAAATCGTCATTAACTATCTAAAAATGGTTAAAAGATTAAATATCACAGCCCTAGTTTTTAATATGTGAAGCAGCGATTCCTAATTGAGGGGGCCATGGCACCCCAAGAGGGCCTCAGGGAAGTTGGAGGGGCCTGCGATACTAGACACAAAATTGAATTAATTTTGTTTGAATATATTTCTGACACTTAGGTTGCTTCAGCTTTACCAGAGTGAATAAAAATGGCCTAGGGACCCTAGAATGTGCGCAATGGGTGCTTCTCATTTTTGAAATATTAAACAAGGAGCCACAAGTGCTAAAATCCTCTGGAAGAGGGCCACGAGACCTAAAAAATTGATACCACTAGCTTACTGCCAGCAGACTTAAATTGAAAAGAAAAAAAAACGATGCTGTGTATATATATTGATATTTTCCCGAGGTGTGACTGGCCTTATACTGAAAAGTAGGGACACTTCCTCCATAATTTTTTTTTGAGATAGAGCCAGCTTCTCGAAAAGAAGGAATTTCACTATGTCTAACTTACCACAGTGCCTTTAGTCTCAACTTCTGAACTGGTTTTGTCGTCTCCTCGAATACTGACAACGTATTTGAATGCGCCTGGTAATAAAAGTATTAAAAAAATATTGAATATGCTTACATCTGGGCGAATATAAGGTCTAGAAAAAGGCACCGTGAATAGACAAAAAGATCAAGAGAGTGTATTTTGAAAAATGAGGAGAAATCATGAGTTATAAAGCGGTTTCAACTTTTCCCGATTTGTTATGGGAATTATTAAATGAAAAAATACAAATGAAAACACGGTGATAAAGATACCATCTTACCTTCAATATATTGCCATTGTAGATTAGCAGTTGTTGAGCTGATATCTATGAGCCTCAAATCAGATGGTTTTGCAGGAGCTGAAAAAAAAGATTGAAATGAAATGGGTCGTTTCTAACAGCTTTATACACAGTAAGTACATGCACAACAGGTGAGAAAAAACAACAAGTTTGACTTTCAGATTGTCTGTTTATACATTTAAAATAAGTTTTATTCAGTACAATGTTTTACAGTATATAAGGCACACGGGCTTATAAGGCGCACTGTTAATACATTGATTGGATTGGATTTTTATTCATACATAAAGCACACCAGGCTATAAGGCTTAGTCGATTAACCGGAACTGGTTTATAGTGTAGGCAATAAAGCACTACCTGATCCATACATTAGGCTTATAAAACGCATGATTGATTTAAAAAATTGCTCTACTATTGCCGCCATGACGTCATCTAATCATATACTCTCAAAATAACAATTTTTAAAAGAAATCTGAAGAAAACAATATAATTTTCATTCTTAAAATCTGAGCAACCAACTTGTCGTTTCCAAAATCAATCTCGATGATGTGCTTTCCCGTCCACCCGTGGAAACTGAAACCACAGTGAATAAGTATTTTGTCCCAGGACTGAGTTTCTCTACAGTGTGACTGTTGGTTCGAACTTCCACAACTCGATGAACAACTCTGAAGGGTTCTGTCAGTCGAATGATGATCTTGTAGTAGGAAGCCCCTGGGTAAGAAAAAAGCATTGATAAAATAAGAAATCACAAATCAATAGTAAAGTAAAAAAGAACTTTATGGAATAGGAAAGTATATACTGGTAAAGTGTACCTATGGTAGCTTATCAGAAGGATACGATTTACATATTTATCCCAGGGGAGAGGAAAGCCATACGACGGCTTAATCATTAGCAGAACCACGGCCTCTCGTCCGGTTATCAGTCAATTTTGGTTATGGTATAATTTTACCAGTTATTTTTTTTCAGATGCATGGACTTGATGGTGGAGGAGGCCATAACCAACCAGCATTTACGTGAACCACCTTAGGGCTGCAAGGAGTCCTGAATTCCTCTCACACATATTTATTCCCCACGGAATTCGAACCTGTGAAACCCACGTAGGGTAATCAGAGATGCGGTGGCAACCAGAGTCAGAAGAAAAATACCAAGAAGGACAGCAACAACAACATAATAACAAAACGATCCATATGTACATTTAGTGTCCAAAAAATCTATATAATTATCTCACCTTCACTCTCGTCCCAACTCAGGTCCATTGTTGTTGTCGATACATTCGTGATTTCGAAGTTGGTAGGAGGAGAAGGCACTTGGAATAAAAAGATTATATTTAACCAAATATTAATAGCGGAAACCTTTGAGAAAACTCATTTGGACTGTTCAAGGGTTTTTTGTTCTTGTTGTTAGTCTTGTTAAGATGCTTCGGATTTTTGTTGCTGAAGACCTTAGTTTGGCAACTCTTCAGAAAGTCACATTTTCAACCCAGTAAAACCTTTAACTACAACTACAGTAATCTCCAAGTCACATGACTTATTTTGTCCAATCACAGCACGCAATTCAATTTTGGGAGTGCACAAAGGATGTACGATTTCACATAATGGAATACGAAAGGTTTGCTAGAAGATTATAAATTGCATTTTTTCCCAAATCATTTTTGAGGCCTAAGAGACCAATATTTAACCAAAAAGTTTTTTTTTTCAAATTAATGGAGTCCTGTTTTTAAGATTTACCCTTTTTGTCCCTATCTTTTATCATCGCTCTTTGGCTAACTTGAACATCATCTATAGGAACAACAATTTATGAGATGCCACAAACATGAATGACATTTTTTCACGTTATTTGTCCTGTTCTCAAAAAATACGTAATTCAAAGATAACACACACCAGTCTGAAAGCTCAATTCTTCGCTGCCTTCATAGTTCATGTTGCCATCAGATCCAACGGTGAAGATCTCAACATTAAACCAGGATCCCGGAGCTAGTTCTTTCAGTGTAATCATTGAGCTTTTCGATTTGAATGTTTTCACTCTTCCATTTGATTGGCTGGTAACGTTGATGATGTAATGTTCAATTCCTGAAATACAATTGTTTAGATTGTGTAACATATAGTGCTAACCGCTATCTAATGACCTATCTATTGTAGAAAAGCTGTATATAACTGTTATCATATTTTTGTCGACAATTCTCCTTCTATTTTCAGTGGACGAATTGTGATCTCACTTTAAATAACCAGTCGGAAGACGAAGCCTGGAGTTAGAAATCATGACTTCACAGTTTCAGAAATTTTCAAAGGGGGTGTTTCTATAATTTCTAATAGCCAAGTTAGAATGTATAAGCTAGCGAGTATGGCCGGAAAATCGAAAGTGTGAGTATCAAGAGTCTTAAGGGTATAGAAACACATGGAAATTGCCAAGTATGCTACAGAAAAAAAACTTTTTTTACTTTTCAAAAGGGGATCCAACCCACAATCTCTTCCCGTCAGAACATGACTCTGTTCCAGGTTCCGACCTCATCAAAAGCATAAGGTAGCAATTCAAGCGAGAGTAATTGTTGTACAGATTGTGCAGATGGAAAAGTTTGATAATACTGTCAAATATATTTTATATTAGTACTAAACCAAATCTTTACCTTCAACGGCGTCCCATGTAAACATTGCTGACGAATCAGTAACTCCAAGAAGAGTGACGGTTCCCACTTTTTCCGGCACTGGTAAAAAGATTTAAAATGCTGGGATTATACAGGGTGGTCAGGGTACAGAGAGCTATTTATTTCTACAAAGAACAACTTTTACAAAGTTTTTCAAAGGCATATGTTATGTTACACCCATAGATACTCAAAATGTTGTCCGTGCACATCAGAGCAGTGTCTTAACCTGGAAATCAAAGCTCGTGTAGTGTTATAAAGGTTAACTTGTGGGATATCATTCCAAAGCTTGTTTTCAAATCATCATTTGTAAAAATGAACAGCTGTTTCACAAATTTTCTGTTTTTCTATCCCTGCTGGTTCTGTATTTTTTTGATTCAGATATTCATTGAATATTGTGTGATTGAGCAGAAAAATGAAAAGCCAATTGCATAACAGACAATATTTCTACCTAAATTTTGAATGGTCTTTAGAGTGCTGCCAGTTTAATAATAGTGGCAAACCTAAAGGGTATTTAAATAAAATCTAACCATATACATATAGTCATAGACTCTCGAATTCGATTGAAAACTTGCAGAACCCAAGGACTGTACTGCTGGAATAAAGTGTACAGCGAAACCCGGTTGAAATTTTTGTGTTGATGAATTACTGCTAGAGTCAGGGATGTCCAACCTGCGGCCCGTGGGCCGCATTGCGGCCCACTTAATGTTTGGATGCGGCCCACTAACGAATCATTAAAAAAATTTTTTTTAGCAAATTTATGAAGTAATGAGCACGAGAGTCTTCATGTAATTTAGTCAAAATATATTTATTGTAATTTAGTCAAAAAATACTTTATATTTAATAAATAAAATAATTGTAGCGACCAAATTGAAACTCCCGTATGTATTTTTTCTCGCGCTCTGGTGCGCCGCCACCAGCTACTCGCCATGCCGTTCGCAAGTCTTTGTTCTCGACAGTGTTGTTTTGGCTGTGGCGGTGTGCAGACTATATCTCTCAAAAGTAAGTGCTTAATCATTTAAATTTTCTTTATTGTTGAAATAAATGCATTTTCAGTAAACTACGGCTCAGTACACCTATTAATGGTTAATTTCTTTTTCAGAGAACTATAATCTTAAGTAATGAAAATTTTATATTTATATGGCCATGGAATCTATTACTAAAAAAAGGAAAATAGCAGAAGAAAAGAGGAAATTTAATATCCAATGGACGGAAAAATATTTTGTGACCGAGTTATTTGGCAATATAACATGTCTTATATGTAATGATAAGATTAGCGTATGCAAGGAATACAATGTCAGACGTCATTATGTTTCGAAACATGAGTCAGAATATCAGACATTTAATGAAGAAAGAAGAAAAACGAAAATTGAAGAATTGACAAAGGCAATTAGCTCACAACAAGCTAATCTTCAAAAACATATTGTTAAAAGTGGAACATGTACAAAAGTTAGTTACCCTATAGCTGAGAAATTAGCTAAGAAAGGAAAACCTCTTATTGATGGAGAATTAATAAAAGAATGCATTGTTATTGCTTTTAATGAGTACTGTCCAGACAAGGTGAATTTAGTAAAGGAAGCATGTCTATCACATCAGACAATTGGCAGAAGAATTGATGACTTGGGTGATAATATTGAAGGCATACTGCAGGACAAATTATCTGCATGCGTTCTTTACAGTTTAGCGTTGGATGAAAGTATTGACCAAAGTGATACTGCACAATTAGTTATTTTCATTAGAGGAATTGATGAAAATTTCAATATTATTGAAGAAATGTTGGACTTGTGTCACATAAAGGGCACAACAAGAGGCAAGGACATATATGAGATTGTTAATTTGTCATTAGATAAATTCAGTATTGATAGGAAAAACATTTATTCAATTACAACTGATGGTGCTCCTGCCCTGACTGGTCAACACAATGGTTTTATTAGTTTATTTAAAGAATCTGTTGATCATGAGATTCTCAGTTACCATTGCTTGATACATCAACAACAATTATGTGCTCAAAAGCTAAATATGAAACATTTGATGACTGATCTTGTCAAGGCTGTTAATTTCATCAGATCACGGGGTTTAAATCATCGGCGCGGCGGTGTGGCTCAACGGGCTAAGCGTTAGGAATACGCTCGCCACCGCACCTCTAATTACTCTGCGTGGGTTCGCAGGTTCGAATCCCATGCAGGGATGGTTATGTGCGAGAGGATTGCTGGACTCCTCGCCGTCGTTGGGTGGTTCACGTAACCGCTGGTCGGTTACGGCTTCCTCCACCACCAAGTCCATGCTTCCGAAAACAAACAATACAGTAAAAACCAATCCCATACCCGACTTGGAATGGTAACCGGACGAGAGGCCGTGGTTCGCCATATGAATAAGCCGTCTTATCGGCTTTCCTCTCCCCCGGGATAAATATGTAAATCCTATCCTATCCTATCGCGAATTTAAAGCATTCTTGGACGAAGTTGGCAGTGAATATGAAGACGTAGTATATTTCTCAAAAGTTAGATGGCTCAGTAAAGCAGCAACCTTAAAAAGATTTCAGTTATTGTTGCCTGAAATAAAAGTGTTCTTGGAAAAAAAGAAGCAAAATGTGGATTTTTTAGAAAATGAAGAATGGTTGAATGATTTATCTTTCTTTGTAGACATCACCGAAGTATTAGCTGAACTTAATTTGCATTTACAAGGAAAGGACCAATTATGTTCCTCAATGTTTGAGCGAATAACTAGTTTCACAAAGAAATTGGAACTTTTTATAGCACAGCTAAAAGCTGGTAAAATTGTACACTTCCGTAGTCTATCTGAAAGAGAAAAAAAGTTTTCTGTAAACTATGAAAAATATACTAAATTATGTGAGGATTTGCTTGGAGAGTTTACGATTAGATTTTCTGACTTTAGAAAGATTGAAATTGAGTTAAAATTGTTTAGTGATCCATTTTCATTTGAATATGATAAAGCACCAGTGGAGTACCAACTTGAACTGATTGAGCTGCAAAGTCGGGAAGGTTTAAAAACTTTTCACAGGGAGAACACACTTCCTTCATTTTATAAGAAATTGCATTCTCTCAAAAATGAATTCAATCAAATTCTAAATTTATCCAGAAAATTATTATGTATGTGGGGAAGTACATACTCTTGCGAGCAGTTTTTTTCAAGCATGAAAAACATTAAAACTGCAGAAAGAAACAGGTTGACTGATAGACATTTAGCAAACATTCTTAGAATTAAGAATGCATCCTTCGATGCAAATATTGAAAACATTATGGCTGGAAGACAAAGTCAAAAGTCTCATTGATTTAATATTGATTAATTAAATTTAATGTGTTTTTTATGTATAGCTACATATAAACATTACAATATTTACAACGTTGTAATAATGTAAATAAACTGTATTCACGTGGTTTTGTTTTATATTGTAATTTTTCCATTAAATTGTATTAAGAGGTGGTTTTGCGGCCCAGTTAAATATTTAAGTTTGCAATGCGGCCCATTGAATTAAAAGGTTGGACATCCCTGTGCTAGACGATGATCAAGAAATATGACATTATCGCCTAGCACCTTACGTTGTGGACATTCTTGAAGGACATTCAAATAGTGAAGCTGGTCCGCTAACTTGTATGTTGCTGGATCTACTTTTCAGTTGAATTGTATAATTTGCGTAATTGCCTCATTTATGAATATTGAATAAACACTACATAAATCACATTCCTACCTGTTGTTTCGTTCATGTACACTTTTCCATGACTGACTTTGCCTTGTTGATTGACAGTTTCGAATTGAAATGAATACTGAGTTGCAGAATCAAGTCCAACAATCTCTATGCTGTTTGTACGAGTCTGGAACTGGAACCTGTGAATGATTCAAAACTTGATAGCCAAACATATGAAATTGTCAAGAACGGAGAGTTATAATGGAAAAATAGTATGTTATATAGAAAAGAAGCAATGGATATGATAGGATTTACATATTTACCCAGGGAGAGGGAAGGTGATAACACGGCTTAATCATATGGTGAACCACGGCCTCTCTTCCGGTTAGCAGTTCATGTCAGGTATGGGATGAGTTAGTAGTTTAATCAGATGCATGGACTTGATGGCGGGGGAAGCCGTAATCGACCAGCAGTTATGGGAACCACCCTACGTGCCGAGGACTCCAGCAAGCCTCTTGCAAATAATTAGCTCCCACTGGATTCAAACCAGTGAACCCAAGCAGGATAATCAGAGATAGGTGAGCATATATCTAATGCTTAACATGATAACATAACCACCGAGCCATGTCGTTGATGTTATGTCAATATCATTATGAAAACTTGCAAAAGTTTAAAGAAGTTTTAGAATTAATTACTCTTCTTTGGCATTGATAAACGAAATATCCATTAAACTCTTAAATACTTCAAGATTTTGTTTAGTAGCGGAGAATTAAATTGAAGCGGGATGTGAAAATGAAACGTAATGTCCTATAACAAAACCCGGATGTAATAACACAAAAAAATGATGTCCTTAAAATATATTGCCACAATAATTAAACATGATGTAACATCATAACATCATAGACCAGAGATCATATAACCCATTTAATTTTTTCAAAAATATATTACAGAATGTACTGTTTTTCGATAATTACTGGAACTTTACAAAATAAAATTATGTAAATATTTAATCCTTCTAACCATGCTCGTTTATCTTTCACAGCAACTTCAGAAGGATTTATCTTGAACTGTTCCAACTTAGATGCTTTCAGACCGTCCTTCTTAATTCCCGATTCTCCCTCCCAAACAACGGTTTCGGCTTCTGGGATTTCTTGTGAACCAAATCTGTTGACAAGTTCGTCTTTAACACTCCATATGATGGTTACAACATAGAAATCGGCACCTGAAAATGGAGAAAGTGGTGATGTTAACTTAATTGTTTATACATGGGGCTGTTTTTTTTTTTGGAATTTATGGAAACCCTATCTATTATTTTGTTTATACGAGTTTGTTTATATTTTTGTGTCAAGATTTAAATCAAAAATATAATAATAGGAAGAGTTGGAAGCGACTACAAATAGGTTTATAAAAATTCCAAACCCGTTTTTTTATTCTTTTGTTTTGCTCAAACCGAATGCTCAAACCATACATCACAAATGGAAAGAGTACTGATCGCAGAGTTGCAAAATATAACTGGCATGATAATATATATAAAGACTTATATAAAAGTCCATTTCGAGAGAAACACATTTGCGCTACGAAATTCTTCAATGCAGCAGTCGCAAAGTGAAAGAGCATAAATCAAGAAACAGAGTCAAGTGCTACTGTAATATATCATCGTATGAAAATCCAGTCGAACAATGTGCATAAAATTTCTCGTAATCATACCTTCCATTTCGTTCCATCCGAACTTCACAAAAGTTGTTCCTATTTCCGACATTTTAACATTGCTTGGGCGAAGGCAAACTATAAAAAAAAGTTAACATAAATGAAAGTTCGAGAAATCAGCATGTCTAAATTTGCAAAGGACGGATTTTATTTCTGCAAAATTTTGTTCTCACTTGATTATATTTCCTTTCCCACTTATTATACGACGAAACCAATTTAAAATTACAAAGCCAAGTTTAACTTTCTCATATTATTAAACAAAGATAGTTTATTCAGTGACCAGTTGTATGTCTTTTGGGTTATGGTATCATAAAATATTTAAAATATGTAATGAAATGGGGTGTCTCAAAAATGTCGCATTCGACTTGTCCCACATGTATCATTTGTCCCATGTATCCCACTTCTGCCACACCACACACAGATGGAACAAATGGGATCAGTGGGGCTAGTGTAAGGCGAGGCAGACAAGTTGCAAATGGAGCAAGTGGGACAATAGAGACAATTGTGGAAGACGTCATTTTTGCGACACCGAAACGTAATAAACTCCTTCCATAAAACACACTTGCAGCCGCAAAAATGATATAACGCGTTGATATAGAGATGAACACGTACTTGTTTGTAGCTCCAACATGTCTGTTGCGACACCATTTCCACGATTTTTATCATCTCGAGACTGAATATTTATTTTGAACCATTTTCCTGGCTTGGTTCCTTTTTCCGTCCATTCTGTTCTTTCAGTTATTCTTATATACTTAGCTCCAATCTCTGGTGTGATCTCAACAACGTAGGATGATGCACCTGTAAGGATTGGCAAGTAAACGTATTTATTGCATTTTTATGTATAATAATATGAAATCGAGGATTTTTGAACCCTAAGTTTTATTGAGCTAACGTTTTTATGGAATGTTGCAGGCTCTCAAAAAAGCTTTGAAAAGGTAATTACCGTCAGGATGGAAAATACTACGTTTTTGAGAGGACTGGGTATCTTTTTAGTTTGACCACATCTTCACTTCTAAAAAAGACTCTTGAAAAGCAATCGCATGTGGGTGAATAAGTCTAAGCTTTAAAGCTATTTCCGGTTTGACCGAAAGCCCTTTCATGAGATATTTCACACATTTACTTCGCCTCAAATAAGGCTCTTTCCATGCAATTTCCCATGAGTGGGAAAATAATCATTCGAACAGATAGAATCATTTTGGTTGAGTATTGCCTACTCAATTTATTACACAAAGGTGAAGCGGCGTATACCTTTTTTTCGTGTTTAATCTCATCAATATTCAATTACTACAAGAATGATGTAGTAGGAGTTAGTTTATCATTGAAAAAATAAAAAAATAACTGACCTTTAACCTCTTCCCAGTCAACCGTGAACACATCTGTTTCAACATTCATCACCACCGGTGTATTGGTGTGGCTAGGAACTGTAAAAAAATATATCGAAGTAAATCTTGGGGCGTCCAAAATGAATCGAATAATCAAATCTATTTCGATATAAAATAACCGCAGTCAAACAGGTGTCAAATTTTAGAATGGATTTAATTCAAAATTAATTATTTTTTTTTATTATTGAGTGTAACTGAACATGAGTTCATTTGAATTCCGGAAACTGTTGAAAATATAATAATTTCACAGAATTATCCATTTCAACTCTCCAGCTTAATATCCAAAGTTACTCGATGTATTTTATTCAACATCATATAATTGAGAATATATCCAATATTTCAAATTCTATTGCAGTGGGTGACCGTACATTTGAACTCATGTACATTTGAACCCATGTGTATATCCACGGGTTCAATCTATATGCGGGTGCTAAAACCCATGGGTTAGGGTTAGTATGGGTTCAACTATCCGAAAAACAAAAAAAAATCCATAGGTGCAATAGCATACAGGTGCAATTGTCATGGGTTCAAATGTACGTGGGTTCAAATGTAATGGAACCATTGCAATGATCTAACTTAAAATAACTACGTACTGGTGTTCTCAATCAATGATTTGCTCTGTTGGGTTCGAGATCCAGTTTGGCCGATTGCAAGGACCTTGATTTCATATTTTGTTCCAGGAGTGAGATTGGATAAGTTGACACTCGTACTTTCAGTGTTCACTGTCTCCTTTCTTGTTTCTCTGTCATCGTCTTGCCAATTGTAGGTAAGTTTATATGAAGAAGCCCCTGTGTTACAGGAAAATAAACATAGGTATGTGTTTAGTGAAGTGATATCCCATTTGGAAATAGTGAAGAGTCAAGTGACGCGGCGGTGTGGCGCATCGTGCTAAGCGCTTGGAATATGCTCGCCACCGCACCTCTAATCTAAGTTCGCAGGTTCAAATCGTGTGGGGGATAATTATGTGCAAAAGGATTGCTGGACACCTGATTATTTTTATTAATATTTCTTGACGTTTGACACTCCCATAATATATAAGGCTCTACACAAATAGATAAGAGAGTATAGAAGAGTTGAATTGTTGTGTTTTTGTACAGCTTATGGGTTAGTGAGAATTGGATTCATAACAAAAATTTTTATCAGCATAGTCGAGCACTGATCAATATGAACAACCCCATCCAATATCATAATCAAAATATATTTAAACCATCAACTGAACATTTCACAACATATGCAAATAAATTTTGAAAGAAATTATAGATTCTGAGATAGAGGTTTTGAACAAGGTGTTGCAAAATTTATTTTGTTTCATTTTTTTGTTATAATTATAGTTATGGTAGAAGCGACCAGGAGGTTGACTATATAGTACGGAAATAAATGAAAAATACATAAGTGTGCATATTTTCAGCCCTCTTACCTGCGCTCTTGTCCCATATAACAGTAATATGATCCATCTCCACCGTCTTTGCACGAACGTTTGCAGGGATTAGAGGCACTGTAAACATTTTTATAAAAATTAGTAGAGAAATGAAAAACTAAAACCCCAAGGCCATGTACTTTAGTCTAATGTGGAATATTCAATTGATTCTAGATTTCACTTTGAGAAGGCTTTGTACAATGAAGCATTCAATGATTGAGAGCTGCTAAGTTTGAAGAAATTAGCAATTGCGTTTCGATGAAGTTTATTTATGTTCTCTTTCCTAACGAAGAATTAACGGGTATACGATAACAAGGGTAGATATTTTCCACATCCAAGAACATGAATATACATTTACCTAACAATAATGACAGTAACAAATGCAGTGTTTGTAAACAGGATTAAGTGAGAACATCATTGCTAAGAGCGAAGGAAATATCTCAATCAATGAATTGGAATAAATGTTATGTTATGTATTGAAATCATAAATTAAAGGAAGCTTCCAATATAATTCTTGCGTGACATTACCTGTCTGTTCATCCAACAGATCGCTCTCCTCGCTCTTCTCTCCGCCCGATCCAACAGAAACCACAGAGAAATCGTACCATTGGCCTGGTTCCAAATCTGTGACAACGATCTATAAAAATGTAGAGGTGATCACGCTGTGCCAACTATAAAAGTGCCCAATGTCCAATTTGATCACAGTGTTGACACAGATATTAATTAATACAGAAAATTAACTTGTGGACGCAGTCTTTTTATTATTATGCTCTGAGATGGCACCTTCAGAAACGAATATCACTCTCTGTGAACTCCAAATCCTCATTAACAACAGCCTACTTGAAGAAGAGCAATTGAGTTCAATCCTCAATGCCTTCACCTCATATATCCTTGTCCAGAGCAAGGTTTAAAAAGGAAGTGTGAAACCCTACATTAAAAAACACTCAGCATCGTTAAATATCAGTGATGAAAAATTATTATTTAAAAAACAAATGAAAGTTAAGTTACTTTAGTTTTAGTTGTTTCTTGGCTCTTTTTTTCGTCGTCCTTTACATAGTACAAGATGTATTTCACGGCACCTAAATATAAAAACAGTGCATTTTCAAACCGTGATCTATTAAAAGTGATTGGGCAATCAAGTATAGCATGTAATGCTATAGATAAGATCATTTGCAAGAAATATTGAGAAAATTGCTGGTAATCGCAGGATGGTTTACATCAGGGATGCGCAACAGGCGGCCCTCCAAACCAGTTAGCAGGCCCTTGTCAACACTAGTACTAGTGGAGCAGTAACCATGCAAGAGCTTATATTACCTGGTATATCCGCCCACTCCAAGGTGGCTTCAGTGCTTGATATGTCCGTCAGTATTGGTTGCATTGGTGCTTCAGTGGCTGAAAATAATCAAAGATTTAAAATTTGAACTAAATAAATATACAAATTGTTTTATCTAAAACTAAAATAATAATAACTAAAGGGGGTATAACTAAATAAAATTCATTCAATTTTCATCTGATGAATTCAATTAGTACAACTGGGGGCCCCTGTCCCACCAAGAGGGCCACAGATCAGTTAGAAAGGGACCACTATGTCAAGCACAAACTGATTTTATATTTCCCTTAACAAAACTCCCCGTTCTTCCTAGTTTCATTGCTTGATAAGGTATTTCACAAGGTGTTTCTCCTTTGTTAAGCATTAATTGTTTGAACATGATGGAATTTTGAATCTACCAATTAAAGTAACTGTATAAAAACCACTGGAATGTTAAGCAAGGGGGCCATTAATGCTAAAAAGAAAGAGGGTTACGAGAATAAAAATGTAACCACTGCTCTATGCCAACACAAAGCGCATTAAAAATACAATAATATTAAAGCTCAACGGTGAAAACTAAAATTTTGACAAGATATTGTTCAACATAATTATCCAACATCAATACAAGACAAGTAAATGTAGAATCAAATCGGTTAACAATTGCCTTTTCTAATAATCAAAAATCAACTTACAAGTACTAGCCGTCAGTACTTTTGATTCTCTGCTTTTACTTTTGTCTTCCCCAAATGCCGATACAGTAAAGTCATAGACAACACCAGGCTTCAAACTCCAGGCTGTGTATACATTCCCACGAGACGTCAAATTGGAAAAGCTTTTTCCGTCTTGGTTAACGTATACTTCGTAATAGCGAGCGCCTGTGTGGACAAAATGAATATAGGTTTAGAAAAGATAATAAACAAATCTCGGCAAAGAACTTTGATTGTGGCAACAAAAAATATTATTCAATTCTAACAATTAGTCGGTTGCATAGGGTCTCATAAAATAGAAACCATCTTATAAGATGATTTATTACACGTTATATTACCGTGCACTCTTATATATTGTATATTGGTAGGATTTCCTCCATCCATAGTAACGGTTTAGCTATATTAGTGTTCCGAACCTTCATCGACTATAGAATTGTCATGAATCACATATAGTTCATTCAGTGGTTGAACTTGTATTTTCATGTTGATTTTTATCAGGAATATCAAGATGAACAACAGTTAAGTGTTTAATCTTGAATAATTGAATTGTTTTAAAAGATTGTTTTTAGTGTTGGTGGTGTAGGGACAAATAAATATATTTTCTCTTTTGCTATGTTATTAGATATATAGGATGTGTCTCGCAAAAGGCTACTTATTGGTTTTACGTTTTTGCCATGGCTTCACGGTATCATTTGATTTCTGATTATTTGAATAATTCCGCCACTAAGAGCCGTCCAGATATTTGAGCATCGCCCCCTCGACTAACAAAAAATGGTACTGACCTTTTATTTCATCCCAGCTCAAGTTACTGAAGAAGTGTTGAGTTTACAAAAGCAACATTTGAAGGAATCGCAGGATCTGAATGAAATGAAGACTTAGTTCGTGAATTAAGTAATGATTTGGGAAAAAAAAATAGTTTTTGTAAACTTATTGACGATGTGTTCTCCACCTTCTCCAACTTCAAATTTTCACTCAGGTTATTAGTCGTAAGATCAGCGTATTTAAACCATATGACAAATATCTAAGGTTTTACCTGTTTGAGCGGTGACTTCTCCGCTTGGTTCATAATTGATAATGTCACCCGCACCGACAGAATAAGTGTAGAAAACATAATGAGTTCCAGGTTCAAGACCTTTCACCTCAACCTGAACGGGAAGTAAAGTTCAAGATTTATAATACTGTTGAGAATATTTATACATGCTGGAAACCAGCATGAGAAGACTACCATCATTCATCATAGTGTGGTTCTCTAGCAATTGCATCCCAAATTCATAAGGTTGGATAGTTTTTGATACGCACTACCTTTGCGGTAAAATAAACATGTACACAGTTTTACAATGTCAGTGGTTGTCAGTAGTTTTTGTATTTTTAATTTTGGTTTTTGAGCAAGTTGAGTCATTTGACTGCAATATAATTTTCATAGGATTAAGCCGTCTTTTCTCTCTAAGTGAATCGAGAGTTTGTCTATTTAGAGTATGTACGAAGTCCAAAATGGGCTCTTTGCTTCATTATTATAACTCACTATTTCAGTATATTTTAAACAACCGTCACATCAGGCCTACACTGACCTCTGTTTTGTCCACGTTAATCGAACGTTCTTTTACTTTTCCTTCTTCACGTACAGACATGATGTATCTGACAGCGCCTGGAGGAATAATATGTTGATATAAATAAGTGTATAAATTACATGGCCTCTAAAATGAATCGTATTCATGGATTTGAGACATATTCGTCTGATTGGATCCACAAAAATGGAAAAATTCTGAACCTTCCATAACGTTATAGCTCCATACGTGACAGTAATTGATTGTTTTGGGCTTGTTGGGATTGGGGAACGAAAATGCATCTGTATTTTTCAGTGTAACCTATACGATTTTTGAAATATTTATGATTTGAATATTAGCAAGTTTAAAATTATAGTAAGATAATCAAATTATTTCGAACTTTTTCTCGCCTGAAGGCAAAAATTGAAATTTACTGATCAATAGAGAACTAACATTAAAACTTATCGCAGTAAGAATATTGTGATGACATCCCACAACTTTTTGGGGTTAGAATATTGACAATTTTGTAAGTGTTCAAAAATTTTGAGAAGATACTCATATTATTTTTCGGATATTCCGACCAGGGGTCTTTCAATTATTGATTTTAATCATAAAGCCATTGCATCTTTTTGGTTGAGCATTACTGATGAATGTCCATATTATTTTCCGGGTTCCGAAATAAAAAACATTTTTACAAATTACCATTCTCATAATTTTAAACCCAGTCTAGTAACCTTACCTACTACTGGTTTCCATTCAAAGCTGACAGAAGTATCTTTGATGTCCACGATCGTTGGTGGCTTCGGTGCAGCAGGAACTGCAAAATTGAGAATAGGTGCTGAATAAAATTCTATAGGATTTAAAACACCATTTTCTTACTTTTTAATCAAGAATCATAAAAACTTTTATCTGGTGAATATATTCATATAGCATGTCCAATGTTATTGATTTAGAATGTATGAAAGTGTTTTAGTAAGTGCTGCCTTTGACACCCCCATACAAATGTTCGAGTATATTGCAAGTCAAGTAATCTTTGTTTACATTTGCGTCTATTGAGCCGTGGCATTCCGTCGACGGAATCGGCAATTGAATATTATATAGGCAGTGGTGGAATTCAAATTTTTTCAGCCGGTTTCATCACAAAAGTCATATTTTTCAGCCGGTTCTGTTACAAACAGAACATTGACAGTAACCAGTTAACCGATTTTCTGATCTCATAAAATTCCGTGAGACGGTTCTATAGAACCGGTGCAAACCGGATGAATCCCACCTTTGTATATAGGTACTTCCAAATTTGGTGGTGGAAGAAGTGGTTCCTCGAAGTGATTGTGTCTCAGACCAGCATAGAATTTAGGATAGGAAAAGATAGGATTAACATATTTATGCCAGGGGAGAGAAAAGCCGATAAGACGGATTAACCATATAGCGAACCACGTACTCTCGTCCGATGAGATGACCTAATCACACGGGGAACCACGGCCTCTCGTCCGGTTACCATTCCATGTCGGGTATGGGATTAGTTAATTATTTTATTTCGGAAGCATGTACTTTATGCTTATTCCGGGAGAAAGAAGATATTGACTGTGGTTATAGATTTGTTAAATCTGGGTTCTGGCTGACATGAGATTATTCTGGCTCACCACACTTCATTAAGTAAATTGTAGTACTTATATTTTATATTTAAAACTGAAATATTCTAGCTAGACACGTTCTATTGATTTCCTTGTTAAATTACATTGTTTGCAGTTTGAAATAGGAGTATTCTGGCTGGACAGGCTTCATTGATTTTCTGAGTATATAAGAGTACTTTGACACAGTTATGGCTGAGATCAGAAAATTCTGGCTGGACACGCTTCTCGACAAAACTCATAGTATTTAGTGACAGTTATGTTAAAATTAGAGAATTCTGGCTAGACACGGTCCATTTATTTTCATATCTAAGTCAAAGTACTTACTTGTAGTCACAGGTATAGGTTCACCAAAGTCAGATTCGATGAAGTTCGTTCCAACGCTTCCAACAAAAAACTTGTATTCGACACCAGGTTTGAGGCGCTTCACTGTGTACGGCAATTTGAATGCGATGTATTTCTGAACAAAGGTTCCGTCTGCGAGTCGAACTTGTACAACATAGTAGACCGCTCCTGCAATAAAAATCAAGTTTATGAAAAACTGAATCAAAGTGTATGATGAGTGCGTCAAAACTTATAAATGCATAAATCTATCGTCAGACAAAAAAAAACAATAATGAGCCCTAATCCCAGAAAAATCAAGAAGTTTTCAGTGAGAGTATCAAAATAACAAAAACAAATTTCAAATATTTTCTAGCAAGAAAAACTCATAAGATGGCTTAATCAAATGGAGACTAAAGTGCTCTGGTTTAAACTTATTCCTAATGCCTGAAAGCCGATAAGTAGAGACAATTATATGGAAAACGAGGACACCATTTACCGGATACAAATCCTGGTTGTGTTGGTCCTTATTCACGTATCTCGATGGTTGAGAAAACCAGGTAGATTAAAACAAGAAAAACTAAATATCTGGCATACTACCTTTCATTTTATTCCATGTTAGTTCAACTGTAGTCGAAGTTGAATTGAGGAGACTGAAACCCTCAGGTGGCGATGTTACTGAAAAATGGAAAGATAGATTCACTTATAGATTGTAAAAAACGTTTAGTCAACTTAATTCGACTTTCATCATAACTCTAATTCCTTCAGGAGGAGAGAATTCGATTCCAGTAAAAACATACCAAAATTTGACTTTCAAGCTTCTAGAATATTTTAAATCCATTCATCATTTGGATGTCTGAATATGCGAAGTGGAAATTTAACAAAAATATGACTCACATATAGGGATCAGACTCATGACTCCGTATCCTATTTGATTAAGCCTAAAAAAAACTGGTTCATTTTTATATTGAGTGATAAACTACTTTTAAACCATTTTGTACTTTCATCAATAATTACCGTAGTACTTTACTTACATGTTTGTTCTCGTTTCTTTTCACTTTCAAAATAATTCACTCTCCTTTTGATTCCAACTGAGATCACAGTGAATTCATATTTTGTACCGGATTGGAGGCCGTCGATTTCAACCTGTATGAAAAAAACATGATCATTACTTTTTTGAAATATGCATCAAGGAACTCATTGGACAAATGCCGGTATATAGAAACCAACGCGTCTTTCGTGGGACAAAGATACTACATCTAATTGGTTGGCATGTCTTACCCAACTTTGGTGATATTCTAAACCGAGATGCCTTATTTGCAATGGGTTTCTGTAACTGGGACCTCGGCACTCTAGGTCAGGGCTACTCAACTGGCGGGCCGTGGTCCGAATCCGGACCTTTCGGGTATTGGATTCGGACCACGCATAATTTTTCCTTTTGGATCATTAGCCCCACTTTTGAAGTTTCCTTTTATAAAATCACTTTTATAGATTTAAAAATATATATGAAAAGAACTATAACGCCATAACAAACAATCTTGATAGCTAATAATCATTAGTCGGTCGAGGAATCGCATGTTTGAGGATGCCAAAATATAATGTCTGGAAAGTCCGGACCCAAATATTTTTGAAGTTTAGTATGCGGACCTTCGGTAATAATAGTTGAGTAGCCCTTCTCTAGGTGGCACAAAAAAGAGCGTTTTTAGGCCCAAAATAGAGGCCCTTGCTGGGTACTATTCCTGATGACTATAATAATTTAAAGTAAATTAACTGGGATTTGTTTAAATTCTTTGTTTTCAATTTATTTATTATTTTAGTTTCGTTTGTTGGATTTTTTATAAAGAAGTGTGGCAAAGAAAATATTTGGTATAAACCCTTTGAAATCAAAGATAGTGATGCAAGGGACTAAAAATATTGAGTTCACGAGAACCACTGTACTAATCCATTGCTTCATAAACATTGTCCCAAAGTGATAAAAAATAAAGAAACAAAAACTTCTGAGAAGAGGTATGCTTGACAGATGAAGGAAATTCATTAATCACCTACATCACAGCCTAGTGTCAGTGATTATCTTGTTATAAATAAATATGTTGATAGTACAAATTAAAATATTGCGAATTTGAATCCTATCCCTTCGCCCTCTACCGATGTGTATTAAAACGTGTATAGCCAACCGTAAAATGAACAATTATTCCAAATCCATTTTTGTGTGTATCAGTGACTTCCTGTCTATTATAGACTTGTCCAGTAAGAACCCCTAAATATCTAAGAACATGGTTGATAGAAACCGATTTTGAGACAGCTAATCGTAAATAAACTTCTCTTGTTATCTCTATCTTGGTACATGCTATAATATGCTTAGAAAACATACCCTCGTTGTGTTGCTTTTGAATTTTTTTTCAAATCCTTTGGCTCTTGCGAATATGATGTAGCTTTCGGCTCCTGTAATGAAACAAAACAAACAGCAAATAAGTATATATGTAATCAATTATATTTTAAACACTATTATTCGCTGTTCAATTGAGTTACATCTTGTTTTGTTTAAATAGGTTAAGCTTATCTATCTCATCTATCTATATATCAAGATCTTGAAATATATTTACAATATTTTGATAGTTAATGACTATTAACCCACAAAAAATTTTTTCAGAGCAATTCAAACCTAAAGTACTGGATCCAAGTTGTGGGCATAAACACCAAGAGCTGTCTTTTTTGCTATTCCAGCTATGTCAGTCAGTTTTTAGTGTATTTGCTTATGTTTATTTTACCACCTTAGGAATGGTGCCAGAATCATGTTCTGTAATGGAAAATTGGGGACAAATTGAACTTTCCACAAATTTCTAAGGAATTTTGAGCTAAACACAAAAATATATGCTAAATGAATTTTTGAAAAGGAGGGCTGTTATTGCCAGAAATTCTCAACAAATGTACACACACTTAATGTCAAACATATATGACTAAAGTTCTTAAAAAAGTAAAAGTTATCGAAACATGTTCACAAAGCTGACACACCTTAACATATACTATATATATGTATTAATGATATGGACTGTTCGGCAATCATTTTCACAAATGATTATGTAGAAGCTATGGAAAATTCGACCCGCTTTAAGCTAATTTCTGACCAATGCACAAAATTTTTTTTGTAAAATTTTGACTGACCTTTTGCTGGATTCCAAGACAATGTCGCCGTTGTTGAACCAATCATAGAATAAGTGGTTTATCTGGAGTTGCAGGTACTGTGAAGAAGATGAGTCAATTAGAAATGGTAACTTGGAGTGTTTGGGATTCTGGAGAGATGCTCTTTCGAGAAATTTTATCTCCGTATATATCAGTACTTTAACCCTTTCCATGCGATTTTTATTTTTTATTAAATAATCGTATTTTCTACGCCGACTTTATGCATTTGTACCCCCACAACTAATCGATCGACTAACAAAAAAGTAATGATCCTCTGCTGCCCACTGACGGCTCGTTGGAAAGCTTATTTAAAGACCTTGCAATTGGCAATTAAAAAAAAACATTTTTTTAAAAGGGGTGGTCTGAGTCACAAATCGGATAGAAAAAAGGCATTTTTTTTTTTGGGTGTTGAAACTTCAAACCGTGATAAAAAATAGAAATATTCGCTAAATCCTTTTACTGTTACAGCTTCTTGGCTTGGGCAAACAATAGCATAATACTGCTGTAGCAATTTTGTTATCTAACTCAAAATACTCTGGTTAGATGGAAGGGATAATATGTCTTTCTATTACCACCCAAAAACACCGAATTTGCATAAATTTCAAAAACACTCCCTCGTTCCGCTGCAAATAAAATTCCCATGGTAAACGAAGCGAGATTTACCGTCGCTTATGTTAATCTCGAGAAGACTTCTTATCAATAAACTAAAACCCGGAAAACTAGACCAATAGTTTGCGACCGATTGCTAAATAAAACAGTGGAGTACATCAACGTACCCGCCGCAATCTAGCGAGTTTTGTCGTGGGTACGTATACGTGCCCACCGCACCGTAAGGGTTAATATAGTAATGTCTATACTTGAACTGCTGGATAACTCTTAGCGTTTTACCACGTGTATCAGTGAAAGTTTGTCTCAGGCCTTGTTCAGACTGATGACATGGAAACGCATTGACCTAAGTATTTTGTCACAAGTTGGCTATGTTGCACGATGGCACTATGTTGCCCTCCCTCATGAGCGTAGCAACATTTTACTGCAATTTTGCAACATTAGCATTCAGGACAAGAATTCATACGCTTTTCCCAACACATTTTGCTCTATTCTTGAATGATTTACTGGAAAATCAGAATTTCCAGTCTTGCTATCAATAATCCTTTCACCTAATGAACATAACAAGATAGCAACTTATGTGCCTTTTATAACTTCGACAGCGTCTAGATGCAGAGCTAAAACGATTCCAGTCTTCCAAAAATGATAGCTCCTTACGAATTGGTCGATAATTGTCATGTTTGGAGTAAAAAAAATTTAAACAAGAAATAAAGAATGATAAAAAGACCAACTTACGTGTTCCATCTACCAGTATTCCTGGATCACTTTTGCTTCCATCTGTTCCGATTGCGATGACAGAGAACTCGTATATCATTCCTGCTGTGAGCTTCCGTATAGCTTGGAAAGAGGGGTTCTTTGCCGGCATTTCCCCGCTTTGTAACCCCTCATCTTCACCAATGGATTTGTATCGAACGATTATGAAACGGCTCCTGAAAATGTTAAAAAGGTATTTTATATATGCAGAAGTTATATGCAGAAGTTACTTCATGATAAAGGGGAGACATGGAATTTGGGGTTGGGCATTGAATCTATTTATTTGAAATTGCATCTTGATCCTTTCGTGAACCACGGCCTCTCGTCCGGTTACTAGTCCATGTTGGGTATGGGATTAGTTAGCCAGTGATTTGTTTTTAGATGCATGGACTTGATGGTGGGGGGAGCCGTAACCGACCAGCAATTACGTGTATCACCCTACGACGGCGAGGAGTCCAGAAATCCTCCCGCATATAATTAACCCCGCATGGGGTTCAAACCTGAGAACCCACGCAGGGTAATCATAGGTTCGGTGGAGAATAAAAACATTAGTAGCAAAATAAACAGCTTACCTCTAACTGCATTCCATGCCAGCTCAACGTAAGTAGTTTCAGCATTCACAATTCTAACATCAGTTGGTGGGCGCGGTGCTGAAATGAAAAACAGGAAATGTTATCTCTGATTGACACTGAATTTTCTGATTTGCAGAAAAAACCAAAGCAAATAATGGCTTTCCCAAGTAAACTATTCATTTATAATTGATTTATCATCAAATCTCTATTAGACATTTTCCAATGAGTCAGCGTCAACTACTTTTTTACTTCCTAGTTACTACCACTTTCGAATCCTCATATCGAACCAACACAGGATAATTAAATGTGCCAACGCTAATGTCATCAATTGAATGTGGAAAGATTTCTAATAGAAGTTTTTCAAGTTTGCCCAATGTGAGGTAAAGCTTCTTCAACTGTGTGTAGAATAAGTACTGACACAAAAGTTTCAAGCAACATCTTACACATGGTGGCCCAACAAACAAAATCCATAAATTTCTCAATTACTTTTGAAAATGAAAAAAGTTTATTTAACACCTGAACGCTTTGCACAGAAGTTACACTCTTTCTAGAATATTTTCAATTTATCTGGGTTCTGTTTTTTGGGGGGAGGAGAGAGAGGGGGAAGTAATATATAAAAAAAATTTCGCAACATAAATGTCATTTGGTATCAATTAACAGAAAACTTAAAATAATTTGAGTCAATACTGTCCCGAAAAAGAAAATTGAAGTTGACTAACCAGTTAATGCTTCAACTCTTTTGCTTTCTTTTTTATTTCTGGTTCCTTCAATAGCGACGGAGTAAAGTCCGAACGAGTATTGGGTTGATGGTGTCAAGCCTTCGATGGTAAACTGTAGAGTAAACAAGTTAATAAGCATTTGTTCGCCTGATCCCGTAGCAATACCGCTTGAAAATTTCACCCGATTTCACAGCAATAACAATTGTAAGTTTAAATAATTTTTATTAGCGAATTTGGAGACAATGCATAAACTTTTGCAGTTGCTTTTGCTGTTGTTGAATTTTATCTAAGTGGAACATTTGCCCGCGTAAAATTTTCCCAGGGGAGAATTTTCTAAATGGAATTTTGAGAAGGTTCCGAGTTTTCTAGGTTGAAATAGTACAGAACAGACTTGTATAAACTTACCTGTGTATCTTCAGTCTTAACTTCTGTGAGTTTTCGTTTGTCTGATATGGAGATAACGTATGCTGATGCTCCTGAAAAGTATATGGTAACATTATGGGTCGTTCAACCTTGATGACCTTCAGGTCTTGCCCGCCCCATTCCGATTATATTTCATGATTATTGTTTTTTCTTTATTTTTAATGCAACATGTACTTGTATGTAATTAAATATTCGAAAATAAATCATTTTCCATCTTTAATCTATCATTACAGAAGCAGACTGGTTACGACCAAATTAAAAATTATTAAATTAGATATGAAGCTAATATAGTATAGGATTTAAATATTTATCCCGGGGAGAGGAAAGCCGATGATATGACTTAATCATAGGCCGAACCACGGCCTCTCGTCCGGTTACCATTCCATGTCAGGTATTGGATTAGTTAGTTATTTGTTTTCGGTAGCATGGACTTGATGGTGAAAGAAGCCGTAACTCGCTAGCGGTTACGTGAACCACCCTACCTACGGCAGCGAGGAGCCCAGCAATCCTCTCGCACATAACCATCCTGGCATGGGAGCCGAACCTTAGTGAACATTATAATGTAATACTAACCTTTGACCTCATCCCATTCTAAGGTGACCGTTCTCGATGAAACAGAAAGAACTCTTGGCTTGTCAGGAGCACTTGGCACTGTGAATGGAAAAGTTCAGAATTGAGCTCGAGTTGGTGCTATGAACAATACAAAGTAGGGGAGCAATGTTTTTGTGCTTAAATTTCTGTGTAGACATCCGGCCCGCAGAGTAATATAATCTGGCCCGCGACGCTTCACTGAATTATAATAACAAAACAGCTGTTTTGACGATTATATTCTTTACGTAACAGTATTTATTGTGAGACGCATGCAGACTAAATTATATTATAATATAACGAGTATAAAATTTACAATTACTCGTTTAGTGAGCCTATAATTTAATTATAATTAAACAAATGGGAACAAAACACAGAAAAGTTGATGCAAAGGGTTCAATAGCGCCAAAAATATCCAAATAGAATTTTTTGAGATGCAATGCAATGAGGAAATAAATCTATATTCTATTCGAGAGATGTATCACTGCTTTATTTTTACCATAAAAAGTACCATCCGTTCGGTTTTCAACTTTCTAAAAATATGTCCGACCTGCCAATGACTTGCAACCCTTAATTTTGGCTCGCGAGCGACAAAAGGTCGACCCCTGATTTAGAGCATAGTGTTTGTGTGTGCATTGGATTTGGATTATGTTGTGAGTTTGGATGTATATAAATCATAAGGCAAATACGTAGAGTGAGCATTGAAGATTGAATTGGAGGAGTCCAAAAAGTTGTTTCTCTCTAAGGACCTGGCTCATAGTACATTTGGTATACGTTGTCATCGCAGGTTGAAGATTCCAGTTTGCAACCCATTCCCTCATAAAGAATGCAGAAAATTTGGTACTCTTTGGAAACACATTTTTCTTTACTTAAGCAGTCGCTTGTCTAAAGCATTGTTCAAAGCAAATGAAAGAATATCGTTAATTATCGATGGCGCTATACTAACTTTCATCAAAGCGTTTCCCCTTGTCTGTAATTCAAAAGGCAAAAGACTTTCTTGTCTTGAGACTTGTTCAAAGCAAATGAGCAGAAAATCTGTATTCTCGTAGTATTTGTACTATGTAAGGGTTAGGCCATAGTTTTATTCTGACTTTCCTTATTTTAGTTCTATTATGAGTTCAGGGACTGTCTGTGTTACCCAAGTGAATCCACCCCCTGCCCATAGGCTTCCCCGTCCCTTTACACAACTTGATTTGAAGCAGGCAAACAAAATTAGTTACCGCCATATTAGCACACATACTTCTGAAGCACCAAAAAATTTTTGAAAGAAGAAAACTCTATACTTACTTGTTTTCATCAAGGTATTCTCACTCTCTGCACTGATCGACCCATCGTAAGCATAAGCTTTTATTCCAGCCAGATAGCTTTCGCCTGATTCAAGATTCACGACATTATATTCAGTTTCAGTTGTGTTACGAGTCTCAAAAAGTCCTTTACGTCCGATCATTCGGATATTGATTATATATCCAGTTGCAGCTTAAAAAATACAAAAATAGGGTTACAATAACTTTGAACTTGTTTGTATTCGAAATTCAATATTGTCAAATTTTTTAGACACGATCTCAATTTAAAAATTGTTATGTCAACATTTTGTAATCAAGACAAAATCATAAACGGGGTAGTTAAAAGGGGTCACAATACTTGGTGCAAACTGATTCTACTTTTCTCTTGACAACAAAACTCTACATTATTCCTAGTTCCATTGCCTGATAAGGTTATTTAAGAGGGTGTTTTTACTCAGTTGATCATGAATTGTTTGAACATAACAAGATTTAGAATATCATCAGATGTCTCCCAATTGTCTATTCATACAAACTTAATTAAAGAAATTTTAAAAATTATAATAAAGGAAAATCTGTCATCAGAATACTCGCATTTTTGGCCCCCAAATAAACCAGTTTTAATAGGTAAAAGGACAGTGCAGCATATGAGTGTTATTACTTATTAAACAAACCCAATGCATCAAAATATTATTAGAAAATTTCCAGTTTTGAAATCAAACCTGAACCTAAATTTTTTTTTACATTTGTTGTACTACATTCTAATACATTCTGTTTTGCTTCACAAGGAGTGAAACCAAGACGGACGTGCTCAACTATCAGCTGGTGCCCAAATAGGAGTGTGCAGTAGCCTCTTTCGTCAGAGGGGACTTGTAATAAAATATATAAAGCAAGACTTTCTATAAAATCTATTGATGTGTTCATTACCTTTTACTTTGTTGAACTTGATAGTCACAGACGAAGCAGTGAGTTCGCTGATTCTGGCTTTCTTTGGAACAGCAGGTACTGAAAAGCAATAAAATGTTATAAATTCCAGTAAAAATTAGGAATTTTAATCAAACTGTTTTGGCATTTGAACAAGTTTAGTACCAGTTCAGTAATGATAAGTATACTGTGCTGCTATATATTTAATCTAATTTGCTTTCGCCCATGGTACTAACTATACTATGCCCTGATGAGCTTACATACAGCATATACACAACACAAGGGTCGAGAGCATAAATGACCTTTATCGGTCTTGCACACCGACACGCACAAAACAATAATCAATCACTGTTATTATTGCTGAATTCTTTTCATTATTGTATTTTGTTTATAAAAGGGTCGACATTTTTTATAATAAGTGATAATAAACTTACTTTCTCTCTAAATTATATTTTTCACATAGAACAGGTAGGTAATCAAATTGTTGTAATACAATGGAACAAACAAATTAAAAATAAATGGGTATTATCAGTTATTTGTTTAAACTATGATGATATTAGGATAAACAGAGAAAGGTGGCACACATAACTCATCATAACGACCTTTAGTGGTGGGGCAATACCAGTAAAATGTTTAATATTTTTAATAATATTTAAACAGACCCGAAAATAATACTTCAATGATTCCAAGAATTCAGTACTTTTCACATCTTATAAATTACTTTGTACTAGAGGAGCAGCCAGAACTTTAACAGGGTTACGTTGAAAATAAAAACTGCGACAGACGCGATTGATAGAGTCGTCCATGCATGTTTGAAGCCGTCCAACCCCTGTAGCATCAATACTGGCTGCCCCTCTGCTCAATACCAACCTGTCTGTCCTTCCCCAGCTTCACTCATCCTCATATTGATTCTTCCGCCACTTCCCACAGATCGTAAACGCAAAGTGTACCAGGTACCAGGCTTCAACTCTTCAAACGTGAACTGAAAAATAATGAAAATGATAAAATGTGTATGGCTATGGTCACTATTGTGAAATATCAGACACATAGAAAAAGCTTGGGAAAAAAAGTGATAGCGTTCCAGCCATTGCTACTAGCAGTGACACCATACTGCACCGTGATGTAGCCAAGATCCTTTACGAAGTGAAATGCATCAGGCCCAGTAGAAAAAGCAAGATATATATCTAACATAATATGATTCCGAAAGTATTGAAGCAAAGTTTCAGGTGAGTGAACACATACCACTTCTTCTTGGCAAAACCTTCCATCCTATATTCTGTACGTTTAAAACCTTGTCTAAGGTTTTGTTCGCTCTCCTGATTCTATTATCAGTTTTATTTGTTGGTATGAATAGTTTTATAGTCCATTATGCTGATTATGGAGTCGAAATAAATTTATGCTTGTGCTCATACTTGAAGCGAAAAGTAACTCACGCTAGTTTTTCTTGTTCTAAACTGTGTGGGTCCCGTGGCATCCTCGGATTGAATATCAGCGACGTATTGTATGGCGCCTGAATATAATGAACAGATTTATTACTGGGTGGCATAGGAAGGAAGTTTTCCATAATGGGAATAAAGCTAATAATACGGTGTAATCATGAGATCAACCATGACCTTTTGCCCTGTTGCCAGATTAGATTATGTATGGGAAGAATCAAGTACATTCTTCATTTCTATTATATGAATAGAGAAGGCTGTTAGAACAATGAAATTTTATGCTGGACTTAACTGGAAGATATGGTGTCACTCGTTGTAAGAGTAAGGTTTATCAACTTTCCTCTCCTTTTAGTTTAATGTTTAGGCCAGGAATGTGTTTAGAATTCCAGATGTTTCAAAAAGTGTGATCAAACAACAGTTACTTGTGTTACTAGAGTGTTCCATTTAGAGTTGAAAATATTTATCCAGCAGTAGAGGAAAGCCAATAAGAATGCTTAATCGTATATTTTGACATAGAAATAGTGATCCAGTTTACTATTCAAGATTCATAGACTTTGGGAAGGAACAGGTACCGTGAACCACCCTGCAGTTGGTCTTGAGGATGTGATGACAGGCATATTAAAATGGATCACTGGACACCTCAACATTGCATGGTGATTCATGCAACAGATAGTAAGTTTTTCTCAGTCTGTAAGTCTGGTACGATTCGCTGAATAGAGATGCCAATACCCGAATATTGACTAAATTCCATGCCCAGCGATTCACCCAGAGTGCGATATCAAATTCGAAGTGCTTGTTTGCACAGAATCTTGTTCGAAGCGAATGTCGTTTAGAAATCGAGCCGATTTCAAGTCCATAGATCAAACGTTTTCAACAACAGTATTCTTCTGAATAATGAGATAATTGTGACAATACCAACCTGGAACGGCTTTCCATTGAAACGTCAAAGTTTTATTGGTTTTCTTGATAAGAGTTGGCTTCTCTGGGACATCAGGCACTGGAAGATAAAAACATGGATGATTGTAGCAAAGCAAAGAATAAATATAAATTCAACTACTTTGATATTTCTTTCATATTCTTAGCTAGGCCAACCCCAACTTGGAAATTGTAATAAACAAATTTGATTGCAGGGTATTGAAAAAAAAAATTAAATGATTGTGAAAATAGTATTAGAAAACCTGGAACGAGAGTAGTTTTCCAGTTGATTCATAATCTTAGTTTAGATTTACAAGTTAGATATTTTGAATGAAGTTTAAAATTATGTAGCTGTAAGATCTTTGCAGAACTTTCTCCAGTAGCAGGCAGCTCAAAATGTATCGGAGGGATGCATGTGGCCGGCGGGCTGTAGTTTGCCCATCTCTGCTTCAGATAATTTATTATTTACTTACATGTTACAACCACCTGCGGGTCACTCTCTCTTCCAACGACGTTCAATCCAACAGATGACACGGTGATGTGATACGTGATTCCAGTTTTCAAATCCGTGGCCTTGATGCTGTCTGATTTCACTTTCTCTTTTCTCAGAACTTTGCCAGTCAATGAGTTCTTGAACGTTACAAGATATTCCTCTGCCCCTGTTGATAGATAATAATGATCTAATTAGTGTCTCGCTTTTTCCTCTTCCAATCTAATCATATATGGTGAATGTGTGTGTGTGTGTGTGCGTGTGTGCCTCGATTAGTTTTAATTCTTTTGGGTGAGCGAACACGTACTACTTCTTTTATCAATACCTTTCCATCTAAAATCTGTACGTTTCAAACCTTACCTGGGGTTTTGTTTGCTCTCCCGATTCTGTAATCAGTTTTATTTTTTTGTTTCTATCAAATACTTTATCGTCTATTATGCTGATTATTGAGTCGAAATAAACTTATACTTATAAGATTTCAAGAGAGGGTTCTATTTTGTATCAAATTGCTAAAAACTCATTTCAGAAAATGTATGTATGTCACTACATGAGATACATTAACATGACACACCTTACATAAATTTATTACAAAACCTTTGAAACGCTAAATGTAACACTAGTCTCCAGCTGCGGTGCGTGGTATTCATTTGCTGCGGTTGCTTAACCTCTAAAACAAAAGGGTTCGCGCTAACCAGCTCTACCACTAGATTTAAGAATATGATGGGTGGTAATGATGGGTAGTTCTAATGTTACCAAAATATAAAGGTGAAATATGCTGACTTGTAACAATAGAATGCTACTTGATAGAGAAAAAATGCTTGAAACACAATTTCGAGAATTTTGAAAATAAAATTATCCTGGTTCAATAACTAAACGTATAAGACCTAGCCCATATTCATGTCCCACCATTTTCTTCATCATTAATATAGCATCAAAACCTATTTTTATGCTGCATATTGATCTATAGCGTATTAATATGAGTCCCTCAAAGGGCGATGCAAGTGAGAGTGCTAATTGACGTTTTGAGTGACAATATCGTAGCAGCGATTTTAGACTGAGTGACTAGGTCGATCGTGTATATTACCAAATTTCTGAAACGAGCTGACATATACACGCAGTACAAATTCGGAAAAGGACAAAAAACTCTTCATCTTATATATTTGCCTTAACTTTTTTTCTTATAATATCAAATTGATTTCATCTAAAAAAATCAATTTTCATGCACCATGTTGAAACTAAAAATCTCATCGCCTAAGCCAGCATTTCTCAACCAATGAGCCAAGCCACTGCCGGACTACAGATACATTTTCAGGTGAGCAGCAAACCTATCATAAATTGATAAAAAGATAGATGATTCAAGTTTTATTCATATCACTATAGGTAGATTTTGATTGTAATGGCAATGAGTGATGATACCTTTATTTGCTAATTTTCGTTCTAATTATCAAAGTAAAAGTGTCTATTTTTGTGGACGTAGGTTGTTGCTTTTTTTTTGTTTTTCACCAGCATGAAAAGTTAATGGGCACAGAATTTTTATGCAAAAAAATGAGCCACAAATACAAAAATGCTGAAAACCAATGGCCTCAAGCTTACCTCTCATATTGTTCCATTGCATGGTGACAGAGTTCTCTGTGATTTCTTGGATTCGAACTCCTTCGACCTTAGCGGGAACTGAAAATAAAACAGGATAGGATTTACATATTTATCCTAGGAAAGAAGAAAGCTGACAAGGCGGCTCAATCATATAGCAAACCACGGCCTCTCATCCAGTAACCGGTTCATGTCGGGTATGGGATTAGTTGTCAGTTATTTGTTTCAGATCCACGGAATTAGTGAACATGTTTGCAATGAAAATTCACAAACTTGTACTAGTCATTACCAACGATACCTATATACAGATGGGTATTAGGGAATGAAAATACACAAGTTGAACTTTCAATCGAAGTGTAAATCGTTAAACTGCAGACAAACATGGGTAGGGCCAAAGCATAAAACATTTAAGAATTTAAGGCTTAAAGTAGTGAAATTTACTGATCATTTGAAATTAAACAATAAAACAGACTTTGATGTTCCCTTATAATCGCCACCGGGGAAGTTGTAATCCAGGAGAATTTAGCAGTTGGTTTGTCGTTTATCTAATAAAATTTATTTGTCAGTAAGCCGTAACTATATTATAGAGAGTAAGAAGAAAATGCCCCACCAATTGGAATTCCCAAAAAAATTTCAAAGAATGACATAAGGGCATTGATTGACTGAAGAGCTACTGAAACTATAGCGTAGCAGGCCCAAAATTTTTCAGGGGATCTGAATTATTTTTTGTGTAATGGCGTAATACAACGTTCCCTTGTGACTTTTGCTCTGAACAAAACCAGATGAAAGTAGCCACTGATATCTAACAAGATCTATTTTTCTGAGAGAGGGACATGGCCTATAAGTGGTTACAGTGATTCCCAAAGTCACGAGCATTCACTCCGTTTGCAATTTCCTCCTTTTAAACACAGTTAGGAACAAGCACTGGAATAAACTTATACACCAACACAAACCTGATTGGATCTTTGCAACAGCAGGATTCTCCGTGTCAGTCTTTGAGTCTGTTCCGATTGAAAAAACTTTGAACAGGTAAATCCCCCCACTGACCAGGCCTTCTGCAACAAACTCCGTCGTGTTGACTATCCGTGTCAGTAAATCTGGGGATATTTCCAGCTTGAATTGGATCATGTATTGTGAGACAGCTGAAATTGAAGATAAGTGATTGAATAAAAGTGACAGAAAATAACTTTTAGAATTTATATGGTGGCACAGTAGTTATCGATTCAGAAATATCTACGTTAGCATCTCAGGTTAAAAATCATATTCCATAAAAGACCTAAAAATCTATTGAAATTTGTTTTAAAGGTAAATGAATAAAAGTGGTGCAATATTTCTGGTGAAACTTTTGATTGACGGTTTAGTGAAGCGTTCCCCAGTCATGAAAATCATGATCAGGCATAAAATTTGATTGTTTTCTGATGTGACTTTTTATTCAAGTTTTAACAATCATTTCATTTAGTATTATTGCAATGCATATTTGTACACACATTATGAACAATTCAAAACGTGCAAAAGTTGGAGCGGGGAATAGCAGTAGTTTGGGACATTTTAGGGATTGAATATCAATGTATAGTGAGGGAGAAATAAAGTTATCTGAAATATGCAAAAAAGGGAATATATCGGTAAAGATTGGGAGCCACTGGCCTAGTGGTTAAAGCATTCAGATTCAGATTCAGATATTTTAAGCATTCAGATAAGCATTAGGCTTAGCTATGGTCGCACCCCAATTTAAAACTTCGTTTTCAGATCCCATGCTTGCCAAATCACTCAGGGTGTAATAAGTTAGATAGACAATGCCGGGACAAAAACTAAAGATTGTAGATCTTTACATGGGAGGTATTGCTTGTCTGAAACATTGTTCAGAATGATAGGCAATAGGCTAAAATCGTAAGCAAATCTATTAACCGATAAGCCAAAATTGAGATGAAATGGGTATTTCAACATGCATGCATCCCCGGGTGATTACTGAGGGACTAAATATTTTATGCTTACACGTCATGGGTCAAAAAATTAGAAATAAAAATGTTGAAACCTTATGAAGAATAAAGTTTTTTTGGATGAGGTGGTCTTGGCATCAGGGTAGAGATGAATTATGCCCGAAAATCTTATGGAAAGATTAGTTAAATTGCATCCTCATATTATAGCACAACGATAACAAGGTTGCGAATAATAATTAAACTCATGCATATCTTGCCAGAAATGGCTCAACTAAGTTTTCTCCACTTACAATACTAGTTTATCCTACAAGTAGAAGAATACAAAACGTTGTTACTTACTTTCCTGCGCTTCCCAGCCAATCTTGATCATTCTGGTATTTCTTGAGATCAGATTGATTTTTCTAGGATTCGATGGAGCTGTTAGAAGAAGAAATAAAAAGTGTATTTTAGAAAATTGGTTACATGTGTGAGTGCTGTATAATAGCGACCAAATCAAAATATGATTTTTATATTCATCCCGGGGGAGAGTAAATCCGATAAGACGGCTTATTCGTATGGCAAACCAGGGTTCACACACAGCTTAGGAAATTCCTAAATTTTGATTCCAACTCCATCTTTTAAGCACAAAATTTGTCAATTTTGAGACGATTTTTCATCCGATTGCCTTATTTATATATTTGCTGCTGTATTACAACATCAAGGTATTGCTGACTTGATAAATCCTCGAGTCTTTCGCGACCCCACGTCAACCGGTCAAAGTCAATGTTTTCTGTTTTTTTAGTTGTACTTCATTTTTTTTTGCTTCATATTGATCATGGCAAAATAATTATCCGAATCTTAATCTGAGTAGTAAACTGCTTGTCTGAGGGAGACAGATATTGGTTAGATGGAACGTTACAGAAAAACATCTAGGTATGTTAGTGTGAACAGGAACATGACCAAAAATTTAAAGGGAGGTTGTGAAGTTTCTAATTGCCAAGTTAAACCGTAACAGTCAGCGGGTCGACCGAAGGCCATTTTTTTAAATTTCACTTCTTACCACACTTTTTTTTTTTACCTCGTATTGATTTTTGCTTGACGAAGCAAATATCTGAATCGGCCAATTGTTGAAATAAGGAAATTCACACTCTGATTCAAACAATTCAAAATTGCGACTCTGGGTACTAGTGAAAATTTAAGCCTTTATTTAGGCTTCACAGCCTTGCTCAAAACAGCCTTCTACTCACCTATTCTCTCAAATATAGGCGGACTTTCGTCGCTTTCTTGTCCTCCTTTTGTTTTGGATGTCAACGTGAACTTGTAACGTTTTCCTTTAAAATAAAGTTGGATAATTTTTATTCAACATATCACAATATATACTCATTTCAAATATTTTTGATCACAACATTTAGAAATTAAGGGCACCTGAGGTATGTCCTAATTAGCAAAAAAGGGCATTCGTTCGTAAGTTTACAAGAAACATTTGAAAATAGTCATAGATTTTACACTTCTTTTAGTATATTAAACGGATATAAATTGATTAGGGTTTTGTCCACCGGGCTATAAGATGCAATCTTGGTACTCGTTTTAAGTGCAGGCAATGAAGCACGAGGCACTACCAGATTCATATATTAAGTCCACCGACTTATAAGACGCACGATCGAATACGGTACAACGTATTCTCTTATTTAAGAGATGAATCAAATGTTGAGAGGCTTTGGCATTCAAACCATCTATCCGGCATTCAAGTATGTTCAAGCAAAATACAAATTTTTTATATATTGCTTCGAAATAACTAATGATATATCTCCTTTCAATATATCTTTTAATAGATGAATGAATAGAATTTTCATATTTATTTTGGGGGAGAGGAAAGGCAAGAAGACGGCATGATCATGTGAAAATCCACGAGACTTTAGTCCAATTACAAATTCATGCTGGAATGGTATTATTTGTTTCAGATGCAAAAATCCAGTAAGAGTAAAACCAGTAATGCTCTTCTTACACATGACTTTTCCCCGCGAAATTCGAACAGAGAAATCAGAGGTTAGTTAGCAAGCATGTTTCTTTCTGCGTGCTCAGCTCCATGCTCCAATTGCCGAGGCTTTATAAATATGAAAGAAATATCGTTCCACTTACCCGATAAAAGCGGTTTAACTTCAAAAGTGGTATTTTCTGTTTCATCAATTCTGACAAGAAGTTCTAACTTTCCTGTTTCTGTATCGTATGTACGGATTCCGTAGATGGCAGAACCTGGTAAAATAAGAGTAATTAAATGTATGGCTGGCCTTCTCTACAGCTCCTTGCGTATCCGTGATCACTTGCCTTGTACAATTCTTAAACATTCAGTTAAGGCAATCTGATAGGTGCTCCCGTAGTATGTGTACCAAGATAGTGCACAACCTGATAACCATAACCTGGTACACATACTATGTCCAGGTTGTGCGCCATTTTGGTACACTTACTGCGGAAGCACAATCTGATAAAATGGTGTCAGTAGTCAGTAGTTTATTTTTCACATACCGATAATATAAAGTGTAAAAACACTGAGGTAAAATAAAAATAATGTATTTCATCGTGAGAGAAGGCGCATTAAATCAGTATTGATTAACGAGCAGTGTCACGTATAAGGGAGTCTAACATTGGATGATCCTAAGATATTGAAAAAAGAAAGCCATTTTTTAAACAGAAGCCTTTTAAGGGATTCCTCGAGTCTTTAGAATGTGCTATTGGGGTTCCGCGCCACCAAAAAGGTCGAAAACCACTTGTTCAAACAAGGTTACCTCTTACAGGTTCCCATTCCAATCTCACAGCTCTATCTGTCACGTACTTAGTCTTCGGTCGTGGTGGATCAGGCACTGAAACATAACAAAAGAAGTAAGAAAATGGCAAATAAGACCTAGAAAAATTTACTTATTAAAGTGTACGTCACTATGGAAATTATGCTGATCTATAACGATAACAGAAAGTATGAAATGACGAGTGCGTAAAGGAATATAATTTCAGTTTCTTGAAAAATTATTTCTGATTCACCCGGGTTAGAACATGGCACAAAATGATCAAATCTGTTAAAGGTAGTTATGCGATTGAAATATAACCGGCTTCATCGAACATTCAATCATGTTAATCGTTGATTAATCTTTTCTTTAAGATAATTTAAAGATAAAAAGTTGCTTGCAATGCATCAAGGTTTGTATTATAGAAAACAATGCAGGTGGGATTTTTAGGAATTTGGAAACTCACTCACTCTCATGTTTCAAACCTCAATTAAAGTTTTGGCAACTTTCCTGACATCCCACCTTATGTGTTTGCTTTGTGTATTGTACTGTTCGTACCAAGGTAGAGTTTAAAATAAGTTATTCTATCACTGGGAAGTCAAGGGAAGTTTATTTTTTCGAACCATTGAATAAAAAATAAAAAAATAGAACAGAAAATACGAAAAAAATGAAATTCACACAGTTTTACTGGGGAAGGGAAGACGCGCGGAAACAAAGCTGGTTATCGAGCAGCGACACACAAGGTTCAAGTATCTAATTTAAAAAATTGAAATTTTAGAGTTAGAAAGCTACTGTTTTTAACGATGAGTACCGTAAAAATTACACTAACATCTCTTAATAATGGAGATGGTAAATTTCTCGAGATTGCATTATAGAGTCGAAACACCAACTGCTGGAAATTCATACCTGTATTGATAACAATCCTCTGGTTGCTATCGCTTTTCGCTCCTTTATATACAGCGGCAATTTCCACTGTGTAGGAGGTGCCTGGACGCATCTTTTTGATTAAATGACTGGATCCGGATACTCCGGTGCTCAGAAAAAGCTGTTGGAAAATTTACAATAATTTCAATTGTTTACTATATATTTGTACAATGCTCTGTATAGGCTGTTTCCACACGTTTATGTTTTCTCAAAACAACCAATTGTAGAAATAATGCCCAGACGCTGTCTCAAAAATGCTGTGCCCTGTGGGACAAGTTGGACTATTGAGACAGGTGGGACAAGTGGGACATGTGGGGCAAGTGGGACAAGTGAAGTGAAAAAGGGGGACAAGTCAAACACGAAGCACAAGTGGGACACATGGGACAAGTAGTACAATGGGTGCAAGTGGGGCATTTAGAGCGAGTGGGACACCTGGGGCAAGTGTGGAACACCTGGGGCAAGTGTGGAAGAGGAATAAGTGGAACCTCACATAGCACAAGTGGGACACATGGAACAAGTGGGACATGTAGAACGAGTGCGACACCTGGGTAAGTGTGGAACATGTGAGGAAATTAGGACACATGGGATCAGTTGGACACGTGAAACACGTGAGACAAGTGGAACACATGGAACAAGTGGGACAAGTAAGACAAGTGGGACATGTAGAGCGAGTGCAACACCTGGAGCCAGTGTGAAACATGTGGGGAAATTAGGACACGTGGGATCAGTTGGACACGTGGATCGTGTTGGACACATGAGACAAGTGGAACACAAGGAACAAGTGGGACAAGTAAGACAAGTGGGACATGTAGAGCGAGTGCAACACCTGGAGTCAGTGTGAAACATGTGGGGAAATTAGGACACGAGGGATCAGTTGGACACGTGGATCGCGTTGGACACGTGAGACAAGTGGAACACATGGAACAAGTGGGACAAGTAAGACAAGTGGGACATGTAGACCGAGTGCGACACCTGGAGCCAGTGTGAAACATGTGGGGAAATTAGGACACGTGGGATCAGTTGGACACGTGGATCGTGTTGAACACGTGAGACAAGTGGAACACATGGGGCAAGCGGGACACAAAATTTTCCTTGGACCCGAATTGATTCTACAGATTGTTTTGTTAAGCAGTGAGTACTGTTAATATTATACGTGTTGTTCATTATTTACCATGAATCATAGATGACCGTGTCTGAATGGAAATATTTTAGCATACAAATCACTACGTTGTTGTTTTAAGCCAGTGTTTCCCAACCCGAGTCCGCGGTCTCAAATGAGTCCGCGGAGCGTTTGAATGAATCCGCAACGAGTCAGAAATTCACTGCGGGCCGCAAACGTTTTTGCGAAACTTAACCATCAGCCACGATTTACGTTAGAATTTACATAAAACATGAAAAGCAAGTTTATTCAAGTAACATTAATCGAGTCAATAATTTCTGGATACTGAATGAGTAGGGCTTGGCATATATTCGAATATTCAACTATTAGAATAGCAATTTATTATTCGAAAATTTGGTAACAGGTGACGCGACAGGTCACTTGCGCGTAATTTAATTAGGCGATTAGATTTAGTCGTTGTTGTTCGAGGAATAATTTTTCTGGTAGGTGTCAATGGTGGCAACCTAAATTTTCTAAATTGAAAAGCGGCAATACAAAATACTGAAAATAAAACTGAAAACACCATAAGTTTTTTAAAAACGTTTTTTTAGACATGTTGCAAATTCAAAATTTCGGGCGCTACCGTAGTATTCGTATCAGGGCATTTCCCTCAGAATTCTTTGCTTTACTACAGGGTCCGCAACCTCCGGCCCGCAGAGCAATATAATCAGGCCCGCGACGCTTCTCTGAATTATAGTAACAAAACAGCTGTTTTTACGATTATATTCTTTACGTGACAGAATTTATTTTGCGGCACGTTTAGCCTAAATTATATCATAACCGATTCACAATTCACAATTACTAGTTGAATGAGCCTATAAATTAATTATAGTTAGGCATTCAATGTCAACAAAACGCAGAAAAGTTGAACGCTAAGTGCAATTGGTTCAATATTCAAATGGTCAGTCTTCGGGCGCTGCTTAAAATTTAACTTCTGATCTGTGTGAAAAAATGTGATACATTGGCCAATGGTCATACGTTCGGCTTTAAACTTTCTAAAAATATGCGTGGCCAACCAATGACTTGCAACCTTTAATTTTGGCCTGCGAGCGACAAAATGTTGCCGACTTCTGGCTTTACTGTTGTACGAACGGCTCATATTTGTCGAATTCACAAAAATACGAATCAAAACAAAATATAATCGGACACTTTACCACGCATTTTCGGGTCCACCGATTGTCATGATATATTCTGAATAGAATTGCTTTTATTTCGTCAACACAACCGCAGATCAAAATGATCACAATTAAATTAATATTAAAGCAAGGCCATGAATATTTTTTTATTTTATTTACTAATATACTAATTATATTTTTAATAAGTAATAAATCAAGTTGTACAACGGCGATAACAAATTCGCAAGATCGCAAATAATTTATATCAAAACTAAATATAACCGGGCAGTATATTCTCACATTATTATGTTCGCAGATTGCCGTGGCATTTGAAAGAAGTAATGCTTTAATCTTGTCATAAGTCAACGCAACCGCGAGTGACCATGAACACAATTAAATTAAAATAAGAACACATTACAAATTCTTGTCGTTGTCAAGAATTGAATATTGTGCGACAGTAAAAGCCATTTATACACTAAATAAGTCGGCCCTTTTAACAAAAGTGTAATTGCGTAGCATTTCCGATTTTGAAATTCGGTAAAATTCTGTTGTGTTTGGTTTTAATACTTCTTCACACAGAATACGGTTGCAATAAACTCACGTTGAGTCCGCAAAGATTTTCGCCAGTGAGAAAATAGTCCGCGACCAAAAAAGGTTGGGAAACGCTGTTTTAAGCACTTAGGGGTTGATAAACAATGATTTTCTCTACGACCAATGAAACAATCAATACCAAATGTCAAGTCTTAGATATGGAAAAAATGCTAGGATGCTATTACTTATATCAAGTCCATGCTTCCGAAAACAAATAATTGGCTAACTAATCCCATGCCTGACCTGGACTGGTAACCGGACGAGAGGCCGTGGTTTGCCATATGATTAAGCCATCTTATCGGTTTTCCTCTCCCCCAGGATAAACATGTAAATCCTATCCTATCCTATCCTATATCTTACAACAATTTTCTTTGAGTCCTCCGTAATCCGATATCTTGCTCTGAATTTTATTTTTTTTAAATGCGGAGGCTTCCTATGGCGCATGATACAATTCTTTTCATCATTTCATATAAAATTCAGAACAACTCCCATTTGGTGGAAACTTTATTGACATTGCGTTAACCATATTAGCCTTGAACTTTCGAGTTCATATTTAAACATTTCGCTCTAGTTCAGGGGTGGGCAATTATCTTACTGAGTAGGCCGCTTACAGGCCTACAGCTGGGCTAACGTTTATATAATAATAATGGCGCTCCGGAGGTATATGCACCAAAATGGCGCACAACCTCAACCCTAACCTGGTACACATACTATGTTCAGGTCGTGCGCCATCTTGGTACACATACTTCGGGAGCACCATAATACGAAGCATTGTGTAACAATTAGGGTCATTATGACGTAATTTTCGTCGATATTTCAAAACGAAATTTATATTCAAAAAAACTATATTCGTAATTCCAGCAGACACAAGTGGGCCAGATGAAATACTTTGGTCGGCTGGAATCGCCCCGCGGGCCGTAATTTGCCCACCCATGCGCTAGTTCTTTCATTCAAAGCTTACTAACCGATTGTGTTACCAAATCCCGTATTGTGATGAAATAAGTTACGCCGGGCAGTCTCGCCATTTTCCATCGGACGACTGCGGTTGTCTTTGTCACAGACAATTCATCCAATATCAACTTTGGAACTTTTATACCTGTGGAAAAATAAGAAAAGGTTATTGGACTGGAAATGATTGTTGTCGGAGCAACTTCATACCTGTAGAAGGAAAAGAAATCCTTAATTTCGCAGCAAGTGAATAGTAAGTAAGAATAGCCATGTACTTGATGGAACAATCAATTTTAGGTATTCTGTAGTCAAAGATGAAAATAGTAGTCAGAAGGTTAATTATTTTAATTTATGTCTTGAGTCTTATGGGCCTAAAATTCTGTCCAAATTTTTGTTGTTTCATTTTAATCCACAGATTAATCAATCTATAATCCTTTATTATTCAGCATCATTTAAAATCGGAGCGAGGGTTACTCTTATCACTACCAGCTAATGATATATTGATGATTAATCAACAATCGGAAACATAGTTTATATACACAGGCATAAATAGTTTCATCAAAGTAGGCAACGGAAGGAATATTTCATTTAATTCAAGTGTCTTGCTGCACACTAACGCAAATGTATTTCTGTAACGTTTCTGTAAATGAATGAATGTAGCAACAAAGTCCGAAAATGTACTAGGGAAATATCCTAAATCGAGGATGTGCGACATTTTTGTCGGTGGGTTATAAAACCAACTTCAGATATCTATCTTTGCCACACGAAAAAGTTAGTTTTTCCATGTACACAACGAATTAAAAAATTCGCCGCGGTGAGGACAAAAGAAAAAGATGCGGTTATAGATCAGCCTTACAGTAATAAATGCACTGGGCAAAACGGCGAAGATTTAACGCAGCGACGAGAGCAAAAAAACATAAGAAATTTTTACCCATGTGAGCGAATTTTAAACGTAAACTATCGTATTAGGATTTTATGCTTGATGCAGAAATTATCTGAGTGTTGACATGGGCCACACGAAATAGCTTGGTGGGCCGGGTTGTAGTCCGCGGGACGCTTGTTGCCACCCTGGTTTAAATCAATGATGTTTTACCTGACGACACGTATAGCACAGATCTTGGTCCCTTTTCTCCATCATGATCGACTGCCCAACCGTCAATCGAGTAGCTGGTTCCCTCCTTCAAGCCAGTGAATGTTACATTGTTATCTGTAGGTTCCGGCTTGAAAACTTTGAGCGCCTTGGATTTGCCAGAATTACGTATCTGGAAAAGAAGGGAAATGTAGCATATTGACTGTCATGGTCTAACTGAACTCAGCTAAATTACGTTTAGTAGTACTGGGATAGGACAGGCAGAGAACGGTCATTCTTTCTATTACAATATTACATCAAATATAATATCAAAATTCAGCCCATAGAACGAAAAACCGCTATATGGAAAAGATTTCGTCGCTCCAGAAGTGTGTGTACCAATTTGAAGGTAACTAATTTTGTTCGAATACTTCACATCAAGTTGTGTAAAGAGACTGAAACCTATGGGCAGGGGGCATATTCACTTGGCTAACACAGACAGTCCCCGAACTTGTGAATGAACTAAAATAAGGAAAATGGGAATATAATTATGACCTAACCCCAACCTGGTACACACACTACAGGAGTACCCAAAAAACTTGGAAAAAAAGTTATAAATTAGTACCTGCACAATATATTTTGAAGCATATGGCTGAGTCTCCCAGATTATTTGGATCGATGTGTCTGCAACTCTGCCCTTTTCCATTCTCATCGCCGCGATAGCTGTTGATAAAAATAAACATTTTCAGAAGTATTGAACTGAAATATTATTAAATCTGTTATCATAGGTAATGTTACGTTCGAATATAGTGCAAATACATAACCTAATCAAATTCAATAAATCAGTTTAAAAAATTAGTGAAAAAAGTAATCGGAGCGGACGCAAATGAATTGGAGATTAAATGGAAAAATAGAATAGGAAATTGTAAATCGGCAAAATTGCAGTCAGTGTCGTTCATGGACACGAAGTGGACCCATAGATTGTTGGGTTGTAATTTGCTGTTGTTGTGTTTAGTATTCGTTTTATTGTTACTGGACCAATTGCTTTGAATTTTTCAGTGGTTAACGTTTCTTATTGTCGGTAGAAGGCTATTACTTTTATTTATGTCAAAAAATTTTGCGAGCTTTATGGAACTCGTTTTCGCTACGAATGTTCGTGTGAAGACGTAATCAAAAATTAAATTATTGTGATCTGGTTGTCACTCGAACTGGGAAGACTACGGTAGCAGTACGAAAAATATCTTGATACCCGTACTACTAACTTCCTTTTAACCTTTGTGTCTATATATTTGAGTATTTTATGCGTCTTTTGCTTTATATTGATAGTTGCATGATGAATATGTGAATATTTTATTTGTTTTTGCTTTATATTGATATTTGCCTGATAAATCTGTGGGACACTTTACTTACGTGGTTTGCATATTGTTGCAGCCGTCCACTTCACGAATCTGATGAGATCAATGTACGATTGCAAAGTCTTCACGTGTCCCATGGTAGGTTTGGAGCCGATCTTTGATAATTCGTAATAGTTGGGTCCTGGGACGAAAAAGTGACTCTTATTAGTGAGATTAAATTACCATGAATAAGTTCAAGCTGGTTATCGAGCAGAGACACCGAGATTCTAATATCTAAATCGTAAAGTTTGAAATTTTTTCAAGTTTTTCAGTCAATCAGTCAGTAGTTTATTTTATCCCATACCACAAAGTACACAAAGGACAAACATAATTCTGAAAAAAATACGTTTCAGTGGGAAAGGAGACGCGATAAACCAGTGAAGGTTATCTAGCAGCGTCGCCCTAGAGAGAGTGAGTCTAAAATTGAATCATACGGAGGAAAAGAGTCGCGAAAAAGAAATAAAATAAAAAAGAAGTCAGCCTTTGAGACACATTTGAGTGCCGATATCCCTGTGTCACTCAAACCAGAGAAAGATTCTAAGAAATAATTCTAATTCATGATTGAACTTCAAATTTTGAAAATTAAGGTTTAACATGCTTTGAAACTTTGGAAACCTTAATAAGTAGCTAATGCCTGGGACCACACAACTAATCAGAGTTACACGTTGTATATATTCGCTTGGGACCCAATCCGAGAATGGACACCATAAGTAGTTAACGAGTCAATTCAGTTAGTCAATATTCGACAGAACACACCAAAACACAAACAGGGTTCTAGGCTTCCGGTTCTAGATTTGGTTATTTGAATTGATTTGGATTATGTGGGGTGAATATACGAGTACGTGTCGCTCAATCATGAAGACCTACCTAGTGTTTAGAGTCGTATCCATATGCAGATAATTTCAAAAGACGGGTCTGAAATTTCCTATTGCCAAGTTTGACCTTGTCATTGAGCAGGTCCGGGTCGGGTCAAAACGTGGGGATATTGTTCCAACCCTTGCATATTTGTTAGTGTGTACCGTGACTCTTATATTGAAATATAAAAAATTTCACAAAAGACTTACTATTGACGCCCATCACCAGAATACGGCACATTGTTCTAAGCTTTCCAGCAGCCTTCTCAGTTTGATCTGATGAAGATCCTTCAAATATGATGACGCACACTGCTTTCGTGTCTTCTCGGCGACCTGAAATTTTGCATTTTGCCCCGAAAATAAGACAGTGTCTTAGTTCAATTTTCTTTCGAAAAAATAACACTATTTTAAGGGGAATGTCTTTTATTTTCATTTATCAAAAACAATTGTACAAAGATGAGTATTATGATATTTTTATATACAAAATATGAAAACCGACATCCATTCAATTATAGATAACACGTTTTTTTTTAAAAAAAAAAGCTAGACATAAGAATATTAATCTTTTAAAACGTGTAGGAGAGATCTCTTGCTATCGACTAGGTCAAAAAGAATTTCGTGCTATTGACTTATTTTCGGCGAAACACGGTATGTTTGTTAAATTCTCATTGTTGTTGTTGTGAAAATTCGCCTCACTTTGTAACAATTTGACCAATTCATTTTAAATTCACAATGTTTGAAGGTTTTTCTAGAAGACTATTATGTACATTCTTCTTACGGATTCCGATATTTTACCCCAAATTATTCGGTTTTCTAGGTATTAATGTAATATCACCTCGCGCGCCAGTAAGTCTGACTGGACGAGAAATTCTATCTCGAGGAATTCTATCTCTCTATCTCTACTTCTTTTGCTTCCGAGTGAGTGAGTGCGCCCGACAGCGTACGTTTGAGTTGATTTATTTGCTTCTGAGTGATCAAATTTTCTCATAAAAACTTACCTCGTTCGTCAGTGAACTTCGAATCAGTCAGGAACTCCATTGCGTTTCCCAGGTTCGTTGTTTTTGTTTTCCCATTCCAGTGGGATGTGGCATCAAGACGTTGGGTTAAATCCTTGAATCCCTTCACATCTTTAGGATCAATAATATCTTGAATATCTTTGTTGAACCTGGGAAAGATATCGATTTTGTATCAATCGGATAGGATTTACATCAAGAGGGAGAGTAAAACCGATAAGACGGCTCAATGAAATGGCGAACCACGACTTCCCGTCTGTTTACCATTCAATGTCGGTTATGGGATTAGATAGCCAGTTATTTGTTTTCGGAAGCATGGGGGGGGGGGGGGGGGGTAGACTCGCTATTTATTATTTATCAGAGACTCGAAACGACTCAATTAAGATATTCAAATAGGTAGCCCTCATCTTCTTTTAGTTTGCTGACCGGTTCAATTTCAAAATTGATTCTGCCGACTGATGAACCTTTGAAATCAACTCACAATGTTAAACAAACACCAAACACAATTAAACGAATGTAATTACTACAAAAGTGTGCAACTAAAAAGCAGACGATCAATTTAATGAGAAATTTGTTGCAGTCTTTTTGATATCATACGTGTCATATGCGTTTTCAATCATCTGATAGGAACACGGCTTTTAATCCGACAGGCGTGACAGTTGCCCAAGATCTCGTTGAATCAAAGATATTCTTAATGTTGGGTCAACAATGTGAGGTCATAACATCACGCAAATAATGAATTTCTACAGTCTCACGAAATAAAAATTATAGGTTTTTGAAAATGCCGGCAGAAAATGATATGCAGCAGCGCATTTGGGATTTAAATACTGTTATAAGTGATTTCAGATGAAGAGCATTGGTCAAATTTTCCTCTTCTTATGTGTTTTTCCGATGAATATAAAAAGTACCATTCCACAAGGCAAACTGCTGAAAGCTGGCATCGGCGTATTGAATATTTCTTTGTGGGCAATTCTGATTGGATCATGAATTTCATATTGTTACGTCATAAACCACTTGTGTCTCAACTGAAAAACGCGGCTAGAAGTAAGCAGCGCGCAAGGTAGTGTTGATCCGTATGAGGGTGTTTTCTCGTGTCTAGTCAACTTCAGTACTACTTGGGCTCAACCTTATACAAGCACAATAAGGAGGCGAGGAATAGCCGTACCGGCACTTTTGAGTTAGGATCAGACTATCGGGTATGACGCACGATTATTGTTGGTAGTCGGGTTTGTACTAAAGTTAGTTAGAACTGTTTTTAATGACGCAGAGACAAAACGGTTTTAGGGTCTAGTATAGGGGTCTCGTGTAGTTTCGTACCTAACATACTTCTAGTGGGCGTAGCATAACAATTTTTTGATACGTCAATCCTAACCCCCATCTGACTACGCCATCCAAATATTAAATCACTACGACATCACAATCACGTCATAGATCTTGCCAAATATACGCACGATCGACCGAAATGGCATTGGCGCCGACGATAAAGAACTGACAGACGTTGTCGATCTCTCTCCCATTGGGATGGTAGTTCGTATAGTTTGAAGGGCTCTATTACGTCACTGTGACGTCGTGATGACGTAATTTTTGGATGGTGTAGTCAGGTGAGGGTTAGGATTGATACGTGAAAAAACTGTCATGCTACGCCCACTAGAAGTTTGTTAGGTACGAAAGTACATGAGACCCACGGAAAGTACGAGTGTTTACGGAGATAGGCTACCGTACGTATTTCCAGAAATAACTCTTTGTTAGATCATGATAGATGTAGTGATATGATGGTAGACGATGTATGGAGTGTATAGAGAGATAGCGGCTACTTTGTGTTAGACTATTATCGGTATGTATCTTTAACGGTTACGTTTTATCGATCATTGGAGTTCAATACCGGCGATCGCAATTAGTCACCACCGAGTTAACTAAGTGAATCTACCGATAAGACATCTTAGTTTTATGGCGAACGACGGCCTTCAGTTCGGTTACCATGCTGGGTTAAGGAATAGTTAAACATTGTTGTTTGGGTGACGCTTTTGTCTGAAACTAACGTTTTCAAATTCTGACTTCTTGAAAATGGTTCGAACGGATTGTTTTGCAATTAAATTTGAAGCAGGTGGCCAATTCCATTGTAAGTCGCACAGACTACCGGTATTGCTGTTAGAAGATAGCATAGGATTTACAAATTCATCCAGGGGGAGACGACAGCCGCAGCCTAATCATATAAGAACCACGGCCTCTCGTCCGACTACCAGTCCATGTCTGGCATGGGATCAGTTAGCCAGTTATTTTTAGATGCATGGACTTGATGGTCGAGGCAGTCGTAACCAACCAGCGGTAACGTAAACGACCATACGACTACGACGACGAGTCCAGCAATCCTCTCACACATTAATATCTCCCACGGGATTCGAACCCATGCAGGGTAATCATAACCATGCGCTGGCGAGCGTATTCCTAACGCTTAGTACGATGCGACACACCGGCAGTCATTAGATCTTCGTACCAGAGAAAATTGCAAGCATTGCTCGCTTATAAGTACTTACAATGTTAAAGAAATTCTATTAGCGGTTTGCCCAACTCCAAGTTGTTTCCCGACATCTCGAATATAATTTTTCAGCAATCTGAACGAAGACGGGTTGACACTTAGTGACGATTCGACGAGAAAATAGATGTCTTGATTCCCTTCTCTGCAGTCTGAAATAAAATGAAATTTGGTTAGTTTCAATTTGGTATAGGATAGGGCAGTTTCCCAATCGAGGCATAATTTGTCTTCGAAAAGGATTTTTTAGTTTCGGGGCGAGAATAGAGATGTATTACTCTGGATTCCGTGTAGTTTTACCAGTATTGTCAACCTGTAATATATATTTACAAACCATTCAAAAGGTGTTAGACCTAGCGTGCGAGTTTCACGTAACAGTATCTGGCTATCTTTTGAAGATTGAGCAAATAACGGGAACAGTTTTTATGCGTGGTAAGGGAGGAATAAAGAGATCAAAATAAAGCAAAGGGAATGTATTGAAAAATATTGAGAACGACTGATATAGGGTGCTAATTAGAGATAAGATCGGCCCGAAAAATCTAGTCCGACCCAGGCCCGTGGGTTTTAAACCCGACCCGAACCCGACTAATTAACTGAATTTGCAGGCACGAGTCCGAAGCAAACCCGGAATTTCATATTTTTATTTAGGAGTTCTTACGAGCAGTAATATTACTATTTATTTTATAATAAGTATTCCTTAGTTTAGTATCCACAAATAGTTCTAGTATATATTTTTATAAAGTTATATTTATTTGAAAAAAAGTCAGCGATAGAGAAGCCCAACCTGAACGTAATGATTGATATTCAGGCCCGACCCGGCCCGGCTTCAGATCTTAGCTCTAGTGCTATTATATCGTGGGGTCTATCGCTATACGCCGCCAAAAAGCAGTGGTTTTGCTTAAAAATAATGTTTGGGACTGGCCAGGCTACCGCACTCTAGTCATATCTCGTTTCAGCTCTTCAGTGTAAGATCTACCCCGAGCTAGTGTTATAGTTCGAGGTCCACCGCTGTATTTATAGGAAATATGGCGGTAGACCTGACGCTATGTAGGAGATATTTTGCATATTTAACCCGACGAAAGGAAATCTGAGAAGACCTAATCACGAGAATATCTGTCAGAGACCGAAGACTTATCGATCGAAAGTTAAAAAAAAAAACAGAAACTGCGGTTTCGATTCAACCGCTCTTACTCCACAGCGACACCGTATTTTCCATCACTAATCAATCAATAACTCGCTAATTATACGACATAGTACATCCGAAATCTATAGGTCCGAAATATGATGAATGCACATGCAAAATTTGGAGCAGATTCAACTCCGCTTTCGTGAGATATCGCGTAAAATACGAAAGTGTCTAACAGACAAATACACAAACAGACAAATACCTATCAACATACTTACCGATTTTAAGATCGATAAGTAATAAGGCGAACCACAGTCCGTCGTCCGGTTTCTAGTTTAGAAAAAGTGTATTGGTATATTGGTACTCCCGTAATATGTGAACCAAGAAGGCGGACACCGGAACGTAGTATGTGTACCAGGTTAGGGTTAGGCCATAATTTTATTCCAATTTTCTTTATTTTAGTTCTGTTACGAGCTAGGGGACTAGACAAGTAACTCCCGTAGTATTTGTACCTGAAATTATGGCCTAACCCTAACCTGGTACACATATTACATTCCGGTGTCCACCATCTTGGTTCGCATACTATAGGAGTAACGGCATATTTAGTCGATTATTCGTTGATTGCTCCATATACATGGTGTATGGTAGTAGAGAAAGTCGTAACCGACCAGCGCTTACGTGATCTTCTCTATCACGGACTCAGCAACCTCTTGCCCCGTGGATCTGAACTTATTACTCAAGAGGCTTTTGCTTGAGTGTTTTAATAGTTTATTCCAACGGATGAAGCCTAACTCTGAATATCAAAAATTACACTTCACCTCCGGTAATATTGATCTCAAAGCTCAAGTTCGAAATTGTAAATATAGACCTAATTAAAAACCACAGTTGGAGGTATGACAACCTCCTACTAGCACGACAGTAGATTTACAGATCAAGTTCGCGATAGCGCTATGTTGTACTCGATTAACAATTGAATTTTTGACAAAATTTGATAACATCTACATGAATGTAACATCCTTGTTTGTTGCGGCATAAACACCTCTGTGACGTCCGCATTTTTTTTAAATCGGATTAGTATGACGCAACAATTGCTTTAATTGTTCGAGGAAATACATGTTGTTTGTGCCCTTTAGCCCCGAATTGAGTTCACATACCAAAATAGCTGAAGCTAAGCTGGAACAAAGTATTTTGGCATTTTCTAAAATTGTTCTCGCGCTGGACTTGAACTTAATAAAATTGGTAGGCCCATATTGGTTAACGCAGCGGTTCCCAAAAGAGAATTTTGACTTTTTGCCTTTATTCGCTAGACATACATGTTTATAAACTTTAAAAGGGGTGAAGTACACATTAACAATCACAAAATTGAGGTGAGAAAGCAGGCAGGTGTTTAATCACACTGGAATGAATAGCCTAGCACATTTCGATTCACACAACCTTGTTACGGCATATGCCCCCAAACCCCCCTCCCCCAATTTGTTAAAAAAAAAATTAATGCATTTTTGCATATATCAGTGACTATTTTTATCTAGCTTTGTTTGGAGCAAAAGGCAGTTTTTTATTACGTCATTATAAAAAAAATTGATCTCTTTTAGAAAAATTTGGGGCTCGTTACAAGAGTACGGTACAAGAAATACACCACTGCGGTAAAATCATTTAATTGCAAAAGTATTGCATTCAAACAATCTTTTTATATTATTACAGTTGCAAAATCAGGATTCGAGCGCTTGCGTCAACTTAATGCGTGGTGATTCCGATGTTACCGCCAAATGCGTACTTTGATTCGATAGATATCCAAGCGTTATGTCATGTATTATACCGTGCAAATCATGCGTATGCAAAAATCGTTATTTGCACGCAAGCTCTCCAAATGTTTCGAAAACATTTCATTTCTGACGCAAATCATTAGCATTTTTTAATTACTTATTAAATTAATAATAATTCGATTTATCGAAACTCATTACAAACCGAGAAAAGGTCACTTCACTTCATTCGAGAACACTGTCAGAAAACTGGTAATATTAAACGAAAACAAATATCTTGATACCAATGCCTCACCAGCGGAGGTTTTTTTAGTAAACAAGTTAGTTAAGTTTCTTAGCGTAGATCTGCGACACATATTTTACGTCAGTGTTATGCATATTTGATGGCAATCGCGTTATTACATCTCGGAATGTTCCACAACAATATGTTTTATCTCAAACCCGTTTCGGCATTACTAAGATTTATTACATGAATCATATTCCAAAATAGGCTGGTTTTCTGGAGACCGCTCAATTAGTGGTCTGAGCCTATACAGGAAAGTACCCTTGTCATTATCAAACGAACTTTAGTCATATGTTGGGAGAAAATGATGAATTAGGCGAGTCATTATTACGGCCATTGTATATTGGAAGGCATCACATAGATTGAGAGCGGCATAGTACTTTTAATTTTGTATAATTTCCTCTAATTTTTTAACTCATATTTTGCCGATTTGTTACATGTGGATTTTTAAGTACCGGAGATAGTACATTCATATATTTGGGCATTTCTCTTTTGCCCAAGCCAAGGTTACAAGCTAGAAACCAAGCTAACTACGATCGGTAAAGCGTGCCACCTTGGTTTAAATCGGGTGCTCCCGAAGTATGCGAACCAAGATGGCGGACATCGGAACGTAACATGGGTAACAGGTTAGGGTTAGGCGATAATTTTTTTCCAATTTCCCTTATTTTAGTCCTATTATTAGTTCGAAGACTATCCAAGATCCTCCCGTAGTATTTATACCTAAAATTATGTCCTAACCCTAACCTAGTACACATGTTACATTCCGATGTCCGCCATCTTGGTTCGCATACTTCGGGAGCCCCGTAAATCGTGTTCATATACAGGAATATTGCATTTTGGGTACTCCCGTAGCATATGTACCAGGTTGGGGTTAGGCCATAATTTTATTCCGATTTTTCTTAAATATTTCGGTTGAAATAAGAATATTTTAGTTCACTTACGAGTTTGCGGACTGACTGTGTCAGCCCATAGGATTCAGTCCCTTTATACAACTTGATGTAAAGTAGGCGAACAAAATTAGTTACCTCCATATTGGTACATACACTTCTGGAGAGCCGTATTTCGTTATATAAAAAAGGTAATGAGCTTCTATAGCTCGGGAAAACGGAAATCAAACCGAGATTTTAACCCGACATCATAGTTGATGACGTTTCAACCACTTATTATCGATTGGATATTAGAACTTTTACGGGTTGAGAATCACAAACTCGTCTTGACCTGAAATAATCTAGTTTCAACATTTCCGGACCGAAATTAGTTGTTCGTAGTTTGTGCGTAATTTCAATATCTTGTTTTCAATCTTATTTTTAGCCTGCGAAACATTATAACAGTCACGTCGACTTCTGCGTCGATTCAGGTCAGGGAAATCCCAAATGGAGAGGGCATGGTATCATAGTTGTACCTTTTATACTAGTGTACTTTCCATTTTGAGTTGAAAGAAAAAATCTTGTTTCGAATGTATATCATGCAAGAATGAACCCAAACACATATGTTGCAATAACATTTGTAACTCTTGTAATTTCTTTGTATATGGTCTTTCCATTTTTAGCTTGGTACTGTTGCTCTGGCCCGACTCAGAACAAGGGAATACCATCAGAGAAGAAATATAGTTCGATAAGATTTTTGTATTCATAGCTGTAACTCTTATATATTATCTTAACTACTTATCCCTCTTTTGAACCATTTGTGTTAGTGTGCATCAAGATTCTTAAATTGCATAGTATGGTCATGTTTATTCGTGCTGCATCATTCGTGCATTACAGGCATACGGATCCAACGGCATTTGTAACTCTTAGAATTTCTTTATTAGGGGCCTTTCCATGCTTTGTGTCGGTGAATACGTATGCGTAAAATGAATGCAAGAATGCTGTAGCAAGAGTAAAAACGAGAATATCTGTCAGAGACGGAGGACTTATCGATCAAAAGTTTGGGGGTTCCCCCAAAACAGCGCTCTTACTCCATAGTGACACATTGTGTCCCATCACT